GAATTTGATTGCAAGCTGACAGTGAAAATATAATTTATGTGTATTAATCTAATCTAATATTTAAAATTATATTCATTTAATAAAAATTTAGACAGTCTTATTAATTTTTAAATAATAAAATTAATTAAAAAAATCGTTCAGGGGTCAATCAAAAAAATTTATTTTTAAATTCAAGGGGTTAAGAATCCATTTAAAAAAATTTTTTGGCTTCAGATTGCTATTCAAATTTTTCAGGGGGCTCAAGCCCCTGCGCTCCCACCCCCTAGTGACGCCATTGTCAAGCATCTAAAAGCATATTATATAACTTTATTAAAAATCACATTTATAATGATATTCATTTCATATACAATATCATTCATTTGCTAAATTTAAAAACAAATTAATATATTCAAGAATGATAACAAAAAAAATGATATGTAAATATCTAGAATTAAAAAGAATAAAGAATAATGGTAAAATCTCTAATCTAAACCTTTTTATTTTACTGATAGATACATCATCAAGTATCATGAAAAAATTACATGAATTATCATATATTATACGAACAGAAAAAAAAATGAAATTGCAAGGACTGTAACATTAACTCAAAAAGCCTTTGATTTTTCAAATAAAAGAAAATGATATCTCAATAAAAATATAATAATCTATTAACCGTGATATATTTTGATTATCTAAAGCTTAAGATGAGCATTTTGTATGTTAGATACATCTTTATATACATTTATCTTATATCTTATTGAATTTATTTTTATTAAGTATCTTGTATCTTAAGTACAAATGTTAAGAATTTAAATCTGTAAACAATTTCTGAAAATGCTCCCAACCCCGGATATTATCATACTAGTAAACTGAAATTAAGAATTATTTATTACATCTAATCATTTTAATGTTTTTTTTATTAGGGACAGAGTTCAGGGGCGTCGCTAGCCTTAATCTCAGGGGGCTCAACTAAAAATTTTTTGGGGGGCTTCGCCTCCCATGCCCCAATTTAAAAATAATTATACAGTTGATCTTGAATAGTCACTTTGAACTCTGCTAATTACAATATTAAATTTTTTAGTTTTCAATTAATAAATGATTATATTTATTTAATTGTTATAAAAGAGATTTATATTATATATTATCAATGTTATAAATGTCATATATATATATTATCAATGATATAAATGTCATAGATACAAATCAATCATATTAATATATTTCATGAAGTGATTGCCAGTCAAATAAACTTAATTAGTATATTGGCGACGAGGATGGGATACGAACCCACGCGGGAAAACCCAATACTGGCATTTAATATGTTTATTCCACGACAAGTGACTATACGTAGTATCACAAATAAAGAGGTTATGACAACCAATAAACAAATTGCTGGCATGACAACAGAATTTATTTGTGTTTTTGATGACAAGCCTGGACGGGTGAATGATATAGAAGTTAGCATACATTTGAGTGAGGCAGCAAGGCCGAAATCATGGCCAGCTCGTAGAGTACCTTTTCCATTACGAAAACCAATTGAAATGGAACTCGATAGATTGGTTAAATCAGGAATATTGAAGGCGATTGATCCAACACAAAAACGATTGACATGGGCCACTCCAACGGTAAACGTACGAAAAACAAATGGAGAAATCAGGATTTGTGCGGATTTTAAGGTGACATTAAACCCATATATTTTGTACGATTATCATATTATACCAACGGTGGATGATCTTTTAACCAAATTAAAAGATGGATTGAAATTTACGGTAATAGATTTGAAAGATGCATATTTACAATTACCAATAAAAGAAAGTTCAAAAGAATACTTAACCATATCGACCCACATTGGTTATTTCCAATATCAATGTATGCCTTTCGGTCTTTCTAGTGCGCCGACCATATTTCAAAGATATATGGACAATTTATTACAAGATTGCCAAATGACTGGAGTATATCTTGACGATATTATCATAACGGGGAAAAATGATTTAGAACATTTGAATAACGTAAAAAAAGTACTAATGAAACTAAAACAGGTGGGTATGAAGGCAAAATGGGCCAAAATACGTTTTTTAAATGAATCAGTTTCTTTTTTGGGTTCGTAATAGACAAATATGGAATACATCCAGCGAAAGAAAAAATAGATGCTATTTGAAGGATACCAACTCCTAATAATATACACCAATTACGATCTTTTTTAGGACTTGTGAATTATCACGAGAGATTTTTGCCACATCTACATGGAATTGCCGCTCCTCTGCATAAATTAACAAGCATAAATCTTGCTGGGGTTGGTCGGACAAGGAACAAGAGGTATTTGATAAAATAAAACAGCTTTTGTCAACAAATAAAACGCCAATTCCATATTCGCCAAACTTGCCAATTATATTGGAATGTGACGCTTCCAACACTGGTTTTGGAGCTGTGTTATGTCATTTAGTGAAAAAAAGATATTAGCAGACCAATCGCATTTGCCTCGAGAACACTTCTAGAGTCAGAGAAAAATTATGCACCAATGCACGAGCACTTTTGTTTGGTAAGGAAAAATTTCATACATTCATTTTTGGTCGAAAATTTTTATTACGAACAGATCACAAACCTTTGGAAAAATTATTTGGTGATAAACGGGAACTACTAAAAATATCCAATAGTCGATTAACGCGCTGGGCTTGGAAAATGTCCGCATATGATTTTGATATTGAATATGTTCCTGGAAAAGATAATAAAGTAGCTGATACATTGTCTAGACTGCCAATAGATGGCATAAAATCAAATAATGATCAAAAAAACGCGTTAAAAATTAGAGCTATAAATTTGCACGATATAAATATTAGTCAAGTTGAACTCCAAAAGGAAACAAGGAATGATAGCTTGTTTAAAAAAGTAGTTAAAAATATTAAGCATAGATGGGTGGATTTTGATGCGAAAAAAAATACAGAGTTAGTTTGTTTTTATAATCGTAGAGAGGAATTGTCAGTAGATCATGATGTTATTGAATGGAATGGGAGGTTGGTAATTCCAACCATTTTGAGGAAATCAATTTTAACGATTATACACAGAGGGCATCCAGGAATAAATGCTATGAAATCAATTTTTAGAATGTATTGCTGGTGGCCGAATTGCGATAAAGATATTGAACAATATGTTCATCAATGTATGCCTTGTCAAAGTAATCGGTCGAATATTATGGAGGTTCCTTTATATTCGTGGAACATATCTAATATACCATGGGAACGAATTCATTTGGATTTCGCGGGGCCTATTGATTCGTATTCATGGTTAGTTGGAGTTGATGCACATACTAAATGGGCTGAGGTTGAGTTAATGAGAGAGACCACGTCCACGACAATGATCAGGGTTTTAAGGAAATGGTTCGCACGGTTTGGAACACCTAGACAAATCGTATCAGATAATGGACCTCAATTTATTTCTGGAGAATTTCGAAAATTTTGTTTCAAGAAAAATATTAAATTGATACATACAACACCGTACCATCCAAAAACGAACGGTTTAGCGGAAAGAACGATACGAACCCTCAAGAGTCGATATTTTGCAACTAGGAAAGACATCAGGGAGCCCGAGGAAGCCATGGGAGAAGTTTTGCTAGCATATAGAATGGGTGAGCATCAATCAACTGGACGTTCACCGGCTAAGTTATTATTGGGGCGAAATTTAAAAACGGGATTGAATTGGTTACGTCCTAATGTTAGTTATGAAATGGAACAATCGAATATAAGACAAAAAGTAGCGCATGATGAACATAGTCATATGAGAGAATTTGAGATTGCACAACCGGTGTGGGTGCATAATGAAATAAATTCAGGTTGGAGAGAAGGAATTATAAAATCCAGAACTGGCAGATATTCTTATTTGGTAGAAAGCAAGGATAGAATGGTACGAAAGCATGCGGATCAACTTCGAAAAAGGGAGGTAGCTAAAGAAATGGAGAAGTCTGGGCCAGGGAAAGATAATGGAGAAAATATGGAGTCAGAGAGAGAAGAGGAAAATATAAAAAATAAAGAGTCGGATATAGTTGAGATTTTAGAAAATGTGGAAGATAACGGAAAACTAGAAACGCGGAAATCACAAAGAGCCAGGAAACCTACAAATCGGCTTATTGAGGAATTGTAAGATCATATGTGTGGGGATATGTTATAAATGAGATTTATATTATATATTATCAATGTTATAAATGTCATATATATATTATCAATGATATAAATGTCATAGATACAAATCAATCATATTAATATATTTCATGAAGTGATTGCCAGTCAAATAAACTTAATTAGTATATTAATTAGGGTTATAAAATAATTTAAATAATAATAGTCAATTAAGCTTCAACTTTTAATGCTAAATTAATATTTAGTGAGTGATATTGATATTCTATTTTTAACACAAAATTTGATTGCTAGCTGACATAATGAAAATCTAATTTATATGTATTAATTTAATCTAATATTTAAAATAGTATTCATTTAATAAATTTCAGGGGGCAATCAAAAAAATTTATTTTTAGTTCAAGGGGTTAAGATTCCATAAAAAAACTTTTTTTTGCTTCAGGGGGCCATTCAAATTTTCCAGGAGGCTCGAGCCCCTGCGCGCCTCCCCTAGCGACGCCACTGACAGAGTTGGTAGTTTTAAATTTGGATGAACAATTCTATAAGTGTAAAATTATATTAAAATTAAATTTGATAATGTTTCAAATTCAAATATAAAATTTTAATAGTAATTTGACTAAGTCTTATTTAAAAAATATATATATTAAACGAATTTGATTTGACGCGAATCTCTACGATAAATTGTAGATACTTATCTAATACTACTTTTCGGCTTTTGGATTCTTTATTATTCCAAAAACACAATATGTTAGGATTAAATGTTATATTTTATATGGGTATATCATTATAATATTAACTTGTTTTTATTTGAATCAAATATTTTAAATTTAATATTTTTGAAGTCTGGTCGTGGCGTAAACCAATGATTAATCATATTATTAATTTCTAAACCTTTTTATAGTTAGGACTCTACAATGTATGAAAAAAATTTTGCACCAGACGCTTTGGTACAAGCTATATTCTTTACTAATGAAGCAGAGTATAAATTTTTACGAGAATTTTACTTCTTGTTTATACAGAATCGATAAATTATTAATAAATTTTTGTCATGATTTATATAAATTTTACATCAATTATTTATTTTACTATATATAAATAAATAAAATTTTGCCAACAATGTTTATTTGTCAAGTGTTCTTCGTTATTTTTGGTTTTTTTATATATAATATTAAATTTTAAATATATTTAGTTCTTTAATATATTTATATTTTTAATAGATATGTCATACCAAAATTAGAATATTCAATACAATTAACAAGTTCACCAGAAAAATTACAAACCCTTGTCAAAGCATTAATTATACAAGGTATATAAAAGTTAAATGCAATGTTAACATTTATTTAATACAGAAAATAATGAAGCCAATTTAAAAGAAGTTGATTTTGAATTTCTTATAAATGGAAAAATTTTTAATAATAGTATTGAAGAATATTTAAAGCTTAACAACCTTACTACTGTATTAATTTTTTTTGCTCTATTTGCTTAAATAAATATTAGGAAAATGTGTTAGAAATTGAATATATTAAAAAACTCCCCTCTCCAAATCCAAGAACACTACACAAACACAATGATTGGGTTAGCTCTCTTGACATTATTAATATAGATAAATCAAATTCTAAAATCACAACATATATTTTGACTGGTTGTTATGATAACACATTAAATATATGGAGTCAAGATGGTAACAAATCCAAAACACCCATATTTTCCAAATTAATCCATGATGGACCTGTGAAAGATATCAAATTTGTTTGTACACAATGTAAGAAATGTATATATTATCCCAATCAAAAAAAAATTGAAGAAATTATGAAAAATTTAACTTTCAAGTTTTTTTAAATTGTAAATGCTCAAAGGATAATATTTTTTAAATTCTATAAAAGAAAAGTTTTGTCACATTCGTTCAAAGAATTTTTTTTTCAAAATCACTTCTAGGTGAAAAATAAAATTAAAGTTTGCCCTGGATGGTCATAGTTTCGTTTCAAATGCATGTAGGACTCTATTATATTTTATTCCTATTAAATTATTTCTGCATTTACAATTTGTGACAACAGGTTAAATTTTTTAGTTTGAATAACATTTTTGAATCCTTTCAAAAGAAAATATAATATTATTTTAAATATTTTGATAATTTGATTTCTTAATAACAGTCTAAAACCAATCCTTATTTTTTTATAAATATATTTGTTTCTAATATATCAAAGCTCCCCATTTTAAAAACTTTGCTTTCCTGACTGCATCACATGACCAAACTGTAAAATATTGGAAAATCGAAAAGAGAATAAATAAAAAAGAGTTGACAGAAATTCATGACGGCACCAACTGGGTATTGCAATGCATAACCATAAACAGAGGTCACTTGGGAGGGGTTGAATGCGTTAGCATACAACCTTTAGAGAAAGGTGCAAATCCAAATGCTTTGTTCTGTAGTGGTTCATGGGATAAAATGGTCAAAATTTGGCGGTTCGAACCAGATATGAATGCCAAAGATCTCAAAACCAACCAAGCGATCACCAAAAAAAATAAAAGAATTAACGTTATTAAATTATATTTTTTCATAAAAATTTTGTCTTTTTAAATGACACTAAATTTGTGAATATTGCAATAGATAAAAAAATATAATTATTAAATGCTAATTTTAAATTTTTTTAACAGATACCTATCCTAACGATAGCCCATCATGATGAAGTAGTGAGTACCATTCAATGGATCCAAGAAAACGAAATTTGCAGTGCTTCTTGGGACTGTACAATCAAAATATGGGATGTAGAAGCTCAAAAAACTAAAACTACACTCGTAAAATAACTTATATTTTATAGAAATTTTTTTATAACCCTTCATTCACAGTTAGTGCAAATTTCATGCAAAGAATACTAAAATACACCATATTTTGTAACCTTCACTGCAACATTGTGCATGAATGAGGGTTAAGATAAAAATTTAAAGACAGTTTACTTAGGATTATAAGTCATTTTATAAAGAGAATATAGATAAGCATCTATGGAAACAACTATATAGACAATTCTCACATTTGTTTAATAATTCAAAATATTTGACAAAAATGTAAGCTATAAAGGGCCATTCCATGTCAAATTGACCAATAAAAGCACATTTTTGGCCGGCCCCTTTTAAAATTGTTAAAAATTTCTGGAAATGAGAAAACCATTTATTCTAGATCCCTAGCATTTCTCGAGACTGAATTTCAAAGTTGCAAAAATTGGTGAATTTTGAATCTGTCAATTTTTTAAAATTCCTATAAAAACTATTTATAGTAAGAATAAATATAACATATCAAATTGTAGGTTAAAAAAATCTCTAAAAGTCTATCATAAAAAAAGAAAAATTAGGTGCTAATTTGATTTAACTTCCGATTTACCTATATTGCTTTACCCATGTTTTTAAGAAATACCATGTTTTTAAGAAATAAAGGGAATTAGTTTTCAAAAAAAAATTTTTGTCTTTTATTTAAACAACTTTTATAATGATGTCAACCAAAATATGCATTTTTACCAAAAATGGGAATTTTTATTTTATAAAATAAATTTCTTTAACATACTCTCAATATTTTTTCACCTATATTTTCTTTAATTTCTATTAGTTATATAAAAATAATTAATCTTGCAAGTTGGAGATTTTGTAGGGCATAAAAAAAATCAAAAATAATCCATGGTATCAGTACATTTTCGCCTCTATTATTTTATATATTTAAAAAAAAAATCCTAATAAAGGTGGGTCAAAAATCGTTTTTAAATATTTCATATTCGCCACTATCACAGCTGATCATATCGGGTTCTACCGACAGTCATGTCAGGTTATGGGATCCAAGGACTGATGGTAATTATTTATTTTTTGATATATTATGTAATAACCTTCGTTCGTCATTGTGATCTTCATATAGAATTTCAAAGTATGGCCAAAAGTTTTTTTCAATAATGTAATAAATATTGGATTATAGCGAATCCATATCAGATTATACTGAACGTTTTAGTGAAATTTTTGCTATTTTATAATGTCTGGTTTTAATTATAGTAGACTTTTTTTAAAGTTTGGTTTTTTTTTATAAATAAAAATTAATTTTTTTTTCACATTAACATTTTCAAGAGAGTTAATTTTTTATATATATTAAATTTCCTCCAGATAAAAGAATGATGTTTGCGATTATCAATTATATTCTATTATTAAACTATTTTTTCTAAACTATCAAAAGTTGGAACTATAGTCAAATGTGCATTCTCATCACACAAAGGATGGGTATCATGCGTTAAATGGTCACCCAATAACATCAATCAATTCACATCTGGCTCATATGATTCGATTGTTAAAATTTGGGACGTCAGGAGGTTTTAATTTTTTTTTATTTCCAAATTTTTACTTTTGTTTTAATTTAATTTTTTTAAAAAAATTAGTTATTAGCATTTAGGTTTGCTTTAAACATTAACTTTTTTTAATGTAGCAAATAAAAATTTTGTTTTTATAATTCCCGAGAAATTTACCGGATTTGTTAGTAAAGATTTTATTGAAAATATTTTAGATTTTTGATTTCATCTTGATCTCATAAAAATCACAAAAAATTTGCTTATAAATTTTTTTTACCATTTTTAGGTAAAATTTGATCAAAAGTCTGTTCCGCAATAAAAATCTTCATAGATTTTTGAAATTTTTTTTCAAATTGCATTTTTTATCTCTTTGAGATAGTGCCCTCCTGCTAGTTGACCCAAAGGGTTTAAAAATAAAATATTATCTTCTATTAAAATAAAATGATAATTAGAATTTCTCTGAGATAAATGAAAGAAATCAGTGATTTTTTAAATTTTATTTACCTTCATAAAAATAATGATTTCAATTTTATATTTTTCAATTAAAAATGTCGGGAATTTGAGCCAGACTTGGGCCTAAGAATAAAATTGTCTTAAAATTAAATAAAAATTTTGTGTTCTGAGAATTTTCAAATATCAATTTCATATTCTATCCATTTTGTGTGATCGGGTCCGATTCAAACGCAAAGCTATTTTATAGACAAATATACTATACATTTTTTTTACAAAACTCGCAGTGTTAAGACACCACTCTTCAATCTATACGGCCAAAAGGAAAAAATTTTATGCAATGCGTGGACGCAAGATAATTTAATTGTGAATGGAGGCTCGGACAATACACTTCAAATATTTCAAATATAATTTTTTTTTTCTGTTAAAGATCATAATTTCAATCATGTTCCATTATGTACATTATTCAAATAGAAAATTTGTTACATGAAGAATTGCTTTTGAATACTTAGTTTAAAAATGTATTTATTTTAGACATCGAGTAATATTAGAGGTCTGCAATAGACTGCTTTTAACCCAAACGTCCACCCGCCTATTTCAATTTTTTTTAACTCGTTTGCACTATTTATCTAAAAATTTTGTTTAACACTCCCACCCAATGTTTAAGAACTATTTTATTAGTTGGTTAGGCTCGTTATTTATCTTATTTTAATATATTTTTTTAAACTTTAAAAATATGCAACACCCACTCAATGTTTAAAATCTTTTAAAAACCTGCCTGCTTTAGAATTGGCGGGTGAGTTTAGGGCAAGAAGTATTTTTTATGTTTATTTTAAGAAAAATTAAACACGATATCTTTTTTAAAAAGTAAAATACAAATTAATGAATATTTAAGAATTCAAATCTGCTTTGCCCTTTCTAAATTTATTATGAGGGTGTCTTTTTCAATATTTCATCATATTGTATAAATGATAATTATACTTAAGATAAAATAGTCCAAAAGTAAAATCAATATTTTATTTGTGAAATATTTTTGATTTAAAAACGCTGATGCGTACTTGATAAAGACAAATTTATAGATTGTATAATATAATTATAAATATAATTCAATGTTAATCTAATTACTACTTTTTTATTTTCATATTGAAGACCTTAAAATCAATGTTATTAAATACTACTTCTGAAAGTAGCATACTACTCAAAAAATATTAACTATCTAATTTATGTCCATAAAATTAACAATTTAATTCAAGCTAGTAAAAAATATTGTTATAAAAATCTAAAAATATATGCTTTATTTAAATTAAATTTTAATAATAAATCATATCATTATCAATCTAGAGTGGCTATCAGAAAGTATAAACTTTTTGCTTCACTAAATAATCACTCAAAATAGCAAGTATGGGCAATTCGGTCGTTACTAATAGCCTATTTAGCTACCTTTTGCATCCAATCGAGTTAATATAAATACCTTATTTTACCTTCTCTTATGACTCCCAATTACTAGACTTTTTTTATTTTTTGAAAATTACCCAAAATTCTTGCCAACATTGTTACCGGCAATATATTGTTACCAGGAGATAATGTAATTAGATTGATAAATGGAATTACTGACCAAGGAAATTGATGGGGTATTAATTATAAAATTAATTATGAATTCATCAGCTACTTTTTGATAAACACCTGGTTCTGATATTGTAAAGTTAATCAATTTAATTTGAATTGAATTTGTTGGTTGTAGCCTCTTTTAATAAACCAATATTATCGAAATATTTTTCAATATGAAATTCTAGATGTGGATATTCTAAATTTAAAATGGATTTTATTAAAATTTATAAATAATATCTTTAAATGTATTTTTAGCAGTTGTTAAAGGGTTGCGCTCCAGGGCCTCCGTTGGATTTTTTCAAAATCCTGGAGCGCCGTTATATTTTAAGACTAGAGAGATAGCTTCTTTTTGGGATGGAGTGAAGGTCCTCTCTTCTATTATTGAATAAGTTGTTTAAAAAATAATATTAATATTAAATGATTTTGTTGAATGAATACAAAAAATAATATATATTTGTTAAATTTCTAAAAATATTTATATATTAAATGTTAAGTCAGGTTGTTATTTATATATTTTTTTAATTCCCTTTTTTAAATCATAAAACATGGAAGACTATATTGTATCAGATGAAAAAAAATATTGAATTGGATGAAATAAAATTTGGATTTCCATCCTACAGTAAATATTTTTCTCTTATAAAAAGTGGACCTTTTATGGAAAAACTTTCTTGGATGATGTATCAGCTTATTGATCGACTCAAAATCATTGCTTCAAGATGCTCCTGCCACAATAGTGGCCACAGTGATGCGGAGTATAACAAATCTTATATCCAAAGTTCATTTCAAAAGTGTCAGTCTGTGCAATAAACAAAATATGGCCGATAATATAATCAAAAAATTGGGAAGATATAATGAATCTATGTTTGTTAAGATAACATATTTGAAATATTTCAAGATCTTGATCATTTATGTGATAACATTGGAGTTATGCGCTTTAACTCCCATGAACTTAAATTTATTAAAGAATATAACCAGGTTAATATCAATATAATCGTGATTTTTTGAAATAAATTTCAGGTTATGGAGCCTTTAGGAAAAACCTTGAAGTTAAGCTTCATATGGACATGGGATTTTTTTAATTCCACCTATTTCTAGACTCATTTCAAAAATGATTTAGCAGTTTTAGAATTTTGCCAACTACTTGTAGATTCTCTTATACTTGAGCATTAATAATCGTTTATATTTTGATAAAAATAAATTATAAATATTTAAATAATTATTGTATTTTCAAATATTTATAATGATAATATTATTCATCTTGCATTTAAATTAAATTTGGAATCGATAAAAAGGAATCAATAGAGAACTAAATAATAAATTGATTGATTTTATAAGGAAACAAAACACAAATATACCTACCATTACACCAAAAATACCTGTCATCTTAGTATTTCTAAACAAGTTTTAGGGGAGAGACCTGGGTTATCAGATTAAAATTTAAAAATTTTGCTATTGTAAAAATATGATGCACCATTTTCTTTGAATTATAAAGATAAAAAAAATATGGTTTATGGTGGCCTGAGAATAGATTTTATATTGAATCGTATAATATTTTCAACTTTATTAATGAATAATGTATTTATCACATTCTTCTTAATCTAAATTATATTCATAAATATATTTATCTCTTAATCACATATTTTATTCCATCAATTTACATTTTAATATATATATTTTTATTTAAAAAAAACAATCGCTAAATTTATACATCTTTAAATCATCAATTTAATAATATTTAAATTAGAGATCTGCAAAGTTAGGCCTTCGGGCCGGGCTCGGACCTAATTCTATTTAAAATAATCGGGTTTGGGCCGGGCCTAATATTTAAAAAAAATTTGGGCTGGGTAGGGTCGGACCTTAGAATTTTTTTAAAATAATATCTAAATTTATCAATTTTATATTGAATTTTTTATGTAAAATAAAAAATTTTGATTTTATTTATTGAAACTAAACGCCATATAACATGTCTTTTATTTTTAGTAATTATAAAAATTAATTTCTATATTTAAATAAATTCGAGCCGGGCCGGTAAATTTTTTTAAAAAAAAATTCGGGTTCGGGCCGGCAAATCTTTTCAAAAAAATTTCGGGTTCGGGCCGGGCCGGCAAAACTTTTTTAAAAAAAAATTTCGGGCAGGGCCGGGCTTGAAAAATTAGGCCCGATGCAGATCACTTATTTAAATGATTTGATATCAAAATAATAATTAATCATTTAGTTACTCAATAAGATAATAAAAACAAAATTGTTTAGTATTATTTTAGTTATGACATAAAGTGCTTAAGGAAATTATATTAAAAATAAATTGAACACGTTATATAACAATGGGTAAAAGGATAGTTTGATAGGTATTGTTTTATTTTTTGCATTTTAAATCATTAATTGAGATAATTATTTTATACCGGATATGCATTCTAATAGGTGAATAACCCCTATAAATTTCAGACAATTTTATAATGAACTTTTGAAGATATTATAATTTACATTAAAAATAAATTAAGGTTTCTTCAAAAGTAGGGCATAAAATTGTCAAGGTATCTTCAAAAGTAGGTCATAAAATTGTCTGAAATTTATAGAGTGAGTATTCTACCCATAATTGGAATTTTTCCGGATGTATCAGATTTAAATTTAATAAAACATGCTCATTTATTGATTTAAAATGCAAAACCTACTTCGCAATCGGGAAAACCTATTAAACTGTCGCCTTACCAAGCAATTATATAAATTTATATATAATACATTTTGTTTTATGTACTTTATATTATTTCAAAAAAAAATCAAAGGTAATTATTATTGGAGTATCGATATATATATATATATATATACCAAATGGCGAAAAAAATTGAATTTGTTAGGGTACTATTTTGAATATTATAAAGATTTATCTAAAAAAATTTATACATCATTATAATACCAACCATTTATCTCAATTGGTACTTATTACTTTAACATTTATTTAGTAAATAAGATAGATGATTATTGTATAAAAAAATAGTTTATTTATGATCATCACTAATACACAACTTTATAAATTTCGCTTATACACATATTTTCAAGTATATTAATGAATAATTGGTTAAATTATCAAAATCATGCATTATGCCACATTCCAATTCGCTTAATTCGTTTTTGGTTAATAAAATAAATTAAAAGCTATTGAATTAATTTGCGTTTTTTTTGAGTCTCCGAAGCTGTATGTACGCCAAAGTCCAAAATATGAGAATTATACATATCAAGGCCAAGTGATTTGAATATAAATTCCACGGGGTTCCATAACGTATTCCTTGATGATTCATATAAGAATTACCGGATATGCTTTTATTATATTATTTTGAAAAATTATAAGCCAAATGATTAAAATTAAATTTTATTACAAAGAAACACCCCTAATTAAACTATTTCTTGAAAAAAAGTCGTTGAGTGTCAATATCCTCATATTTTAATTAAATGTTACCATTTAGGATAAATCGTTCCATTTTGAAGCTTATCGTCTGGATCGCAAAAAACGCTGTCCTTAATTTCGTTAATCAATAAAGCCTATAAAAAATTATTGTATGATTTATATGAAATTTTAATACACAAATAATACGTCAATAATTTTTTTTTAAATTGGGGTATCAGACAACCTCGTTGTTCAAGAGTACCCATTCACACATACAGGAGGTCTCATATTATGGAAGGCATGCTCAGTGTGATAAACTGATTCATTCCTTTGAACAGGGCTCGGGCCAAGTGTTATTTCTATTTTATATTTCATACCTAATAGTTTTCCTATATTTTGTAAGAGTGGCCTTGACTGTTCAATTTTCTTTTTTAAATTAAAAAAAAGGAAATTCATACCTAATTTTCTTAGGAGATTCTCCTAAGCCAGGAAACTTAAACCCCCTTACCCCCATCCCAAAGTCACTACTGATTTAAGATAATGTGTATCATCACAAGTCAATAGACTTCCAATAAATCGAAATTAAACATAATTTTTATGGCAAAATCTAAGCATCTTTCTTATCAAATAAAAAACAATAAATATCTTCGTTTATAATAAGATTTGTTGAAATAATTTCCATATATTTATAACAAATTTCTTATAAAATTAACCTGCCATATTTTTTTTGTAAAATATGTCAAATTTTACAAGAAAATTATAACAAATAAATGGAAATTTTTACAACAAATCATATTAATACTGGAAATTAGGGATGTACCGATATTTTTTATCGGATTGGGCCGATATTTTGCCCATTTTAAATATCGATTATCGGCCAATATTATAAAACTTTCCGATCCGATATAAAATGGCGGCTTTAACAAAAATAAAATGTTATAAAATTTTTTAAAAAAGTGATATAAAATCATTTATTTTTATAAATAAAATCGAAATCCATTTTTATGTATATATTTTTTTAATAATATTAATAAACATTTTGTCATATTGTTATTTTTTTGCGCATTCTGTTTATAAAAGTGTGCAATAATCTCTTCAGAATCTGTTTTTAGTGAAGCTGGTGATACCGACAGTTACCATCGCAGCAGGCAGATTTCTGATAAATTGAAATTTTGGTATTTCTAAAAAGAAATCTTCGATATATTAATGTTAAATATTATTTTAAATATAATATATTTGTTTATTACTTATTATGTATATAGATTAATGTTATTAAAAATTAATACCATTGGTATCTTTACAGAATACAAAATTAGATATGATATCGGAACGGTAATCGGCCGATATCAATTTAATATCGGGCATATCGGATCGGCCTCCAAAAAGTAGTATTGGTACACCCCTACTGGAAATTATAAAATACCTATTAAAGTGTATAAGGTCAATCAAATATCATATATCGGTAAATTACTAGAAACTATTAATTCCACATTATTTATTCACTTATAGATGCGAACAATTACATCTTTATATAATTATCACACCTTTAGAGAATATATATGAAGAAAAATGGTTATACGCTGTAGCCATATCTGAAGATGCTCATGTATTTTAACCATTGCAAGTTAACAGCTATCGATTTTAAGTTGACAAATAAACCACCTAAAACCTAGAAAGAATAAAAATAATTTATTTATTACATCAAGAACCTAATTATAACCAGGGTTGGGCAGTACGGATATGCATATCTAAGATACAATATACTTTTGTATCTTGTTATTTTTTCAAACTTTTCAAAAAGATCTTGTACCCTTAACTGTTCCACCTTTGCATTCTAAAAGATACAGATACTTTAAAAAATATATATGAAAAATTTATTTTATTAAAATCGCCATACATCCATCCCCAGAAATTATGAACTAAGTTATCGAATATATAATTATAAAATTGTAAAGTGAAAACAATGATGCTACACAGAGATTACAATAATAAATTATGAAATGGATATTTTTTTGAAGTCACACAACACAAACATATCTATAATAAAATTACATGTAAAGAATCCACAAAATTATAAGTGGTTCTGCAGAGTAGTCAAGCATCTAAATGTTTACTATATGATTTCATTAAAAATCAGTTATAAAGATATTCTTTTATATTAATGATGAAATAATGATATCAAAAGAATAAGAAAAAAATCTCCATTTTAAAAAATTTATGTTTTGTTATCGGATAGAGACATCATCTAGAATCATATAAAAATTACATGAATCATCATAAAGAATTACATAGAAGAAAAAAATCGTGCAACATTAACTCAAAAAGCCCTAGAGTTTTCAAATAATAAAAAAAAACAATATCTCAAGAAAAATTTAACAATCTATTAACTTCGTTTGTTGTTAAAGGAATGCATCTAATATCTACAGTTGAACAAAAAGAATTTGTCAAATTGATGAAAAATAAATTTAATTTCATAGTTTTATCCATGTCAATTTATTAGAACTATCTTTTAATGATTATCATTACCATATTTTTAAAATTTATATCATAGCATATTTCATTTAAAAAATAAAGCTTGATACATTTTGATTTTGAGTATTTAAATTTTTTAAAAAGTATTTTGTACCTTTGATAAGTATCTAGTATCTTAAATACAAAATTTTAAAAGAATCTATATCTGGATATAATTTTCTGAAAATTTGCCCAACCTTCTAATAAATAATTCCATTTTTATTTAAACATTAAATTGCACTTGCAACTTACGAAATGATATTATTTGTCAAGCATTATCAAATTTTATCAGTTTAAATAATACAGCTCAGAGAATCTAAAAGCAATTCAAATTTATTAGATCATCTCAAGAAGATAGGAAACTTAATCAATCCACCCAGCGATGATAATAATAAATTTAAAAAAATTGTTTTCGTATTACCATCATAAACACCAAAAGGAGTATACAATAATTGGTAGCCACTTGAACATTATCGAAGACTACGCTTGAGCATAAGGCTATACTACTAGCCGATGTTGTTATACACAGTAAACTCAACATGAATGTAAGGTAGTTAACGGTGTAAGGTCTGAATCCTGATGAAAAATATAAAAATTAACGATAGAGCGTCTCAAATTTATTTTTATACCTAAATAAAACTTTCACCAGAACTCTTGGAAATAAAAAAAAATTAGATCCACCATATCCAATAGTGCTGAAGCCCCTCTGATGTCTAAAATATAACATTGACACTGACTATGTTTACCAAGAGAATACCCGCTTCTAATAAGTCAATTATATTCCCCACCCCCTTATTAGAGAGCACTAATTTACTCTAATTAATATGTAAATTGAATTAAACAGAAATATACCTATCATCCAGTACGATATGATAGATACTATCAATATAGGAATTACACGCATAGGTAGAAGATCACAGAATATTTTGGAAATGAAAAATACGGAAACTCTATAAAACCCATTCGTTGCCTCGTGACTTAAATATAATAATAGACAAGTTATTGCAATTTATGAATAATATCTATCTATCCATCTATCTATCTATCTATCTATCTATCTATCTATCTATCTATCTATCTATCTATCTATCTAATCATAAATATATATATATATGTATGAATTCAATTAAAAATAAAAGTATATATGTGAAATTTTAAATTTCTATATTTGTAATCAATCTTAAACCAGGCTATATAACACCTTTATTTTTTGACTTGCTATAGCTACATCGTCATTCCATCACCAGGTCTCTTTTTCCCTCAAAGGCAATTTAATCTTCCCTTGTTAAGTCAAATATTAAAGATTATAAGGTAGTCGGTAGATATAGAACTGGAACGAGAGGATAATTATTGAATTAAATAAAATGGTTGTGTTCAGCACTTATTTAAAAAGGAAGAACCAAAATTTTTAACATAAATCTGATGGTATAAAATCATAATAGAATATCTGTTAGTGTATATTCCTATTCATCAATCGGACTTTATACTTCCGACAGGTCATGCTTTTAATTACAACCAATCAACTTCTCTTATATCCATCTCTAGTTTCAAAATCTTTGGAACATTCTTTAAATTTTTCTTAATTTAAAAGGTCTTCAACAACCAAAAGATGTTGAACATACAGTCTTCTCCTACAATCTTGGCATTTCTTACCAAGACTCGTTCCATTCTCATAACAGAGTTTTCTGTATAATTGATACAATCACATTAGATTTATAAGTTTTACAAACCCTATATCAATCCCAATGAATACCCAACTCCAAGATCTCTTCTCTCTACACCTCTTACCAATGAAAGTCACCATAAACTGCCTTATAACAATAATTTACCCCAAAATGCACATTTAAAAGGGTCATTCAACATAGACGTTTTCCCCCAAAAGTCTAAAATTTTTATAACTTTATTTTTCTCAATTTGCTCAACTTGTGGATAAGGTTATTACTTACTTGTTCATAAAGAATAATATTTACAATTATAATGTTCGTTTATCATTTTCACTTCAAAAAAATCTGTCTTTTTCTATTCTTTAACTCCAGTACACCGAGCATTAGCATTGTCATCACTGTTTTCTTGCCAGATAACCGTATATTTTGTTTACCAATCACATGTGGTCCTTTATATTTCTCTTTTTACCGAACCTCAAGCTCGAATAATTACCTTATTTTTCTTTTTAAGGTGGATAAAGGTGTACATTGATTACTTTGAAAGACCTGAAATTATTTGTGTTCCTTTGGGGACTTTTTATTATTTTTATATCTATTAATATTTCTCTTTTTAAAAAAATTTAATCATCAATTTTCCGTTTTTAAAAAAATTAATTTTTTTATGAATAACAAATAAATAATGATTTATTAGATTTGTATTTTTGTAGAAATTTGATAAAATTAATGAGTGCATTAATAATGACATGTAATTAAGCTATGAAGATAAATTTCAGCTGTCTTTTACCAATGATTAGTGATACAATAATGACGGGGTTCTACGTCCGACCCTCATACTTATTAAGTCAAAAATTATGTTCGCCACTCTCTTTAGCTCTTGGCTTTTCGGCGTAAATTATTCGTTGTAACTTGTATTTGCAGAAATTTTGTTATAAATGTTTCTATTTTAACCAACTTCATACAATGTTGATCCCAAAACCTACCTCTTTACCCATATACTTGAAGGATCTTAAATAATTATAAATATCATTAGCGATTATTTCCCCTTTTCGATTGGTAAATTTTTAATTATATTATTTATAAAAAAACTTATAACTTACATATAGATGACACGCACTCTCATGAACATATCGATTGAAGACATATTACCGAATACTTGGTTCATCATGATAAAAAATATCGCTCCTTGCCTTTATTAATTTTATCGATAACAGATTTTAAAATATGATATATATATACACACCGGCGTATACGCAGGAATCTGGTCTAATAATTTTTAAGAAATATTATTGTTATATAAAAATATCCAGTATTAGGACTAATAACTATTTCTGATACACAATTTTAAATTAATGTGAATTATAAAAAGATTATATATATAAACCGGCAGATAAAAAAAACTAAAAATAAATGTGAATTAAAAAATATTAAACGGATATTTTTATAATACGCAATTACATTGACCTCCATAAGATAATATTAAATGTATTCAAATAGCGTAACCTTTCAAAATATATATAAACATTCAAATAATCTTCTTTCCCATTAAGTTAAGATCGTCTATCAATCTTTTTATTACCAAGTTCAAGTTCATCTATTAATCTTTTTGTTGGCTTTCGTTCCCTTGTTGGATAACGCGTTTGCCTTCCTTTTTGACATTGGTATTATTGAACATTATTCGTAGTTGATCTGCGTGTTTTCGTACTATTTTATCGTTTTCTTCCACGTTATACGAGAATTTTGCTTGTTTATGATTTTTCCTTCATGCCAACCTTTTTCAAGTGGATTTTTTATCCAAACTAATTCGTTTTCTCCAAAATCTCTATGTATGCCTTTGTTTAACTGGTCGTGTTTTACTACAGAGGTTTTTAATTTCAGTAATTGATGGTTTCACCCAGTCTAATAAAGTATTTAGTCTTCTCCCCATAAATAGTTTGGCAGGTATTCGGCCCGTTATTCATTTGAAATGAATTGTGGACCATTGTCTGTGACTATTTGACGTGGAACACCATATCGTGTAAGCCATTTTTCTAATCTATTTATTAAATTTTACTTGTGGTATCTTTGATTCTATCGATCTCTATCCATTTTGAATATGCATCGATTCCTACCAGCCAATAAAATCCGTCAGGTCCGGCAAAATCTAAATTACCCTTTCCCAGGGTTGTGCTGGCGGATTACATGGGAATATAGCAACTTCTGGTATACCTCTGCGATGTTTTTGACACCCAATACAGTGGTTGACTAATTTTTCGACATCTTTATCTAATTTTTACCATATATAATGTCTCGTAATGGATTTCATCGATGTAATACCGGGATGACCTGTATGTAATATCTGTAAAACTCGTTTTTGTAGTGAATATGGAATTATTAAGCGATCATTCCAAAATAGGATACCGTCATCATTTTCTATTTCATCTATTCTGGTTCTAAAAGCTTGTAATTCTGGTGCTTGATTTTGTTACCATTTAATAATATTTTTACTCTTCTTAGAATTGGATCTTTCCCAGTTTCATCTTTAAGTTCTTTTCTTGATAGAGTTAATGTGTCATAGGTAAGATTTCGTATATCATAATCATATGCAGATAATTTATAAGCCCAACGTAATAATCTTTGGTTTGTTAAGGCGTTTAAATCTCTATCCCCATATATTTTTATTAAAGGTTTGTGGTCCGTTCGTATTTTAAATTTTCGTCCATAATAGTTATGAAATTTTTCTACGCCGTTTACTATGTCTTTGGCTTCTTTGTCGATTGTCGAATAATTCTTTTGCATCTTGTAAAGTTCTCGAGGTGTAAGCTATAGGGTATTCGTTATAATTATCATATTTTTGCATGAGAACAGCTCCAAATCCTTGGTTTGATGCATCTGTTTCTAGTATTAACTCAAGATCCGTTTATAAAATTGTATAGTATTGTGTTCTGTTACTATTCCTTTTGCTTTTTCAAATAATGCATCATCTTTTTTAGTCCATAGTTATTCAGCTAATAAGGCAACAAACAAATTATTTTTTCTAACACCATCTAAAAAAGGTTAGGAAGGCTTTTGTGGAAGTAATATCTGCAGATTAGTAAGTGCTGCATTATGAATTAAAGCCATTCGTTTATTTGGGTTATAAATGTATTTAAGAAAGGGGACATTTGTTTTAATACTCTTCTACTGATCCTATATTAATGTTTTGAGATGAGCTTGCTACAAGTTGAGGGAGACAAATATTAAACACGTATAGCTCTACTTTTGACTCAACAATAACATATAAAATATGAAATTCTTCATCAACATTAGCCCATATTTCCCTGAGTTATAATAAAATAATCTCCGCTATTCTAATCTTCCTAATCAAGTCAATGTCATGTTTTTGAAAAGTATAACATAAAATAGTTATATATTTAAATAATGAATGCATTCTAATGAGAAAAAAAATTTTGGAATAAGTATTGAATCCAATAAATTTCTTTATGAGGAAATATTTCTTTCAGGCCATTATGATATTCAGTAAGAGCATTAGTAATGGCTCTAACTCCATAAAAGCTGTTACTGCTTGATGGCGGAGACTCCTTCTCGTTGGACAAGCTTGCATTTTCTTTTTCCCTGTTGGACAAGGAGTTTTAGAAATAATTATTATTTGACTAGAAATTTGAAAATGATAGATAAATATTACGCCACTAGAAATTTGAAAATAATAGGTAAATATTACGCTAAGGAAAACTTGAAATGGAAATTAATTGATAAAATAACTTAGTAGATGAATGTGATAAATACATGTAATTAAATATATATTTAATGAGATAGGAATAAATATTAACAAATATAAATTAATATAAACAAAAATATTTTTGGAAACTATATCCGGCATCTGCATTTTTTGGCTTGGGGGGGGGGAGAATTTGTCCCCCTGCCCTCCCCTCCCGCTGCGTACGCGCCTGTACATATACAACTAACATGTTTAAATGCTCTACAGAAAATAAAGTGACCCTTCAAGAAAGTTTTTGGTAAAAATATATAATCATTATATAGAATTAAATAATTTATTGACCAAGAAATATAGCTAGTATATCGAGGATTTATAAATAAAAGGATATGAATGTTTAGGTTTAATTTTTTAGATCACTCATTGATTTACACAAATATCTCGTAATATAAAATACAGGAGAACAATTTTATTAAATAAAATATTACTGCGACGAGACCTATTTTGTAATCCGAAGGAGGCCGAATTGTCGACATTGAAATAAATAGTACCAACTATAAACGAATAGATCATCATTGTAAATGACTAATATTTGTAAAATAAGTTAAAATGAGCATTATTTAAGAAAATATTATATTATTGGTTTAGTTATAATATCAAACTTGGACAAATATAGGTTGAGGATTTCGGTATAGGTTCATTACAGTCCTTTTGCTAACTATTCTGAGCTAAAAATAAAATAAAAGTAGTAATTAAATTCTTTTTTTTTAAAGTAAATATATCTAATATACTATATTATAAATTATCTGTATAATAGAAGCGAGTTATCTCGTGGTAAGATTGATGATTAACCAAAAAATCTTCTTAAATTAAAAACAATGCTTAATTTAGTAAGATATCCTAGTTCAGTGGTGTTAAAAAAGGAGGAGGTGGCTATTACTTTTTTTATCGACTAGAGTTGGGCAGGTCCTCCAGAAAAAGAATCTAGATACAGATACAGATTCTTTATAAAATGAATCTTAGATACAGATACTAGTATCTTTTTCAAAATATCAAAAAGATACAAGATAAAAGATACTTGTATCTTTTACTAAATTAGAGTATCTTAAATACAAGATCCTTTTAAATTATAAATACCAATTAAATTAGATGAGTTTATAAAATACAGTTTTTATTATTTATTTTTGAAGAACATAGCAAACACATATAAGAATTATTTGCAATAATTAATAAAATATTTATTAATAAATTAATTATAATAACCAGGGATTTTAATATTAGTTTTTACCTATTAATAGCTTAAACAGGGAAGGGAGAGTAGTATATTTAATGGGAGTTGAAAATTTGAAAATAAGAAAAAAAATAAAATCAAATGATTTATTATAATTGCAGGTTATTTTCTGTGTTGTTTTAAATATAGCTTATATTCGGAGTATATGGCTAAATGGCATCTCTAAAAAAAATATTCTTTAATAAGTATTTATCATTACTTATTTGTGATTTTTATGTATTATTTAAATTAGTTTATTTTCTAATATGACTTATTAATTCTTGCGTTTGTAATATCATATATATAAATATCATGTAAATATCTTTTCAAATTTTTTTTATATATTTCTTGCAAAATCATTAATTTTATATAAAAAATATCATAATAATGTACAACTTTATATTATAAATATTAAATACATAATTATTATTAAAAAAATATACATAAAAATGGATTTCGATTTTATTTATAAAAATAAATGATTTTATATATAATTTTTTTAAAAATTTTATAACATTTTATTTTTGTTAAAGAAGCCATTTTATATCGGATCAGATTTAATAATATTGGCGGATAACCGATATTTTAAAATGGGTGAAACCGGCCCGATCCGATCCGATAAAAAATCGGCGCATCCCTAATATATTTTATATATAATTATTTTAGCAAGTTCTTATTAGAGAAAATATTTAAGCTACAATTGATATATAAAAATATTAGATAATTTTAAAAGGCTCTTAATAAAATAATTATAATAAGGTAGAATTTAACTTTATTAGTTACTTTTATTTATTTATAATATAAGTAAAATCACAATACAGTATTTATTTACAAAATTTAATCAATTTAAAATGCATAAAGAAAATTATTATGTTTAATAATTAATTAATAAATATTCTGCCATATTGTTATTTTTTTGCGGATTCTGTTTATATAGGTGTGCGAGATTCTCTTCAGAATCTGTTTTTAGTGAAGCTGGTGATATTGACAGTTATTATCGCCGCAAACTGACCTCTGATAAATTGGAAATATTGGTATTTTTAAAAAGAAATCTTTGTTATATTAATGTTAAATATTTATTTCAAATTTCATAATATAATTGTTTATTACTTATTATGTATATAGATTAATGTCATTATTATATAAAAGTGATTTAATAATAAAAATATTTTATATACTTTTAGAATTGCAATTGAATTGAATATAAACTATAACTCATCATTATAATATATTTGAGTGACATAAGTTATGGTATAGTTAAATTATAGATGTTATACTAATAAAGTATATTAAAAATTAAAAGCATTGGTATCTTTAGAGAATACAAAATTAGATATGATATCGGATCGGTAATCGGCCGATATCAATTTAATATCAGGAATATCGGATCGGCCTCCAAAAAGTGGTATCGACACACCCCTAAAAAATATATATCCAAAATGATTTTAATTTGTAATCAACCATCTTCTATAAAAAATTTTAATAACAATTATATAAGAGGGACTTAAGTATAGGTATTATTATGTTGATAATTATAAAATAAAAATATAATATACTTTAATATGTTTAACAAAGTTTGTAAAGGAGTTTGTTGAACCTTTAATAACTTTTTTACTTGTGCAATATTGACATTCAGCTTGTACCTTGTTCTTTTTCACATGAATTACCTTATAAAATTTTCCATCTATAATTTTAAGATTCGGATTTGATTCAAAGAACCCATCTCCATAATTTCATCTTCACTACTATGATTGTTAAACATTTTACAAATTAAAAAATATTACATATAAAATATATCCTTCTCTTATTTAGTTTTGGTGTTGTTATTTTTAATCTATCTATCTTTGTGACCTATAACATTTCCAACTAATTTTGGTTATCAATATATTTAAAATATAGCGGGAAAAAATAAAGAAAATAATACAAGATTTCACGAAGAAAATAAAGTTACATTGTGTGATATGTAAATGTTTTAAACAAGAATATTAAAAAGAATCTGTATCTGTATCTTTTTAAAGAAAATGAAAAAGATACAAGATTCTTTTCAAAATAAAGAATCTTAGATACAGATACTAGTATCTTATTAAAAATGTCAATAAGATGCTGAGTACAAGATACAAAAGGATCTTGTATCTTGTATCTTAGATACAAGTATTCGCGGTACTGCCCAACTCTGTCGACTACCATATGGATTGAAGAACTAAATGAGAATGTATACTAATTATACATTACATATGTTTGAGCTTTATAATTAGTGCCTAAAAAAGTTTGGAAGCTTCAGGCTTAAGGCTGCATTAATATGAGATTCAGTGCCATGTTAGATTTTTGAAAATATAACTCTGTTCAAAATTAAATCACAATTCTGATAATAGCCTTAAATATCTAAAAAAATATATTAAAAATCCTAGACTAAGTTCAATTTTGCCTCGATTTTTCCCACTCCTAATATTCTACTCGTCCTCTAGTCCACTGTTTATATAACTCTTGTTCACGACTTAAAAGTCTAAAGTAAAATATTAAACATAACAAATATTAATTAATTATAACTAATACTCGTCCTCTAGTCGACTCAGACGAATCGAGTTCAAAAAAACTACTCGTCCTCTAGTCGACTCAAGTATATCACTCATATTGACGACACAAGTTGGAAGTCTAAAGCAAAAATAAATATTTTGTTAATTAGTAATAAAACACTCTCCAACTAAAAAGAATCAGTTATAAAATTTATTTTAGGGAAGCGAGGTTTAAAAATTATTAGATTAGTAACCTGTTGGCAAAAAGTTGCATGATACATGGTCGAATTGCGATGTTCGAAAAAGTTTTCCTTTTTTATTTCTGGTATATTCTTTTCAATTTCGTCCAATTTTGACAAAGTTTCTCGATAATATTCAGATTCTTTGTATTTGGTATGAAGGTTTACTTTGGGATTGTTATTTTCATCTAAGCCAAAAAAAAATATATATAGGAGAAATATGAAACACTGTAATTATTTAATCTAGAGTCTCGCATCAGCATTATTGTTCTTTTGTAGGGAGCGAGTGGATATAAAAAAGGATATGGGAAGGTTGCATACGAAGTAAGAAGTACAGATGACAAGTTTTAATGTTAATTGATAGCATAGCTTTTAATTAACATAATCTGATATTTGGCGAGAATAATTTATTTTATAAGATAAAATTCTTATTATTTCATGGCTATAATATGATTTATTTTATACGTTATATATTTTAATTCTTTCGAGTGTGCAAAAATAATTTTGATATTTTTTGTTTTTCTTAGAGTAAATGTTTAAAATAAATAATTTTCAAAAATAAAAGGATATCATATAGATATCACCTCTTCCCAATTATATAAGGATGCGTACCAATTAAAAAAAAATTAAATACTGGGAAACGTTTCATCGATATCATCATCTTATTATATCTGTTTTGTTAATTATCATAATTAATAATTTTATAACTTTAAATAAATTTTATCTTTTTTTTATTTTTAACATCGGTTCTCTTAACATATTGGATTAATTCCTGTTTCAAATATAAAGAATATTATAACTTGTGCAGTAAATTAGAATGATCAAAATTATGGCTAATATTAATATTTTGGTGGTTTCAATAAAGATAATCACATTAAGTTTAAATTTAATTTTTTATAAGTATTTTGGAATCTATATTATGGCGCCTGAAAGGGTTAATCAAATTAGATAATAAAATATAGATTAAAAAAAACAAAATATTTTACAAACACATAAAATTATCTTGTTTTTCGATTTATTTTAAAATAGCGTCATTTTATTGCCATATACATCAATATTGTTTCTTGACGCGATACCACTATCAGGGGGTTAACAAAAATCTTCTAATGAACATTTATGTTTTTTTATTTTGAGCATTCTTAAAGCAAAATTGAAGATTTTTTTAAAGATAAAAATCATAAACTAAGCTTGGAATTTCAGGTAAAATTTGATCAAAAATCCTATTTGAGCATTTTCAAAAAAATCCGATATCAAAATATTTGAAGATTTTTTCTTCATAAGCTAATGTTAAACTCTGGCCATACAATATTAAATAAATGACATGATGAATTCAAATGATCGTTAACCCACAGAACAACAAATGATAAGAGTTAACAACGTTACTAATACTCCCAATAAATATGTTATGTTAATAAAAATTACCAGTTTCATGCTTCTTTTCGCCGTTACTGGTATACTTAATAGCATTTCCTTCTATGAGATCTAAAAAGTAATCGGCAGGGTTGTTATGAATTTCACACTTGAATCCTAAAATTATGTTATATATAAGATTATTGTTCAAAAAGAAGCTATTTTTAAATATATTTTTCCTCCTCCCCATTAAGATTAGTAATTTAAAAATGCTAAAAAAAGCATGAACTAACCCTTTTTGATTGGGATTTTTCCTTTTTGTTTGAAACTTTCCCTTTTTTGATCTGATATTGACACTTTTCCTTTTTTGAAACACCTTGTAATACAGAATATGAAATAGTTATAAATAAGCATATAAAAAATAAGTATGCAGGTTAAAATAGATTTACCTATAGAGGCAAAATAGTCTAAAGACTTATCTGCTTTCCCATTGAAAACCAATTGACCACGTGAAAGCAAAATTAGTGAGTCAAACATCTTAAAAATGTCATAACGCGGCTGATGTATCGACATTATTATGTTGCAACCTTTGTCAGATAGTCTTTAAAAAAGTTATAAAGGTCATCGTATTTGTAATAATATTATTTGAATGTTGTCGCATTTAATATTATTGTAAATTAATTAAAAATTCATTAAATAAATAATTATATAGTTTATTTTGTTTAATTTGGGTTCTTGATAAATCGCACAACTCCCTAATTTGACCAAAATTTTGAGTCCCAATCGAATTCCTATTAATTTATAAAAGAAACTGAATTGATAATTTGTAAATTATGATCGGTGGTCGATTACAATTTTTCTTGGAACATCAGAACTAGTAAAATGATCATGATTGACACTATATTATTATATTTACCTTTCTATTAATGTTTTATGAAATTGTCAATGTGTTAAAGATGGCCGTAACGCACTAATTCTAGCATACCCACTTTTCCTGGGGGACCTTTATTTAGTATTTTTAAGATATCCTTTCTCTAAATAATTGGTGTGATTGATTAGTCTTTCGAAAGATATTTTCTCTTTACGATTTAAAATTCTTTTCTTTGGTGTTTAAATTTTCTAATCCACAATTCCAATTTCTATTTGTAGGTTCTCTTTTCTTGTGGCCGTGGACAGAGTTAGTCAATTGTTAAATTGTTTAGCAATGCTATTCTTATCATTTTGATTTCGCCTGATGTTTCTGGTTTGATATATGCTCTATCTAACGTGATTTTCGCTATCCTCGCTGTATTTAATTTTTCCCTATACGATTTGTGGCATTTAAACAATTTACTTGTACTAGGTCTGGTAGTTTTAAATTAAATTCTAAAATCAACGGTAATCCAGTGGCAATGGTTTATCCGTAGTTTCTACGCAAGGTATAATTGAGGTTTTCCTAATCATTGTTATAGATTAAGTATTGATGAGCTCCAGTAAAACTCCATAATAAATAATTTTTTTATTTATCCATATTTTAATTGTTGCTTGTATTTTTGGGTCCACTTGATAAATATTATGTAACATCTATTCTAGCTTTGCACATTTTTTGGTAATGTGTCTTTTATCGCATCCTAAACATCGACCTTCGTAATGATTATTATAATCCTGTCGGTTATTTCTTTTTATAATTTTCTAGAATTTGTTCCTATCGTTGTCATAATTATATTTGTAATTATTATCGCATATTTTCAATGGCGTAGCCAAAATTTTATCATGGGGTGGGGGGGGGGTCTTCGCCTTCTAAACCTCCGATTTTTTATGAACACTTAATTGCTTATATCTTAGGCTATGTTAAAATTATTTTAAATATTTGCATATAACAAAATTTTAGAGTGAATTTCATTTTATAGATTTTATTTATTATAAAAATCGATTTAATAGATATTTTATAGAGATTATAATATTAAAAATTTAATTGTATAAAAACTCTTTTAAAAAAATATATAATTTAACAATTACATAAAATATAAGTAATTCTTATGCAAATATTGGTATAAAAAAATATGACGATATTATCAAAATATAAATAGTACACAGTAATTTGATTAAAATCAGTAATAATAACATAAATTTTATGAGTTAATAGCCAGGGATTTAAACCGAACCTGAATTCCATTTATAAAATTTTTAAAACCGCGAACCGAACCCAGGAATTTTTATGAACCCTGGTTCAAGCGGGTTCAGTGTATTGTTTAAAATGATATATTAAGATATTTGTATAATTGTAAATACAAATATTAATAATTTAATTGAGATTTTATAATATTATCATAATACCTTTTAAGTGAAGTGATAATAAATTTTAAACAACTTAATTCATTTACGCCATTTTTTAATTTTTTTTAAAATTTATTTTCAAAGATTCCTATTGGAGTGTTAAATAAATTTAAAGCAATTAAATACATTCACGCCATTTATTTTTAATTTTTAACTTAGTCTCAAAGATTACTAATTAAAGGAATGAACAAGTCAAAGTAAAAATTATTATATTGATTTATTTTTTGTTCAGATTAATTTTTAATATATATTAATGAAGTGTATATTATAATTGAAATTAAATTTATATATCTGTTTTTTAATTCTATGAAATCATTGCTATTTAAAATTTATCCTCTTTAACTCTTTTATTTCAAGGTTTAATAAAAGTTCCTCATTATTATATAGATTTAAGATAAAAAATAAAGTCATATTTGAGAAGCATTTTACTCTTGATACAATAGAAAATAGATCAGTATGCTCATATTGCAAATTAAAAATGTCCGGTAATCATTTGTCTAATTTAGAAAGACATCTGATATGTCAGCGTTGAAAGATCATTTTCATATTTGAAATTCATTCTCTCACCACATAGATCGAGGATGAGTGAACAACTCCTAGAAGATATTATGCTAATCCGTCTAAATAAAATTTTTAAAATTGATATATGACTGTTTTTTTTTAAATTTATTTTGCTTATAAATAAAATAAAAAATTAATTTTTATACCAAATTTATGTCTAGTTTTTTAATATCAATTCAAAAACTCTTAAACCCGAGCTGAACCCGGAACCAAACCAGGGTTCAAAAATATTTCCATAAACCGAACCGAACCCACCTTTTATTTTTTTACATAAACCGAACCCGAACCGAACCCGGGGCTAAAATTTTGCCGGGTTCGCATCCCTGGTAATACAAATATTATATAAATGTTATAACTAAGAATTCATTTTACGAAAAAATTTGATTATAAATATTATATATTAAAACTAATATAATCTAATCATATTGCAATTTTTTGATTTGAATTTATAAAGAGAGGTCTACTTTTCTCGGAGATTTTGCTAATTCATCTAGAATCAAATTTCTATCTAGAATAATCTCCTTATAAATAAATAGGCTTATCCATTTAAACGTTTTTCACCGGTGATATTTTTTTAATAGATTTTTAAGCTTTTTAAAGTTGAAAAAGACCTTTCTGGTAAATGTTTTAATATTAGGCAGGGAATCTAAAGTGCAATTACACATGAAAAAAGCCTGCAGAGCATTTTTTCTGTCAAGATTTTTATATCAAAATCCGACATGATAAAGTAAACTTATCATATGAGCCTAATAAATCATCAGCGTAAAATTCTGAGATTTTCTTAATATAGTCTCGCGTTTCAAGTGTAATCAACAGTAGCTTTTTAAAATAAAATTAGGACTAATGAATCTTTCCTTTAATTGAAATAAAAATGTACCAATAAGGGGAATAAAAATGTTTATTTTATAAAAATCCTCAATCGTAGATGCGTCCTTATTTGAGCGTGTCTAGAACTACTCTAGGTTTAAAAATTTCAATCCCAAACATACAATCTCCTTTACTTTCTCATATATTACATGAAATTTTTCATCCACATTCTCTCTGATATTTGCTAATATTTCAACAATATCCTTTGGTCTATTCATAACCTCCCTTAAATCCAAATCAATTTTTTGTAGCATTTTGATAAAATCATATGCATAATTAAATAAAAATTAATACATTTTGTCACAATTGAGAGATTTTGTCATTGGAAATCAAAACCTAAATATAAAAAGAAATATATACTAAAATTATAGTTGAATCCTTTATTAAATAATAATAAATATAATTAAATACAAAGTGAAAAACATAATCAAAATAAAAGAAAATTAAAATTAATATAAGAAAAGTAAAAATTAAATAGTAAATTTTAGTTAAAAAAATGATCCTTTTTCGCATCATAATTTCTCCATTATATATCCTTTTTCTTTAATCAAAATTTACATAGTCTCCCTAGCGAAGAATAAAAAGTTCCCACTTGTTAAAACTGTTAAAGTATGCAAAAATTTACAAATATCACGCGTTTTTTTCTCATTTACATAGACGGGGATATTTTAATAAAACATTATTTTTGTTTACGATTTGCATAATGCATTTTTTTGTAACGCAAAAATGCAACACCCTTCCACTTAAGTTAGACCCACCAATCAGCGAATGACCAACTTCTTTCGATTTCGATTTTACAGATCTTGTATCTCCACCAAATCTATTCGTCTTAATCTTTAATGTCTTATAGTTTCTAACGACGGCGGTCTATTGTCTAATATTCTTCACTTCTAAGAACTGTTTGTATCCGATTACAATCTGAAATTCTTGAGCCCTACTGTTTCTTGTCAACCCCTTGTAAACGATTATCTCTTGATCTCTATAGGCAATTGACGAACTCGATTCACTTCTGTTATCATGATTCCCGATACATTCTTCTAGCTCTTTTTAATTATATTTCGTAATTATCCTAGTCCTTGCTTATTTCTAACGGTTTCTGGTAATTAATGATTAGCATATTATCTGGTAAACGATGACGACTTTTGTTAACGATGGTAGCTTGACAGCATTGACCAGTTGTTTGCTAATCGCCTATTTCTAACGTTCTTTTGTATTAACCTATTGGCTCTTTAACTCTGTCACGCTTGACGATAATTTGTCTGATATTAACGATTGTTTCCCAGAATTCTGGTCTCTATGATCATCAACTTTCGTATCTTAGACTAAAGTTTCCGTCAACAATTGGCGATATTAGTAAGCTATTAACGAATGCAGCATGAATGTCTCGAACATTTGTTCTATCTAGTTTCTTGTTTAAAATGTTCTCTTGTAATTGATCAACGCTTTTTCTCGGAAAATGATTGGCGATAATTTGTCTGAGATTACTATTGTTTCCACGAATTCTTGTCTCTATATCGTCGACTTTCGTATCTTAAACTAGAGTTTCAGTTAACACATTTAATTGATATTAAAAATTGTGGCTTAATAATAGCTTGCAATAATTCTCATCATCTGCTGAATCTTTTTCCTTGCTTGATATATAAAATTCCAGTACTGCAAATACGACATCATATAGTACAATAAAGAGTTTCACCGACTCTTGTCTTTCAATGAATCTAATAGGACAAAATCTTTATAATTCTTTTTTTGATTCTTAGAGTTAATGTAATGAAACGTTTGAATAAACATGGAATAAACTAGTCAAGTTTTATGCAATGTAAAATAATTAAAAATTTAATAAAATATAAAAATAATCAAATAAAAGTAGATCAATTATTATTTATAAAACATAAAAATAGTTGTTTTTTTAGATTTCGAGCATTTATTATTAATAAATTAAAATTTAAAAAAAAATTCAGGGGGGGGTTAAACCCCCCAAATCCCCCCCCCCCTATGCTTCTGCATATTTTATTATAATTGTTGTTTCATCAAACTTGTATCTATCATTATAATTATTTCTGTAATTCTCGAAATTTCAATTATTATTAATTATAATATAATTATTTTTGTAATTATCATCCAACTTTTCTATCATAATTATTTCCTCAAGTTTCATCATTAATGTTATTATCATTTTTTTTCTTAAGTTAGTTTTTTTATTTTTTTTTCTGTAGTATCGTTTAATTCTTATTATGCTATAGTTACAGTCATTGCTAATGTTAAGGTATATAATATCTTGTATATCACAATCGTAATTCTGATAAGTTCATGTTAGAAAAAGAAAAAAATTATTTAAAAATTTATTACTTTATCTCTCCAGTCGTCGCTATTTTATAAGTAGTTCAAAAACACTATTTAATTCCATTTCATTTAAGTTTATATACAGTTATACAAATTCGAATTTGAATATCATTTTTATATATGATAATTATTATTAAATATTTTTTTTAATTCAAATTTTTTATTTAATTTATCATTATTCATATCATTATAGTAATTATAAATTATATATTAATTTAAAAATTCAGAATATTAAATTATATCAGATATTTTTGCAAATTTTTTTTATAAAGGATTGATAGTACAAAAGTAAATTGACCAAATGGTGATCATCTCAACACATAAAACCATTGGTGGTTTTTGTTGATGCTTGTAATCATTTAGAGAAAAATAATTCATATGCCAAACTAAAATACCTTTATAGGATATGTGATAATAATTATTAGTGGAAATATGGGGAAATGAAACTTATTTAGCAATTGTATGACGGAATACGCTGTAGCAGCATCTAACCCACTAGTTGGTTCGTCGAGAAAAAGTATAGAAGGAATAGTTATAAGTTCTATTCCTATACTGCAACGCTTCTTTTCACCGCCTGATATACCTCTAATTAGCTGTGTTCCAACCTAAAAATAAAAAAAATAAAATTTTGCTTTCAAATGATGAAATATATATTTTGTAAGCAATATTTTTTTAAAAAAAATTATCAAATTTAATTAACAATCCATGGATTTGGCCAAAGGAATTTATTGAGAATTGGCTTGAATGATCAATTTATATGCCTGAGAATTATTAAAATGAATGACACAATTATAAGATTTTATTACAGTAATTAAATATTTCATAAATATAATACAACAGGTTAAATATCGATTTAAATATTATTAACAAACAAATTAAATTTTCCCGTTAGATAAAAAGCAAATTTTATAAAAATATTTTATTACTAATTGATTTATAAACTAAAGGCCAAATTTTTTACTTAGAATTGATCTATTGTGCCTGTAATAGAAACTGGGGGAAAAAAATCTCGAGGGAAAAAAAACTTAAGAATAAAAATATATAATTTAAAAAGAAAATATAAATACAATAAAAAAAATACTATATTTTAAAATAAAATGAAGATTTTTAAAAAATTAATGAATAGTAATATATTTTTTTAGAAAAACTTTTTATTGAGATTGAACTTTTTACCCACCCGAGAAATGGCTGTGCATAATAAAATATATCAATCACAACGATATATAAATTATGGACACCTGCCCGTCCATTAAAATTTAACCCGCTCGCCCACAAGCCTATGTTTTTTTCAAATCGCCTGTCCATTTATCTAAAAAATTTGTTGAACTCGCCCGCCCAATGTTTAAATATTATTTTAATGGTTAGTTTAGCTCTTGATTTATTTTATCTTAATGTATTTTTATTTAAACTTATAAAGTATGCGATATTATCCAATAAAAAAAAGGATTTTTTAAATAAAGTCTGGTTGCTAATTTCACCCGAAAAATATTTAAAATTCACCCCCACATTGTTGTATAAACCAGCCCGCTCACCCGCCAAATGTTAAAAACTTTTAGAAAGTCTGCACACGCCTGTCCTAAAATGGGCGAAATTTAGCTAAAACCCGTCCATTGCATCTAATATAAAGCTTTTCCCGGCGTCTACTTGAAATTTGTTAGAAGTAACTTTATTCAATTTAGACATCCCAAATATCTTTTGCAAGGGTTGGAATAATGGATTATACCATATTGTAGGCTTCCCAAATTCGCATATATGTAAGCTACTTATAAAAATACGTTTAATATTAACTTATTTTTTAAACAGTTATCGGTATAGTAACATCTAATTACAAACAGTTAGAAAATTTTCTTCATTTTATTTAAAAGATATAATTTTTTTGTTGCAATTATATATTTTTCCAAATAATACAAGTTTTTTTCCCAGTATTTTATTTATAAGTTTTTTTTCCGGCACCTTTTATTCATAAGATTTTTTCCGCAGTTCTTTTTCCATAGGCTTTTTTCCGGGTTTCCTTATGCCTATCAAATATTATTTATAATTGAATTTTAACTTTTTGACTGCTGTTTTAAAAAAATATTCATGTACCTTGTTGTCTGCACATTTCGCGAGATTAAGTTCATCGATGATCCTATCCACCATCATTCTTTTTTTTTGAATGGATATTTTAGACGATAGTCTTAGCGAAGCTGAAAACATAATATTTTCCCTCACCGTTAAAGTTCCCATCATAATATCATCCTTTAACATACATTTAAACTTATGTAATTACATTTTAAATACAAATCAGCTGATGGCAGGCCATTTAAGTGCCACCTTATATGAATTTGTAGAACTAAATGAGGCACATAAAATTCTAAATATTATTTACAAGGAAAACTAAAATAACGTATCGCCAACTGATTTTTATTTGATTCGGATACACGTTTAAATAAATGAATTGTCAATCATAGCTAGTATTAAATGTTATTGGTTGGTAGACAAAATGACAAAATATATTCCTTATAAACCAAAATAGCAACGTTATATTAAAACGTGACATACTTGAGTGACGAATCCCGTTTCGTTATTAAAGTTTTTTGACACAGGTTTCCCATCGATCAATATAAGTCCATCGACTCCCAAGAAATCTCGCCTCCCCGCTAACACGGTTAATAAACTTTATTTAAAAAAATATACATATAATATATATAAAGAATTGAGCCCAAAATAGGGAAAAATATATTTTTAGAAGAGAGATTTTACAAATTATAACATTGTTGCAAATGATATATTTATACTAACCGGGGGGGGGGGGGGTCTTCACCCCCTTCCTTCTTCAAAAATTAGCATTAATTTTAAAAAAAAGATTAGCACCCTAATGTTTTATTAGCACCCAATTTTTAAATATACCCATCTAAAGAAATACATTATATTTATATTTAAATAGTGTTTCTACAAAAATTTAGAGCATATTTTAAATAATATCATTTTCCTTTTGCATTAAATCATTTTATTTTTATAATTTCTTTCCTTTTCGCCGTATGCAAAAACATAATGGCGAAAATATAATATTAGAGACCTAGAGGCCCGGCCCGGGTTCAAGGGCAGGGAGGTATTTAATTTTTTTAAATATACCAGGACTGGGTCTAAATATTTTTTTTAAATACCCGGGCCGGGTCGTATACTTTAAAACCAAATATTTAAATCGTCAATATTAGCTATAAAAATTTTAAAAAATATACCCGGGCCGGGCCGAAAAATTTTTAAAAAAAAAATCGGGGCCGGGCTGTGTAAATGGTACCTCTACAGGTCTCTGCATAATATACGATATTTTAAAATTCAGTATACATTCCTTTTTGCGCTGATTTTCTAATATACAAAAATTTGCTCATTTTTTAAATTAATCTAATGTTCATTTTTGAAGTCCCATTTTAATTCTGAAAAAAATGAAAGCTCAACCAAACTTGGTAAAAATATTATTCTAATTTTTATAAAAAAAACATTTAAAGGATAAAAGCTTTTAGATTGGGGTCATTAAAATTTTTTTTTATTGGTTATAAGTGTAAAGTACTTGGGAGTTTCTACATTTTAGATAGGTAAAAAGATCGAAGGCCTGCTAAAAGGGACTTGAAGAACCCTCACAAATTATTGAGTAAAAAATTATACACTTTTAAAAAAAAAATTTTTTGTAGAAAGCTAGCGGAGCCCCTGATACTAATTCATCTTAACTCGCATCACTATTACCTTCAATAACTAAGCTTTCTAGGATAATAAAGAAAATTATTTTTCCAAGCATAGTAAATTTCCTGGTTTTGAACAATTTACACATTTTACATATATCAAGAAAATTAAAAAATATATATAAATGGTTACGATGTTTTTCCACTTCCGCTTGGTCCCATAATCGCATTTACCCCTGGTTTAAAAATGCCACTAATATAAAAATAACAAAAATATATAATATACTATATCAAAATTGTAATAATGGAGAATACGTCCCTCTATAACCCCTATTAAATTAATAATGTAAAAAAAAGACACAGTAGTGTATTTAGAGGGATAGGGGTCCAATGGGTATTTCACTAGACTAGGAATTTATTTAAATCTTATTTCAACTTTTATAAATTTGATTTATATTATTAATAAAATATTAAAAATAATATGTGATTTATTGCTTTTGCCCCCCCCCCCACACTTTTCAGCAAAATCTATAGCTATACCATTGACAACAGTCAATTAGTTTTTTTTCCTTCGATGTGTTTTTTAAAAAAAACAATAATTTGAACCCATTTTTTTTAAATTTAAAAAAGACTCTGATTTTGTTGGAAACGTACTAAATTATAGAAGGGTTGACAAAAATAAGTATTTTTAATTTGGTTATATCATAATGTTACTTATTTAAACAACATTTTATAATAAAATAAAAAAAAATTATAAAAATATATACCGTGGGGGAAAATAATTTCCTAGGAAACATGCTGAAATACATTTTCAGCAAAATCTGATTTTTAAATTTAAAAAAAGGGCTCAATACCAGAAAAATTAATATATTTTTGATTTAATATATAATTGATAAAAGGAAATAATTTTACATGACTCTGTCCAATATCACATGAGATGGTCCTCGCTGGCTCCAAAAATATCTTTTTTTAGCCGGGATAACGTAATTCAAATCACGAAAAGATAGGACTGTTCTTTTGAAGCTCAGTCGGTCTAAAACCTGTTGGTCATCGATAAATTTGGAGTCTTTCCCATCTAATATTCCATGAAACCATGATTCGGATCCATGATGACCATTAGGAAAGGCTTGAGATTCGGATGTCCGAGAATAGGCATGATTAGTGTAAATTGGGGGTTCAATAGTCGTGAGTTTGAAAGTCTTGTTAGGTGGGAGATTGAATATGACTTTGCTTTCTTCCAAGTTCATTTTATTCAAAATTAGGCTTATAAACGAGTGATTTTAAAAAATACATGAAAAATAAATAAATATAAAATGTTTATGAACCCTAGAGATCTCCATAAAATTATTTCATAAATTTTATATGGCATATTAAATAAAAATATTTGCCATAGGCTTTGTATGATTAAATATACAATTATCTTTTATGGATATTCTTTTATTATAAAATGAAATGAATAAATACTAAAATTTCTAAAAATTTCAACCATATATGACTTAAAAAACTAAAATATTTCTTACTTCATAGGTGTATCCAGAGAGTGGAAAAGTGGGGAATTCCCTTCCCCTCAAAAATTTGCGTGTTCACATATCAATTTGGACTAATAAAAATTTTCACCCTACCCCCCCCCCCCCTTCATCCAATGTAAGATATCGCTATAATTTGAAAGAAAAATAAGTAAAATGTAATAATTTTTTTAAATAATGTCTTAAATGTGTATATAATCAACGGAAACATCAACGTCACACTTCTATAAATCACGTCATCAATAAATTTGGGTTCTCGGTAAATCTTTAATATGGGACTATACTTGCCCCTCTTCATTCACATAAAACATTAACATCCATCGCTAACCCAGGCTGAAACCAAAAAAATATAAGGATCTCAACAATTTTATTTTCCTTCTAATAGTCACATCAACTATCGGCCTTTTTTCGCCTATAACATTTAAGTTTTTAATAAGTCTTAGCGGCAAAAGAAATTTCCAAAGAAGCGATTTATATATTCAAAAATAACAAATCGAAAATTTTTATGATTCCTTTTTGGGAACACAATTGTTAAATCCATAATAATTATGCAATTTTTAATTTTAAGCATTTAAATTTTGTTTTAATATAGTTTTTATTTTTATATATGTCATTTATAAATAATTTTAGACAAAAAGATAATATTAATCCAATATTTTAGCCAAAAAAAATTAAGCAATTCCAGATTTCGTGAATAGATGTCCAAAAACTTTCTGCTATCTATGAGTAAAATTTCAAGGATTGCATAATATTTCTTGTTAAATATCGGGTTAGCCGTTTTTAAAAATCGAACCGTATAACGACACAAGTATTACTAGAGCAATTATTATTCATGGCACAAAATGTATTTTTGTCTTCTTGAGCAATCTAATTACAGTAAGATCTATTTTTTCACTAAATTGAAAGCCTTATATTTATCTCCTATATCCCTTAAAAATAAATGTCTTCTTTTTTTAAAGGCCTTATTAGTAAATTTTATCGCTATTGTTGGTATATATTTTAAAATTTTCTTAGTTTATTTAATATTAATCAGTGTAAGAGTATACACTGAATATAGGTCAAAGGGTGGTATGGAATACCTTACATTGCTCAATTATTATAATTTAAGTTGCCTAATTGATTAAATACTTTATTCCCAGAATGTACCTAAAAATGATATCAGTCGATATTAATAATTTTATATCTATAACAATGGCCATAGCAATATTTTCCAAATTTCGATTTATTTAACGTTCCCTTCTTTCCTTATTGGGATAATAGGTAAAAGGCTAATATTCTATCTTAAAGCCCATTAAATTATTCTTATTAAGTTTATAACTTAGTATAGTAAAATTAAAAGAAGAGATTTCGAAGCAGCTCTTAATGCACTTTAAATAGAATTAGATACCCAACTCTGGAGGTAATTAGAACGACGATACCTAGTAATGGCAGTTTACTAGTATTAATTTATAAACTCAAAACAGAAGTTTCCTAGCTATTAATCAAAGTTTGAAGAAAATCTTTGAAGATCTTAAAATCGAAGATATTTTACAAATTTTTTTTGAAATTTTAGGTAAAATTTGATCAAAAAACTTGTCTGAGCTTTTAAAAATATCTTCTTTTAAAAAGTTTTTTTTCATTTTGAAGGGCACATTTCAAACTTTGTTTAAAATTGAAAAATTAAATTTTATTTCATCTAATTAATTATAAATATAATTTTTTTTTAAAATACGGCATAAATTTTATAATTAAACATTACATGGTCAGACCGTGCTTAAATAGTTTCGATTTTTTTTTAAAAAAAACACTAGATTAAAAAAAAATGAGTATCGAATAGGATACTTTGATATTGGCAAAAAAAGGACAGGTGGATCGCAATAACTACTTTTTAAAATGAAAATTATTAGAACTACAATAAAAATAATAGTAGATTTGATTATATTCTAAGCATTTTCTAAGCCGAGATTCATATTGAAATACACGTTCGTTCGGGACACCAAAACAAGGTTCTCCAGGGCAGAGAGATTTAGATTTATAAATAAATAGTATTTTTTCTCGGAGCACTTTCTTATCATTTCTCCGCTTTCCTTGAAAAAAATAGATCGAACCTGTTTCTGAAAAACAATAATTAGGGCCAGACATTCAGATTTTCGAAAAGAATGTGGCCGCATCGTTTAGGCAATAAATTTTTATCTAAGGTGAGGCTGGACCTGAAAAACTAATTCGGTGCCTCTAATTTATACCCAATCGTATAAGATATTAACAACGAGTAAACTAATGGAACGATAAACCGGCGACTCTTTATTTGTATTATATGAATACATTTGAGATTTATTAATTATGCTACTATATATTTAAATGATTACATCAATCAAATACGAATAATAAATTATATTTTTTGTTTAAATACGATGATAAATTATTCGATTTGTTTAAAGGAATCGATTACAAATAATTCTTTATTGAAATCGTATTCGGTTTTTTAATGCCTTAGAAGTATACAAATTGTATAACATGTATCTGCCTAAATACTCCGGTCCGCTAAAATAATATTATAAAAAAAAATTGCACAATCATTTTTATAACAAATTTTTTTTTTGGTTCTTTCTTTGTAAATTTTAAATTTTTATTAGAAACCTGCAGGCCTGACCCTAAGCCGGTCCCGTATTTAAATTTTAATATTCTAGGGCCCGGCCGGGCCTTAAATTTTTTTTAAAAAGCCGAATATTTTAAATCGCCATTATTAAATATTAAAAATAATTACAATATATTAAGAAAATATGAACAGGTTCTTAAAATATAAAAACCCGGACAAGGTTACAAAATTTTTTTTGAAAAAGGGTCCGGCCGCGCTAATGGCACCTCTACAGGTCTTCGATATTTATTAATAAAATTTGAATTTTTTATTGAATAAATATATATAGCCAAAATTGTATTTTTTTTTTGTAAAAAAAAAAATAATTTAAGAACAAGACCTTATTAACTTGAGTATTGATATATTCGGAACCAGGGTTGAAAAATCATAATTTTTTTATAAAAATAATTGATTTTTTTTGGACTAAATTACAATTTTTTGATTTAAATCAATTTTAGTAATTTTATAAAAAATATACTTAGGTTAAATATAATGAAAATTTTATTTTACTATATTAGACATCTGTTTTCATGAGGAATTTATTTAAAGCATTAGTTAAATTAGCGAAAATTTAATTGATTAGAAAATAATTCATAATTTACTATATCTTATATTCTAAATATTTAATACAATAAGGTTTATGAAAAATTAATTGCAGCCTGAATTTATAAAAAATCCCTACAATTCTCAGCTCGACTCAGCTAGGAACGGGTATCAAAAATGGCGGAGAGTCAGTCCCTCATCTCACTGTCATATTTCTTCAAAGCAACCCACAAAACACCTTATAAAAATTGATTTTGATAATGCTTATAATATGATAGACAGTCTACTTTTATAAAATCCTTTATTAATAGCTTTCCATACTACTTTAGTTATATCCTAGATTGTTAGGCCAACCCTTCTATCTTAAAATACGAAAAAATAAACTCTCCAGAAGGGGAATCCGACAGTACGATTTCTTTAGATAGATTTTATTCTGTCTGAATTGCCTTTAGTAAAGAAAATTAAAAATATCTGCCAGCTAGATTTTCATCTCTGTACATAGATGAGGGAAGTCTAGAAGAGGTAGTCAAGGCCATAAGAATTTACAAACGGGTGAGCTAGAGATAGGCATACCCTTAAACATCTGTAAAACATAATTCTGCCAGCTTACCTCCCAATCATCAAAATGTTATGTTCAAGGAGGTTGTGGCCAAGGAACTAACACTTGTTGTCTCACCAGTTGGAGGTTCTTAGCAGTTGAAGTCTTTATCTAAGCTACTAATAATTTAAATAATATGGAGGTTCCTTTACATAAGTCATTTTTTTAATTAAAAATTTCTTTAATATACTGAAGCGAAGATTTTCTATGCTTGGCGTACAACGGCTATTCTTAAATATCCAGCCCTTTAAAGGCATATGAATACAAAATAAAAAACATTATGGAAAAAATAACCAATCTTAATTTTAACTCCAATTCGTGGTATCAAATCATTCTATCTTGCAATAAGGGAGGTATAGGGTTAGGATCACCCATAGTCTTATGAATAATTGGTTTAATCTTGTCCAGTTACAAAATAATAATTGATAACCTATCCCCTAGATGCGCTACTTGACTAAGTTTATATCATAAAGAAAGCCTCAGTCGACAGTAAATGTCAACCTCTAGTCTCATAAAAAAGGAATTAGGATAATCCGATGATTGTAAAGTCCATTGCTTACATCTTTTAGATCCTGCTATTTGAAAATCATGCCCTCCTGGGCCTCTCTCAGCCAAGGATCTGCCTATAAATACTTAGATGCTATTCCAACTAAAAATCTGATCTCGAGCTAACAAAACAGGAATTAAGTTTCGTATTGGCCATTTGCCTAAATGTAACAGCCTCTGTCTCATATGAGTGAATCAAGTGCAAGAAACCAGTAAATTTAGCCAACATTACCCCCAATACATCTTTAGTAATGGACGTTCAACAAGCATATCAGATGTAATGCTCTCATCAAACGGGATTTACAAGTCGTAAATTTTCTTGCAACTTTAGAACTCCCGGGCCTCTTCACTGATGAGAGGAGGCCCGATGGAATAACATAGGTTCCTTAGATGGGACTTTTCTTGTGATGACTCCCTATCACCTTCCAACAATATCTTTCTTTCCATTTTTTCTTTTTTTAAAAATGTATTTATTTTTCTTTATATTCGCTATTTTGATAAATATAATATGTAAATGTTTTTTTAATTATTAATTTTTTCCATGAATTAAATTGATTTTTCTGTAATTGCAAATTTTTTTAAAAAAAATTGAAAAAATTAATGCATTATTAACATTGTTTGATTATTTAAATTTAATTAATATTTTTTTAAATAAATTAGATTGAATATTTATAAATTGCATCTGAATTAGAGATATGCAAAACTCGGCTCGCGGACGGTAAAATTTTTAGAAAATTATAGGGTCAGAGGGCAATATGTCATAAATTTTGGGGTCGGTCGGACAATTTATAGATAAAAAATCAGACGAGGTCTCGCAAATTTCTGATTTTTTACTAAAATTTTAATAGGCTAGCCCGCGTATTAAAATTCGATATTTTTTTTTCGAATTACATGCGAATATTTTAATTTTAATCAATACTATTTAAAAATAAATTACAATATGGTCATTTCTTTGTATTTTAAGAGTTGACTAAATATCTATATTATATAAATAAAATAGTAAATCGACAAAAAATAAAATTATAAAAATATACATATCAAACCCAATTGATTTCTAAAACAAATAGAAAACGATAAAGAGAATATAAGCGCCTTCCTTAATTGACATTAGGAAAAAATTAGATATAGATATTAAAAAGGTAATGTGTAAAAAATTGGTACATAATTTTTTAATAAAACGGGGTAAAGTTTTTTGTAATGTTTGCCTTGGCCAGGTCGGACCGGCGGTCCTGTCTATATCGGTCTCATCTGACTCTTGGGCACGAAGGGACGGTCTGGTCCGACCGAACCGATTCAAGGAGATAAAAGTTAACTATGAATTTCTTTTTACTTAATGTACATGTACATGAACACATAAAACATGATTATTTAATGCCTAACACTTTATAATATCTCATTCATCGTTTAATTTTTATATCTTCCGTTTCATTCAATTCATTCGTCAAGCAGAGTTGTTAAAGTATCGCGCTAACTTTTTTGGTAGCAATAGCTAATAGCGGCTACTTTTTTTGTAATTATTTAATTTTTTTAGCGCGCTACTTTTTATGAAAGTAGCTAAGTAGCCGCTACTTCGCTTTTAAAAAATATAATGAAGGTAAGTATAAACATGAAAATTTAAATATAATATCATAATTAATTATAATTTTAATGATTTATTATTTAATTTTGAAATTGAAATATAATTTCAATTTGTAATTTATATTTTCATTTGTATTATAAACCTAAATCACGTGTTAATAATTTAAAATGTCATCGCCTATGGATAACCAAATCGTTGAAAGTGATTCAGACAATGATATTAATGAAATGGAAGATACCAGGGAAGAAAATGTTTTTAATAGCTATAATACAAATTTCCCATTCCCTAGATTTGAAATTTTTTTAAAATAAATATATAACCAAAACTGGTTTCAAATTTATTTGTTTAAAATGTAAAAAAAAATATTTCCTCAAATTAATCCAGTAGTTATAATCTCAAGAAACACCTAAAGGTAAATTGTCATTTTTACATTCTAATAATATTTATTTTATAAGACTGTTCATGAGTTTTAAGGAAATGGAGAAACAGCTAATTGGCATAAGCGACTCTACATCCAAAAAGACTAATTCAATTCACCAAATTAATTAATAATGAAAATGACAATATTTCTCAGAAATTGGCTGATAAAGTTACTGTTAATTTTATAATTTATACAGTTCAGCCAATGTCCTTAGTTGATAATCCATCATTTACCATGATGATTAAAACTCTATCCCCTGGTACAACAATTTTATGCCGCCAGACACTAATAGATGACTTTAAAATGATGAAAGATGCTCTAATAGTAGAATTATCAGAGATATCATATATATGTACCACGGAAGATAGTTGGACACATAACAGAAGGTAAAAACTTATTTATATTTATAAATTGATCGATTAAATAATTTTGAGCTTATTTGGGAATCACAGGCCATTGGCTAGATCCTAGGACTTTAAAAAGAAGATATGTGGTATTAGCCCTCAAAATGATAATAGGATGTCAGACATACGATGAACTTGCAAATAAAATTATTGATAATCTATCTTATATTAAAAATATGTATATAAGATTAAATACGCCCTTACCCTCAAGTGCTAGTGTGGAGAGATTATTTAGTAAGGCAAAACTTATACTTTCTGATCGTCGCTCTAAATTTGGGGATGATAATATTGAAATGATTTTATTCTTAAAATGCAACAAATTACCATAAATATTTATTTTTATTACATAAATTTTTTTATAATCAAAACGAACTATATTTTAATATTTATAAATGTTGATTTTTATATATTTACTATACAATAACGTTATAAGCAAAAAATAAGAAATTTGTTTGTAAATTTTTTTTATAAAAAGTAGCTAAAGCTACTTTAAAAAAATAGTAGCTAATAGCGAACTACTTTTTTTGACAAATAGCAATAGCGGTAACGCGCTACTTTTAAAAGTAGCGTTTAACAACTCTGTCGTCAAGTAATTTAATTTAGTAGGGTAATTTGTATTGTATAATATAATAAAAATTTGATAATATAATTAAATATTGGTAATTTAACACTTTTCATTTTTAATAAATTTAATGCAGAATAAAACTTTTATAGCTTAATAAAAAATATTTTTTAGATGGGACCAGACCGGACTAAACTGATGATCCCACGGTCTGGCCTTACTTGATTTAATAGTCCATCGGTCCGGTCTCATTTTAGAAAAAAGACCGGACCGGGCGGGACCGGACCATTGCAAACACTAGTTTTTTTAATTAATTTTAATATATCAACAAAATATTGAATCATTATTCATTAAAACTGATATATTTTAGAGATGTTTTTATATTTCCTTAAATTTGAACAAGTTCATGTCGATCTGGTCTTTGGCACAGACCAATACACAAGAACCGAACAGAACCATGATCTTCAAAAAAAGATCCGATCTAAGAGCAATAAAATCAGACCGCTGCCTAGAAGAGTCACATACTCAAAAGGCTAGCGACGTCCATTGCCTATAAAATAAAACAAGCAATCTTTATAATTTCCTGCCAAGTCAAAAAAACATTTTCGGCTCCCAATATTGGCACCTAAAAATATTTCCGATATAGTTGGGTAATTACCATATTTTTAGCTGTTTAAGCTAATTTTTAGCCAGCTAGTGAGTTTTTAGTCGAAAATTATCACTTTGGTCTTTTTAAAACTATGTTAGCTAAAATTTGAAATAAGCTAATTTAGATCAAAACGCTTAATATTAATGCCGGCACGTGCCTGTATATTAAGCCTAATTAAACAACATTAAGTCATCACTCAACTATATTAATCGTTCATAAAAAAATAACCTCCCAAATAAACTTTTCTCTCCCCTCATCTGAAGCTTTCTACCCTCCCCTTTCGTTTCTACAAATAAGTTACTAAAGGAATCCAGGATTCTAAATAACAAAGATCAACGGTCTAAATTCAGATCGCTCCACCAAAAAATTTCAATATTGGGAATTTTTTTATAGCTTTTTTTTTAAACTTGAGGGGGCTTATTTTAGAAAATTTCTAGCATTAGCAAAAAAAGAAGAAAATCTATCTATTACCATAAAAAAGCAATTCTACCAAAAATTGGCAAAAACGCAAGTATATCTAAAACAATTTAATATTTATTAGGCGGGCATGAGTCCCTATGCGCACTCTCCTAGCGACCCATATTGTTGTAGGACATCCTGAATCATTGACTGAATGAACCCTAATTTTTGGATGATAATTTTATTTTAAATTAAATAACCCAATGTAGGAATTTAAATTTTTCCCAAATTTTTTTAATTTCCTTGCAATTTAAATTCAAACGAAAACAGAATCAGAAGAAGAAAATGCCTCATTAAAAATAAAATTCATTTTTATTAAAATCCTGGATCTCGATTATATTTAATTAATTTTTTTAAAGAATGATAGTTTAACTAGACTGATAAAATTTATTCTATTTTTAATTTTATAATTTACCTTTAAAAGAATATACAAGAATTTTTTTTAAGAATACATTGAAGAGAAGGAAATAATTTTATAAAATATTAATAATTTTTAAATGAAATGCAAAATGAAAACTGACTAATAAAAAATATAATTTAGAGGTAAATAAAATATAAACAAAATAAACAAACAAGACGACGCTGAAAAAATAATATATTCTATCCCAACAACGGATAATAAAACAAAAAATAAAAAATATCATGTCGTTTAACTTGTCTAATTTGAGCCCTTATTTATTATTTTTTACCAATATATGCAGGCCCGACCCGGGTACATGGGCCGGGATGAAAAATTTTTTTTAAAAAATATCCGGGCTGAACCTGAAAATATAGAACCCGGGCCTGGTCGAAATTTTTTTTTTAAATATCCGGACCGTGCAAATAGTACCTTTGCAGGTCTCTGATTTTTTTAAAATAAACACTTATAATTTTATGTAAAAATAATTTTGTCCTACCACATCTCTATCAAGGTTGCCATGCCAAGGTCAAAATTTTAAAGGTGTGGGAGAATTTGGTAAAAATCTTTATTTTGAGGGAAAAATAATGAAAATTGTGGGAGAAAATTTTTTGCGGCCTATCGGCAGGGTATGTGTAGCTCCACCCATAGATTCTTATCATATTTTATCCAAGCATGGGGATTTATCGTTATTATAAAAAAAATACTCATTTCTCCATTAAACCAATCATAAAAAATAGAGAAACAATCTCCTCAAACAAAAATCAATATCTAGCGGTATTTTTAATATATTTATCAAATTACAAAATCCACAATTGATGGTTTTTGTTACAAGGTCATAACTTTATTCATTTGAAAATAGAATTATCAAAATCAAATTTTGATTGCCATTAAATAGTCTAAAATTGTTTGAGTAAAAATATCTGCTTCCTTCAAAAACTCATTAATTAGGGCAACATTTAAACAATTGAAGATGACATTATAAAGGTGGACACGTCTAATTTATTATCAATTTTACTTTTAGATTAATATAGTTGTAACATAATTTGTATTAACAAAGATTCTTTGATTGCAATTGCATATTAACAGCATGTAATTTTCCTAAATGTGAAACCATGCCTAAATATGCTTCCGCCAATTTATTTTCGAAAAATTTTTTCAAAATTCTTGGGCAGCTTTTATATTATCCATTTAAAAAATATCTTTTTAATTAATATTTTAAAATTCTCAATGGCGGGTATTATTAATAATCAACTGATAGGGGACATTCGTACTAACTCACATCATTCTATATCATGGTGCTAGTCCTTGCAGTTTATTCAACTAATTTTTACATAAATTACGGCGATTCATAGTTTAGTCATCTTAATTTAACATTAATTACTGCTTTTCGCAGTTTATCATTTTAATTTTACATAAAATACAGCTATTCGTATTTTACCAGTGGCAAGGACAAAGAGGTGGGTTTGAGGTTGAACCCCTCCCCTTATGAAATATGATCAGGTAAAATTTTTGATTTCATAATTTTATATTGATATCTAGACAAAAATTTTCTTTTATGTTTTAAATTGATTAAACCCAGGACTTAATTCTCTAAATAAAATATTTATATATTTTAAAATATGAAAAGTTGTCTCCTCATTCTAGAAGAGCCATAAATAAATGTATACTCTAAGTTGTATTGTACATAATAACATTTAAAAGCTTTACTATAACCTTTATCAACTCGTATTTTGAATATGGAAAAAAAACTATATAATATATTTGCAATTTGGTTGGGATTTATTTATGGTGTAGAAAATGCTCAATTATAGAGGTTTATTTTTTTTATCATTAAATCATTGATAACAATTTTGATTATTGTAATTGAAAGTCAAACTTTACTAAATGATTAACAATCAATATTTAGTTTCATAATAGAAAATTCATTGAAAAAAAAACATTATAGTTATAACAAAACCCTCTTTTTAATTTTTTAAATAAAATTGACTATCTATGGTAAAAATCTAGTCTAAGACCTTCAAAGGCGGTTAAGCGAATCAAGTCCCAAATATAATTTTAGACTTTCTATCATGAATCTTAAATTTATACTTTTTAGTATAATTTTTAGTTTCTCAACAAAATTGAATATGTCAATATTACTCGATTTGGCTTAGACGTTAATAACATTCATAAAGATTGTGTAATATTAAAGGTTTAGATAATTGCTTATTTTCTCATAGATCTTGTAGAAACTAATATTTCATGATTATCAGTCTTCTGTAAACGTAGGTAACAATATATAATTTCTAAATATATAATACATTATATCTACAGCATTAAAAATGAAAGACTTATTTCATATACAAAGTTATCTCATCATTCTAATAAGGCCATATGTGTATACTATTGGTTCATACATAATAATAACATTTAAGAACTTTACTTACATAATCTTTATCAACTAGTATTTTGACGTAAGAAAAAAAACTTTATATTAGCAATTTTGTCGGAAATTATTTTGTAAAGGTTGCTCAATTATAGAGGTTTACTTTTTATCAGGAAATCATTAATATTTGATACTAATTTATAGATTTTATTGAAAATTATTAGATAAACTTTGCTAAATGCCTGACAATTTGTATTGTTGAAAGACCTAAAAAATGGCCATATTATTATTTTAGCCAAAATAATATTATATTCTCGAAATTTAGCAAGAGGTCCAATCCTTTCTGACATATGTGACCGCTAACTCCAGACTTACATAATATTATTTTTTGTAAAATCATAATTAGGCAAAATCGATTAGAAATTGGAATAAAAGAAGAGGATAAAAGAAGAAAAGGATAGAAGAGAAAAGGATAAAAAAGAGGATAGAAGAAGAAGAGAATGGAAGAAGAAGAGAATAGAAGAGGAAGAAAATAGAAGAGGAAGATGATAGAAGAAGAGAATAGAAGAATAAGAAGAGGACAGAAGAATGAGAAGAGGATAGAAGAGGAAGGGTTTAGAATAAGAAGAGGGTAGAAGAAGAAGATGATAGATGAAGAGGATAGAAGAAGAAAAAGAAGACGAAAAGGAAAAAAAATGAAGAGGAATGAAAAGGATTAAAGAAGAATAGAATAGGAAAGGAAGAGAAGAGAATAGAAGAGGAAAAGAAGAAAAAGAGGTAGATAAGGAAGAAGGTAGAAGAGGATAGATGAGGGAGAGAATAGAAAGTAGAGGATAGAGATAGAATAAGAAGAGGATGGAAGAAGAGGGTAGAAGATGAATAAGATAGAAGAAGAAAATGAAGAGGACAGAAGAAGTAGAGGATAGAGGAATAAGATAGAATATGAAGAGTATGGAAGAAGAATAGGATAGAATATGAAAGAAGTAGAAGAGAAAGATGATAGAGAAGGAAAAGGATAGAAAAAGGTGAAAATAGAAGAAGGTGAGGATAGAAGAGGATTGATAGAGTTATGAAGTAGAGGACAGAAGTGGAAGAAGATCATAGAGAAAAGGGATTGAAGAAGAAGATAGAAGAAGAAGATAGATGAAAAGAAGAGGATAGATGAAAAGAAGAAGGAAGAAGAGGATAGATGAAAAAAGGAAGGAAGAAGAGGACAGAAGAGGAAGTGGATAGATGATGAATAGGATGGAAGAGGATAGAATAGGAAAAGGATAGTATATAAAGAGGATGGAAGAATAGGATAGAAGATGAAGAGGAGAGAAGAGGATAGAGAAAGATCGGGTTAAATGAGAAGAGGATAGAAGAAGGTGAGGATAGAAGGAGAGGAGGATAGAAGAAATAGAGAAAAGAGGGAAAAAAAGAGGATAGAAGAGGAAAATGATAGAAGAAGAAAGGAATAGAAGAAGAGATTTGAAGTGGAAGATGAAGATGAAGAGAAGATAAGAGGAGGATAGAAGAAAAGGAATATGATTGGAAAAGATGAGGATAGAAGGAGAGGAGGATAGAAGAAATAGAGGATAGGAGATAAAAAAACTGGATAGAAGAGGAAAATGATAGAAGAAGAAAAGAATAAAAGAAGACATTTGAAGTGGAAGATGAAGAAGAAGATAAGAAAAGGGAAGAGAAAGAATATGATGGGGGAAGATGAGGATAGAAGAATAAGAAGAGGATAGAAAAGGATAGAAGAGGAAGAGGTAAGATAAAAAGAGGATAGAAGAAGAAGAGAATGGAAGAAGAAGGGAAGAGGAATAGGATAGAAGAGGAAGAGGATAAAATAAATAGAGGATTGGGATAGAATAGGAAGAGGATAAAAAGGATAGAAGAAGAATAGGAAAGAAGAAGAGAGAATAGGAAGAAGATAAAAGATGACTCGGATAGAAGAGTACGAAAAGAATAGAAAAGGAACAGGATTGAAGGTGATAAGGATAGAATATGAAGAGGATGGAAGAAGAAGAAGATAAAAGAGGAAGAGGAGTGTAGAGGAAAAGTATAGAAGACGATAGAAGATGAATACAATAGAAGAACAGGATAGAAGATGAAGAAGATAGAAGAACAAGAAGATAGAAGAGGATGAGGATAGAAGAAGTAAAAGATTGAAAAATAAGGGTGATGAGGATGGAAGAAGAATAGGGTGAAATAAGAATAGGATGGAATAGGAACGAACAAGAAGAAGCAAAAGAAATAGACGAGGAAGAGAATAGAATATTAAGAGGTTGAAAGAAGAACAGGATAGAAGAAGAATAGGACAGATGTGGAAAGAAGAAGAATAATGGAAGAAAAAGTTAATACAGGAAGAGGATAGAAGAAGAAAAGGATGAGGATAGAAGAGGAAGTTGATAGAAGAAGAGGAAAAGCTAAGAAATAGATTGAAGAAAGATATGATAGAATGCATGGAAGAAGAAGAGGATGGAAGGTAATATTAATTTTAACAAGCTTGGAATCTCATTCGGTAGAAATTTTTAATGATGCTTACTACCCTAAGGTATTACCTATCAAATTTGTATTTTTATTTTTCATTTGGGTAGGCACTACCAAATATATTTATAATATATATTTGAAAAATTATGATTTTTGGAAAGCGTCTGTGGCCTAGTCGGCAAGAGCGTTGCTTACCAATCCGATGGTTATGGGTTCAAATCCCAGCAACAATGATCATATTTTTTTTCTTAATCTAACTTGGTGGTTCCGTCTTTGGGGGATGATGTATAGGAAGTCGGACTCGGACCACGTGATTCCGTTATAATATATGTTAAATAATAAGGGTCCTATTATATTTTAATAAATTTTGGTATTTGGTAGTTTTATCAAATAAAAATTGTAAAATCACGATTCGCTCGTTACTGCCTTTAGTAGTAAGCATAATTAACCGAAATTTTGTTATTAGGAATTTGTTGATAATCAACTTAGAAGTCAGATAGGAAGGTCTTTAAGAATAAAAAAAACTTTGGAGAATATATAAAAATTTATTACACCCAAAGACTAATTAAACAAAATAATCTGTTAATATAAATTATTACTATTCTTGTAATTGCGTATTTTTACATTTTATAATATAATTAATTGTATATAATAAAATGTCAATTAACCTATGTATGAATGCAGATTCGTAGATTATATATTTAATTTTTTTATATTATCTTATGCCAATATAATATTTTATTCATGTCAAACATCAATATTATGTCAATCAATTATTCGGATTATGACCGAGGAAGGGCATTAAAAAATCTCGCTGTTATAAATTGATGATTTTTTTCTGATATAGTTAAATATGAGTTAATGATCTTTTCAGTGAGATTTCAGATTGTATGTTGCTATAACTATTATTCGATTCAATTTATTTATTGCATAAAAGTATATAACTAATTGTTGATTTCTAATTTTTGCTAAGAATTTAATCGTTTTATAAATTTTAAATAATAAATATATATTAAGTTTTTAATCGAAATAGTAATTGCATATTCATAATGAGGGAATGTATGGTTATCAAGTAAAATTTTTAAGTCTCTATTTAGCATTTTTTCGCAGACGCCTTAATTGGATGTAAGAAAAACACCAAAAAATAAGAATCATGCAGAATAAGGCAAAATGATTGCTCCACAAATTCCAACGTGTTTTATAAGGGATACCCTGTGATTCTAGGTAATTGTTACCATAAACACTAAATTAATATAAAAATTAAATATAATTTTTGTTTTATAATATAATATATTTTATACCAAGCAGGTTCTTCCGTGCCATTGCTAACAAAATTCTTTTCTGCACCGCAAAACGAAGCATCTTTAATCTCATTAATCAATAGTGCCTATGTATTACACAAAATAAAATTATAAATTATATAATTTTTTTTAAAATTATTACATTGTATGCATATCTAAATATGCTGAAATATTTTAACCATCGTATTTTTGGGGAGATAGATTGAAGATTTACGAAAAGTCCACCAAATACCTTTTTATAGAAATTACATTATAAAAAATATATATGTTTACCAAAAAAATAAGACTCGTAATTCAATTATTTAAAGAAAACAGAATGTGTATTAATTAACTAATAATATTATTAGATAAAACCTACTGCAATTGTGGGGAAAACCCATTAAACTAAAATCAAAAATTTACTTTTATTTTAAATATTCGTTTCATTCATCCCTTCATCATTTTATTTTTTATAAAGTATTTAGTTTAGGTCGTTAGTAGTGTTGTTAAACGGCTCGATTTGAGCCTATTTTTAAAAACGGCCAAGTCAATATACCAGAAAAATATTGCAAAAGCCTTGAGATTTTTCTATTAGATGTTTGCCATCTATGACCAAAATCTTCAGGCTTGGATAATGTTTTCCTGACTAAAATATTGAGTTAGCCGTTTTTAAAATAGGTTCAAATCGAGCCGTTTTACAACACTTACCGTTGGTTGTTAAATAAAATATTGGCCCAAAGGGAAGTCCCAAATTTCCCAGAAACGTATACAGCGACAAAATATATGACTAAATTCGAACACAGAAATATATTATACTAATAAGATAATCTTACCATCATAAATACGAAAACTAGACCGCAATAATTCGTAGCAACCCCTATAGTATCGTAAGAGACGCTGGCTAATAACGCCATACTACTGGCCGATGTGGTTAGGCAAATTAAACTCAGAATAAAAATAAAATAATTTCCAGCGTAACGTTTCAATCCTTTTTTTAAAAATATATGTCAAAATGATAGCTACATAATATTATATATATTCTATAAGAGAAAAGATTGATAAGTGTAATAATAGGTATAATTATTAACCCTAATCCGATAAGGTTATATATATGTCGTATATACAACACTCTTTTTTTTGACTTATTTAAAATTTTAATTTAAAAAATAATCATGAACATTAAAATTTATTTTGAAAATTCTTTATTATTCTGTTTAAAATTATAGCACTTTTATGCAAAATATTATTATTTTCGCCCAATTATATTATAATTGTAGCATATTTACCTTTGCCTTTATAACTAAGGCTATTTTTTATGGCTCTGAATTAATAAGATTCTGACACATATTCTGGGATATTGATTTCCAAATAAACTCTATATTCTTCTAAGAATCCTTTTTGCTAATTTCCAAATTCTCAATTAAGTAACCTTCATTTTTTCAATATGATTGAAATCTGCAGTGGTGACAGATTAATATTATGATCTTTGCAAGTTTTGAAAATTTAACGGCACAAGGAGCTCTATCTTGATGGTAGGGTAATTTGTTTCAAGTCCCACTAACCGAATTGCTAGGATCGGTTCAATACTATGTTGAGGATATGATATTTAACAGTATTATATTATTTATAAGGAAAATATAACCTTGATCTTTTGAATATGCGACCCCATAACATTATACTATCTAGAAAAGGAAAGAAGGAAGGAAGAAATAAATATTTATCCAATATTATAATAAAAATTCATATTATTGTTTGATATTAATTTTAAAATTATTTGCATTATTTTTAAATGAACAGGGTGTCTAATATAGAAATTTATTAACTTCATGAGATGAAACCACTGTTGATAAGGTTATAAGGTGATCGAACCCTATACCTCCTCTATTGCTAGATTGATGAATTAGGTTAAACTTGATTTGTTATTTTTCATTATATTTTTTATTTTTTGATTCATAATCTTTTAAGGGTGTGATGTATTTAAAAACTGGTGGTAGAGCGCAATGCATAAAGAATTTTTGATATATTGAAGAGGTTTTTGATTAAAAGATATGGTTTGTACGGAGGAAGTTTTGTGAGGAGCCCTTCCATATTCTTTAAATAATTGCAGCTTGGAAAAATGTTTCAATTGCTGATTACTCTCCAACTTGTGATCTTAAATTTAGTTTTTATGCCACAACGTCTTTGAAAGCATGGGGGGAGAGGGAAGTTGATAGATATTTGTTTATAGACATTTAGAGTGGGCCTATACTTCTGTAAAATTCTAATGGCTTTGGTTATATCTTTAAGGTTACTATTGAAAATCTCGTCACTATGTAGCAGAGATGAAGATCTGTGGGCATATATTTTTGATTTTCTTTACTAAATCGTCAATTTTAAGATAAAATAAAATTGATCCTAGGGGATGGCCTTGTTGGATTGCTACGGATACAGACATCATACATTATCGCATTATAAGATGGAAAGGTAAGCGTAGGAAGTATCTAGCGTTGCTTGGAAAGCAATTAATGTAGAATTTTATAAAAGTAGTTTTACTCGTATTATAAGCATTGTATACTAAATTTTACTAAGGTGCTTATTTTGTAGTTTGCTTTAAATCTGTATGCAGTTGATATGAGTGGCTATCCTATAAACAAACGGATTGTCATAATCCGAAGATTGTAAGGTCCGTTGATTACCACTCATCAATCTGTTAATCATGCCCTCCTAGCTTGAATCTGGTAAATACTTCATTCCACCCCAAAACATTGACCTTGAGCTGAGCAATCGGAAATTCAGCTTCGCTTTAATCATTCAACTAAATATAGCATCTATATCGTATGAGAACGCCAAGTGCAATAAATGAGTAAGATAATCTGGCCGACATTGCCTAAAATGCATCTGTGGTAATAGACGTTCCAGATATATCAAATAAAATTCTCTCATAAGAAGGCCTTATTCCTGCAACTTTAGAACCCCAAAACCATTTTTAATGAATGAAGACTGCCTGACAAAATCACTAGGATTTCTTAAGAGAACCATTGATTTTTCGCACGGAATTTTTCCTGCGTTTGACCTCCTTTCAACCTCCACCACCAACAAGAACATTACAAATACACATGATTTTAAAACAAATAAATATTCGGATATAACCTAACAAATATCAATTCATACCCTACATCACAACAATATAACTAAATAACTTGACAAAAGAAAAAATCTACTTAAGTCATCTCATTGGAATTTAGATTATAAAATCCAAATTATTTTGCTTCAAGGATACATTTCCAGATTATCCACTTAGATCCCTTCCTTCCTTTTTCTATCCATTACCTCTTTTGAAATTTTATAAACTATTGAGATTATAAAGTTTGAAATTCGAATCTACAAACATAATCATCTCATTGTTGCATCTTATGAATAATTAGACTTTTACATAAATTAATATTCATAGTTGTTAAAGTATCTAGATATAAAAATGTGGTAACTGTATCTAGATAGATTTTTGTTTAAAGTATCTGTATCTAGATATTATTTTAGAGGTATCTGTATCTGTTTTAGATACTTTTTAAGATACATTTTGATATACTTTTATTTAACGCTTTTCTATATTATAAATAAAAACACTTGAATGAAAAATTTATTTTATTTCATATGAGCATATAATTTAAACATAATATATATATATTATAAGACTACTATAATAAAAAATTATATATATAATATTAAGACTACTATAATAAAAAATTATATATATATAATATTAAAACTTGTATATTAAAAAAATATATATATAAATATTCATTAAATATTATGTCCGAGTTTATCAAATTAGACAAATTTTGATATTACAATGCATCTCACGGAATCTGTCATTTTTAATCTTAATAAAATTGGTTAATTTTATTTTATTATACTAATTTAAAAATTTTTTTTAGATTAATATTAATAGTGATGAAGAGGAAGAAGTAATAATCAATGAAGCATCAACAAGTTCAGACATTGTTTTATGACAAATTTATATAGCATATTTTAAAATAATATCTCCAAATAAAGAAAACAAATCTCTGATAGCAAAATGTTTGCCATGTCTACCAAAAAATACGAAAATTTCAGTAGCATTATCTCAATTTGCAACATTGCAAAACATTTAAGGGTATAGATACTAAATAAATGTTTACATTGTAATTTTAAATTTTAAGAGAAAGCATCAAACACTGTAAATGAAAATAAAAAAGGGGAAGGAAAATGAATCTATTAAGGAAAATATTGGACTAGGCTCATTGTCCACTGATATTTTTGCCAAGAGACCTCAGACTTTAACTTAAACTACTTATGATGATAATTTTTTCAAAAATGAATGTCAAGATTTTAATATTTTTAAAGAATATCCTGATATAAAATTGTTATTCATAAAATATAACACCACAATCCCTTCAAGTGCCCTAGTGTAGCTTAAAATGTCTTTACAGCTTAATGACCAAAATTTTGAAAATATTTTATTACTAAAATCAATTATTTATAATCATTTAATCATATATTTTCATATATTATTATTATATTATAATCTAAAAATCATTATTTTAGTTATATTTTGATAAATGTGATATTGAGTCAATAAATTTTTTAGCTCATTTCATGAATTTTCACAATAGAATCCTAATTTAGGATTATGCAAACCTTATATAAGAGTATAATAAAAATTTTATCTCTGTCTTGATACATTTTTAAAATTGCTATATCCAGATAACTTTTTAAACAATGCATCTGTATCTAGATAACTTTTAGAAGATGTATCTGTATCTAGATTTATTTAAAAAGTATTTTTTTACAACTCTGTTAAAATTTATATAAATTAAGATTTTATTTTAAGAGATTAATAATCATTAAAAATTTAAAAATTATTGTAAGCTAGAAATTGTGTAGTTGAATATGAACGAGGTGGGATATTATATATTTCTTATTTTAGCACATGCCTTAAATCAAAAATGAAATGTATAAATACTATTTCCTTTCCTATCTATTAAGGATTATAAAATAATACTTTAATATTAACAACCAATCTTATTTTAGGGGGAGGGGGGGGGGGGTAAATATAGTTTAACTAAAATATGATATTAGCTCAAAATAAGTTTAAATAAAAAAAACTATGGCAAAAAAAATAATAATAAAAAATAAGATGGTGGCAGATTAGAAAAAATTATGTTTTTACAAAAATTACCTATCATCCAATATGCAATGATGGAAACTAATAAAACTGGTACAAAACGCATAGGTATCAAATCGCATAATAATTTTGATAAAAAGTAAACGGATACCCTGTAAAAACCATTGGTAGTCTCGTGCCTTATTAAATGAATTATAAATAAAAATAATTTATTGGATAATAATATTTGCTTGCAGGCACTTCCATCATGAAAAGGGGCTGGGATATCGTCATTGAAATTGGAGAGGGGGTCTTTAATTTTTTTTTAAAATCTTTATTTTCTTTTTTACTTATTTTGATTTGAATTTCCTTTTTTGATTAGGCAGGGGGGGGAGTAATATCTTCATTATCTGGGGGGGGGGGTGTAGAAGTGTCTACCTGCTTGGTAAGTAGGGCCTTTGACACATTTATTAACTAGTAATAGATAAGTGATGATATGATAATACATAAATTTATTTTCTTATAGCATTGATTTATAGTAAAAAATATATAATTTTTCAAAAGGTAAACTAAAATATTTACGAATTATTTTGAATACTTAAAATTTATTTCGATATTTAACTGATATTTTCTAATTATTTAGAAAAATAAAAATTATTCGATCTTATAAAGAAAAAGCTTTTATTCTGAGTAATTTTATCGTTAACAATCGCAATCTTAATTGGATATACTGTGCAACTCAGTTATAAAAATGAACTAAATTTATTAATGATATTTTTTTAAAAAGATATTATTTTTACACGTATAAAACTCTTTCCTTCATAAATAATTCGATAGCCGACAAATTTCCAAACACTTGATTCATTAATATAAAAAAGAGGGCTCCGATTCTTGAATTATTTTTTTTCGATAAAAAATATATATAAATAATGTTTAAAAAAAATACAATCAAATAGAAGAAACTTGTTGTTAAATAATAATTATCGAATTGTTATAAATAGATAAAAAGTTGATAAGACAAAATTCTCTCGTGTAAAATCTAATAAAATTCATTTCGAAGAGAAAATGTAATATGTCTTTGAACTTTATCAAATTTAAGAAGACAAATAGCAAATTTTTACAATTTAAATCACGTGTTTCATTTTTTCAAAAACCTGTTTTTTTAGAATCGTATTGCATATTCCCTGTAAATTTTTGGAAATTTTATCCTTAATTTTTGTGTATTTATTTAATTTATATATTTTTTTAAAAAAACATATATATCAAAAATTAATGCAATCAGGATTAGTTTGAACGTTCTTGGAAAAATTGTTTAAAGTTCATAGAGAAGGAATGGTACCCTCGTTGCATGCTAGAAATATAATTCCGGCCAAATTAAATCTTTCGAAATTAAGAAAAAATGTGTGCGATAAATGATTTCGAGTTTTAAAAATCAAAGGAATCGAACACAATTCTAACTCTTGACCTTACAAATACATATTTACATTTATAAATGATATTGAATAGTTTATTTTGTTAGCCAAATAAGAATTTGAATTAAATTGTATAACTATTAATGATATACCTATTTTGTAAGCCAAATTTAATTGAGTTGTCCACGTGGAAATAAATGAAGCCGACTATAAACGAGTACATAATCATGGTGAAAGACTTTTTAATAAAAAATAAATAAACATGTAATATGAAATCTTGAAACATTGTTTTAGCAAGAATATGAAATGTATAATTCTCATGATGATATATCATTTATCATAATATGATCGTTTAATTTTTTTAAAAATAAGTTATAAGTCCTTTTTACCTGCACCAAAACGGGTTGGGGATTTCGGATTATGTTCATAATAGTTCTTCGACTAACGACTCCGAACTAATTAATGTAACATAGCAGATAGAAAAAGTTAATTTATTAGATATAATTATAATCGCACATAAGTGCAATCTATATTTAATACAATTATCTTATATATTCGTATAATAATCATAACTTAGCAATATAACATTTATTTATTATATAATTTTTTTTAAAAGATCAGTAAATTTAAAAAAGGATATATGCAAGATTTATATTCTACCCATTCTGAAGTTATAATATAAACCTGTTCACAAAAATTAGTGGAGTACATGGTAGATCGGCCTTTTTTCGTTAATTTACGAATAAAATTCTGCTTTTTTAATTCCGGCTTTATTTTATCTATTTCTTTTAGTGCGCATTGAACTTTAGTATATGGTAAAGACTTATCGTATTTCATTGCTAAGTCTACTTTTGGCATACCATGATAACCTGTAGATAAATTATTTATATATACAGTCTTTAAATTTTATACCATACTTTATTAATGAAATTTTCTATTTCATGTGATTACTGATAGATTTTAGGGTCCTGCATTGGACATAGTTATTTGTCCGACCGATCTGACCTAAATTCTTTTCTTGATTGTTCAAATCTGATCTGAACTTTCCATTTTTTAGAAATATATAATATCCAATCCGACAAATTAATGGGGAAAATTTATTATAAATATATAAAAATCAGGGTTGCTGCATATGGTCAAATAGTTAAATATGAACAAATTCGATTATATATATTTATGACGATATTAATTATTTGGTATATGTTCATAATTTTAATGAATATAATTAAATTGTAAGATACTTTGATAGATATATTCAGAAATTTAGTTGGAGGGGGGGGGCATGCGAATTTAAAAAAATTTATTCTGCTTCCATCAGTTTTCAAAAGTTTTTTTTTGTAATGGTATTTTACATATTATTAATATTTTTTAACATAAAATAAAGATTACAAAATATTGTATAAACAAAATGGTAGTTTACAAATGTCATTGTACATTTTTAATTTAAAAGCAAATCCTTCCCTATTTTAAGATCTTAAAATAGAATATCCACTGTTATGACTAGCCGTCCACATGTTTAAATAAAAAAGAATAATATTACAAATTATTTTAATAACCAGAGCATGTTACGCACATTAATAAAAAAAACAAGATAATATTGAATACTGCATGTGCATAATATCTTTAAAAAATAAAATCGCTTATTTGTGGACTTTGAATCGTTAATGGATTTACAAGAGCACAAAGGTTTAGATATTGGCTATATTTTGAATTCTATTCTGCTTTGTTAATAATTTATTGCCAAGGAATTTCAAATAAAAATTGCAAATAAAATTACAACTTACTATCCTGATAGATGGATGTACTACGTTATTAAAAAAAAAATTTTTTAATTTCTAGACCTAATTGAACTGGAATCGAAAGATGCAGAGGGGATAATTCATACCTTACTGGATTTTTTTAAATCCGTTACGATTTCTTAAATATCCCACGAAAAACAATTACTCCCTAGTCTGCATATTGTTAAGGGTCTGGAATAACTATGAGGTTTTGGGTACAATTTTAAAAATTTAGCAATTTATAGCAACAGTGTAAAATTTAAGGGCAGGCTACCCGGTTAGAAAGTGGGGAATTATTTACGTGAATCAATAAACTATTCATAAAAAATACATATCTAACGAATGGATAAAGTATATATTTAGAAACTTGACATTTTTATCTAAAATTGTTTATAATCTAAGATATTATAAATTATTTCTCCAGAAAATATATCATAAACAGTTTCTTCAACGATGGATTAAAGGAGGCCCCCTAATCGTTGTAATCAATATAGTTAGTTGATTTATGTAGTGAGATAATACAGCACTTAGCATGTGCTTATTTATTTTTTCTTTAATAGTACTCGTTTTATTTAAAATTTAAATCGAGCAATGTTATGATGGAATAAAAATCGAATTGTATGTAATTATATAGGAACTTAGCAAGAATGTTGATTTTGTAGGTCTTTGCCAGATTTGATGAAGATAATCAATATTAAAAAAATCAAGATTTTCAGAGAGAATTTTATATTTTAGTCTAAATCCAGTTCGCAAATTAGGGCTCATCATACTGGGCTTTAAGATAGATATAAAAAAATGTGCTCGTCAGCTCCTATTACTTTGGCGTGCCCCAAAAAACTATTCTAATTAGAACCCAGCATGGAGCTCATCAAATTCAAATATTTAACCTGAATCAGACCCGATTTATTTATTTTTTAGTCTTAGTTTGACTGAACCACGGATCAAATTGTAAAGCTGTCTAGTTTTTACTTTAGCGATGTCACTTAGATATAATGATTTATAAGATTTATAACACCAAAATAGTGTTATAAATATGATACTGGGAAGGAATTCAAGATCATCAAGAATTTAAATTTAAAAAAAAGCAAGACTGCGGCAAATTAATTTAAGGAAAATATAAATTACATACCAGCGTTTTCATCATCACCCATATCTTTTATATGGCCATCCTCATCTTTGATGATTCTTTTAGAATTTTTTTCTACAACATCCAAAAAAAAATCAGCAGGATTGTTATGAACTTCGCACTCAAAACCTTTCAGAGTTAATATTTTTTTAAAAATATGATCAATAAATAATGAGTAAAAATTATAATTGTGATCTATTTGCTTGTTTCTTCATCCAATTAAATTTATGCTCCTCCAGTTCCTTCCTTTGATTTAATTTATCGGGAGAGTGTCAATCTTACCGAAATAATGGTAAAATAGATTACCGTTTTCGGAAGGCTTGGAGAGAAAAACTAAGGAGGTTTCCCTTTCCTTTTCTTCTCTTCCCTTTCCATTCACTTTTCATCTCATCCCCTTCATTTCCCCTTTCTTTTCTTCTTTCCCCTTCCCTTTCCTTCGTCCCCTCCTCTCCCTTTCTTTTATCTTCTGTTCAGTGAAAACATCGAAAAAACCTATGGCTGAAAAATAATCCAACGCCTGAGATGATAATCCATGGTACACTATTTGACCAGAGGATAGTAATATCAAATTATTAAACGCTTTAAAAATATCGTAACGAGGTTGATGTATGGACATTATAATGTTGCAGCCTTTATCAGATAATCTAAAGGTTTTTAAAAAAATATTAGTTTTAATGAGTAAAAATTAAAATCGAAAAGTGACATCATAATAAAGTAACTTGAAAACTACAGTTTTTATTACAAAAAAAAATATAAAAAATTATCTTTGCAATACTTGTGGATTAAACTAAATTATAGATAAACTATTCTCTATAAATGAAAACGAATATTTAATTTGCTTGAATATTATTTGGTTTTTCTAGACATATCGCCTTCGGCTCCCGGAATGATGCAACGTCAAATGTTTCAAAAAATAAATAAAAATACTTGATTATAAAAAAGCAGTGGTGCCTGGCCTGACCCTCTCTCACTTCCCTCACCCGTTATGGGATTACTGCCTATGGTAGTTTTTTTTTATCAGTTTTCATTTGTATCAACGAAAAAGTATTTATTTGGTATCAATAAATCGTAATCAAGTCCACATATTGACCTTTAATCCTGAGATTTTAGACCTCTAGGAAGTCGTAGAATATTTCTCCTTAAGGTAGGAAGATTGGTAAGATGCATATCCTTACTTCTGACGTTAAAATACACTAGCTTTATTATGAATTCTAAAATTTTTTTAATTGAATATGTATAGGAGAAAAGAAATTATTCGTATAATATTATTTATCCTATCTTTGATCGAATTGTTTAAATTTATTAGGAAATATTCTAATTTATTCCTAGATATTCGTAAATATTTGATATTATTGGTAAATATTTGAAATTATTGGTAAATATTTGAAATTATTGGTGTATATTCGAAATTATTTGTAAATATTACAATTTATTCATATATATTAGAAATTATTAGTAAGAATTTAACATTTTTATTGCGTAACCTTTTATTTTTTTACTTTATTTCCACATCTTATAAATTACTATTTTTCCATTTTAATAATTCATTTTTCATTTTTGGAGATACTTTTAAAGAATATAATTTTAGAATAGAGAAAAATATTCAATGAATCGTTTATGTTTTTATCATTATAAAAAATTAATCAATTTTTACTAATACAAATAATATAATTATTCCGAAAATACGAATAATGCAAATATTAGAAACGTTACGTATTTTTATAGTTATACCATTAGGTAATCTTAATATTGTGAGAATGAGTGTTCTAGTATGTAAAACGTTATTGTACGCATCTATTATTCCACTAGATTTATCCTTTTCTAGGAAGTATATTCTTATTAGTCTTGGGGGTTACCATGCAAGTTTACTATTAATAATTGATCAGATTTCAGTGCACTATTTTAAAAATAATGCGTTGTAGGTGAAAGAAGAAAAAACTCTGGTCCACTATGCCCCCTAATGTGAGGCAGAAATGCTTATAATTAGCAATTAGAATTAGCCAAGAAGTAAGAATAGATTGCCAGCGATGCCCGAAAATACGGATTGGGGTTATAAGTCTGTAATTAATTTATCTAATTTTCCAGAAGTTTAAAGAACAATGCCTCGCATCTCTGGTTATTTGTTAACTTATATTAGTTACATTTTATATGTAGTTAAAAATATTTAAGATTATTAAACCTAACTACCCATTCCTCTTCACCTTGACCGCTGAATATCTAGCGTTTTCATTGACAAGATGAGAACGTGAAATAAAATGATCCACACTATACAATAACACAGAGAGCTTATCCGCCTTTTAAAATTTAAATTTGGCTCCATAAAAAACTTTGTAAGTAGGTTTTATGTCCTGTTGTTAAATTAGAAAGATAATAAATTATTTAAATCTTAATATTTTAAACTATATCAAATGAATGGTTATTTCATATGCTATATAAATTTTCTGAGAGAAGCATTTAATCTAAATTTGTTGCAACTAATAAACGTTTGTATATTATATAAATACAGTTTAAACCAGTATATAATTCTCTTAATAGAGTTTATGGAAGGGAAAAATTTACTAAAAGATTTTGGGAATCTAAATTGTTAATAAGGTGTTGTACATAAATTAAATATTAATTAAAATTGTGGAAAACTTTTTTAATAGTAAGACTACAGTAACGGCGGTAGAAGCATCTAATCCACTTGTAGGTTCGTCTAGAAAAAGTATGCTTGGGATCGTGACTAATTCAATTCCTATATTGCAACGTTTTCTTTCGCCTCCTGATATGCCTCTGATTAACTCCGTTCCAACCTGATATATTTTTGAAATTTATCTTTAAAAATTAGGAAGAATTATATAATATTGAAGGAAACTTTTTTCAAAATATGAATACTAAAATAAGTTTTAGAAGGAAAAACATAAATATTCTACTCTATGTACCATATTAAATATGTTTCTTATAACAAATCAACGAGTATATAATTTTAAATCGGTAAATTCAGTGACATTAATATTTACTTAGACTAATGATTCGGCATTAAAAGAGCATTAAAACGTGTAGATACACTTAAGTTCGCCGTTGAAAGGAATATAGACAAAAATGTTAAAGGTCATTTAGACGAAATGCCTTTCAATGGCGTCTACTAAGAGCCAATGGCATTGACTACAGCTGATTTTAGTGTATTTGCACTTTTAATAAATGAATCGTCAGTGACGAGTTTGGCATTAATGCATTGGATCCGTATAAATAAATATTTTACAGATATGAAATGATACACTTGATACTTTGAAGGGTAAAATGCAATATCATCAATCAACAATTGCAAATCAACCAGGTATTCTTATTTATTTATATTTACTAACTGTTTAACCTATGTTCAAGGTGTAAACTATAATGTTAAAAAATTGAATTATTTGTTTCATCCACCCCCTCCCCCCACCCTTATAAAAATTAACTGAATTCGAAAGCCTCTGATAAATATTTTAATTCTAAATTATATCAATTTAAAACTTCTATTTAAACGACAAATATATAAGAATTATCTAAATGATTTGACAACCCAACAAAAGTTGTATACCAATTTGTAGAGGTTTTCCCATTTTTTACTTTAAAAATTGATAAAATGTTTACTTTTGTATCAGCGCATTTATATAGATTCAACTCTTGGATGACTCTTTCTACCATGATCTTCTTTTTGCGTGTCGCAATTTTGGTGCTCAATCTTAAGGATGCAGAGAACATTATATTTTCACGGACGGTTAAAGTTCCCATCATAATATCTTCCTGTAGAATAAATTTTACAATTTTTTTTATTTATATAATATTATAATCTATCATTTTTCTTAGGGTATAATAGTACAATTGATTACACGTATACAATAAATAAATTATTTTTTTCTTAAAGCTGCTTTTGTTTAATGCATTATTTAAGTCATAAAATTAAAATCTTTTTGCAAAAATTTTTAGTAACCATACTGTAAATATTAGAATAACCATGCCACGTAACTATTTACATTTTCGCCAAGGTAATTTCAAATGTAAATAATCTCAACACTTGACTAGGATGTAAGATAGCAAAAATAATTTTAGATAGTTCATATTAGAGGGCCGCCCGTCCACGCCCGCCCATATAAGTGGGTGGGCAGATGGGCGGGTAAAAAAATTTTCGAAAATAGGCAGGCGGGCGGACGGGTTAAAAAAATTTGAAACTATGGGCGGGTGGGTGGGCGGGTTAAAAAATTTAAAATTTTTGTTCAAAAACAAACTAACGAAAAATCATAATTAATTAAATGATCAATAATAATATTTCTTTTTTTATTGTACCAATCGTTTTTTTAAGTGAAGAACGCTTTACTAGCTTTTCTACATCGTTATCTAATTCTTCCCACCATATATAATGTCTCGTAATGGATTTCATTGATTTAATACCCGGATGTCCCGTATGCAAATATGTAAAACTCTTTTTTGAAGTGAGTACGGAATGATTAATCTGCCATTCCAAAATAAAATAGCGTCATCATTTTCTATTTCATCTATTCTTGCTCTAAAAGCTTGTAATTCTGGTGCTTGATTTTATATATTTGTACAATTTATTAATATTTTTACTTTCTTAAAATTGGATCTTTTACGGTTTCCTCTCTAAGTTCTTTTCTTGATAGAGTTAATGTGTCATAAGTAAGATTTCTTATATTTTTCACTGTTTTATTTTCGCTTGTTATTCTATCATCATTTTTCTCTATTGGGTTTCGCGATAAAGCATCTGCAATTATATTATTAGCGCCATTCTTGTACATTATATCATAATCATATGCAGATAATTTATAAGCCCAACGTAATAATCTTTGGTTTGTTAATGAGCTTAAATCTCTGCTATTACCAGGTTTGTGGTCTGTTCGTATTTTAAATTTTTGCCCATACAAATAGTTATGAAATTTTTCTACACCGTTTATTATTGCTTTTGCTTCTTTGTCTATTTTAGAATAATTCTTTTCCAGCGTCTTGTAAAATTCTTGAGATGTAAGCTATTGGAAATTCGTTGCCATTATCATATTTTTGCATGAGTACAGCTCCAAATCCTTGGTTAGATGCATCTGTTTCTAATATTAACTCGAGGTCCGGTTTATAAAACTGTATAGTTTTTGTTCTGTTACTATTCCGAATAGCATGAAAACGATTACAAAAATAGCATGGTGCCTTATTTTGGAATGGCAGATTAATCATTCCGTACTCACTTCAAAAAAGAGTTTTACATATATTGCATAAGGGACATCCGGATCTCACTTAAGGAAGAGGATATACTTCAAACGGATATCCTACTTTGGTGGAAACGACAAGAAAAAGATTTGCCAAAGCTATCAAGAATAGCAAGAAAAATATTGGCAATTCCTGCAACTATTGCTTCTTCTAAACGAGGATTTAGCATTGCTGGAAGGTTTTCAGAACAAAGAAGAACGTGTTTGAATCCAGAAAATGTCGATTCATTATTATTTTGCATTATAATTACATATAATATCAATTTTATATTTATATTTTTTTCATAAATATTCTATTTGATCAAATAAATTGTCCATAATTTAAATTGATTATATTTTTTTATTAAATTTATTGCCTAAATTATAAACTTTTTGTAGAGGTGTAATGCTGAAATATTTTTATTAAATGCTTAAAAATGGCCATAATTAAATTTTATAAGCGGGCTTGGGTTAAAAATAATGAGCGGACGGGTAACGAATTTTAGACAAATGGGCGGGGCGGGCGGGTATATATTTTTTTTAAAACTATGGGCGGGCTGGGCGAGCGGGTTAAATTTTTAAAAAACATTGGGCGGGCTTTTGGTCCAAAAACCCGCCCAATGCAGACCTCTAGTTCATATTAAGATTCCCAAAATAAATATATATTATTTCCTCTTATCTAATTTAATCTTTCAATGTTATTAAATTCATCGAGAAGATATCACATCACCTGAGATGCGGATTCTTTGTGATTCCATTTTTCCAAAACTTCTTAATTCAAAAAACCTTTATGGGATGATGGGGTTTTTATTTCTCCAATATCGTTTATTCTGTCTCTAAAATCTGGATTTGTATATAGGCCCAAACATATAATAAATAGTGAAGTTTGTGAATAAATGCTTTTTATTTTTTTTTATTTATGCTGGTATATTTGCCATGAATTTAAAATAAAAACATCATTTTTTTCATTTAGTATCTGGTTCTTACATTTTTTCGAGTTCTCTTTCATTATAGTTCCGATCTCTGGTTGAAATATCGATATTTTTAACATTTAGGAATATGCTTTTTTGCCTGACTGACATTTTAATTCACAATAGAATATTTTTATTATTTATCGGGTCATTATAACTAGGTTATGCACTATATCTTAGTTCAACGCATCTACATCTTCCAATTGGTGGAGGCTAAAATAGACTCAGTTACAACAAACAGTTTTTAATAACACAACTAAGTTTATCAGAAAATTTAGATTCTCTATTTATCCTGGAATTATGAGACATCTTAATTTGTGTGAGGTTGAAAAGCGTATCATGAAAAACTGTAGAGATCAAAAAAAGTGATCATGGTATTTCCTCAGGTTCTATCAGGTGATATAAGGATACATGATAACGTTCCTACTAGAGAATGGCAGTGATACTTATGAACGGCGATAATCGCCGTATGAGCAATCAACGTATATGGAAAAGTTGATGCCATTTATTCAAATTTGCCATTAATTATTTATAAATTTAAGCTTCCATGTTGGGAAAGTAGTTGGCAATCAAATTCTTAAAATAGTTGCTAAAGTTAATATATTTTACCATTATATTATCTTGAATGGCCTAGAAACATATAAGCTGCATCTTGATGTTTTTGTCTATTGTTATTATATTTAGACTGGGTTTTGTTTTTTCATCACTTATACATGTAAATGCAATCGGTGTGAAATTAACAATAACCATTATCGCTGAATAGAATCATATTTTAGTAAAATATTATGCCAAAGAAGTAAGAGATAAAGATATTCTCTATGATAAAAACGCGTTTTTTCAAACTAAATTATATATTTATATTTTTTGAACTAAATAATTTAATGGATGAATGGGAATCTATGATTTACCGTAATATTGACGCCTCATAAACATTAAAAATATTTACTTGACATTTAAAATATAATTTAAACTTGGTATATGGAGCAAGCGGGCTAAAAGAATATATCTATTAGGCATTTTCCCACTAAGTTCAAATATTGAATTAATTAATTAATAGAATTGTTTATAAAATATAATATATTAATATATTTAGCATATAAATTTATTTAAAAAAAAAATATCTTTGAGGAGAATCGGTCCCCATCGCTGTCCAGTCTCTTATGACCTCTCTAAATATATGACTTATTTGTCCGTCTAGGCTCCATTATAATCAGTTTAACTAAATTGCTCTCAAACGCTTATAATAGTTCTACATATATACTTAATGTTGTATAAAATAATTCAACCAACTCATAATAAAAACTGCTAAATCAAGATTTTAACCAAAAATTGTGATCTAAACTTTTCGGTCAAGAGAGTTTCATATCTTTCTGCCATCTATATGCCAAAAATCAAAGTTTCTGACAATTACATTTTATTATAATAATCAATAATCCCGTATTATCATTCCTTAATTTAAAACCCTAATTTTTAAGTTATCCCTTAAAATCCCGTGAAGATCCCGGATAGTCATGATCCTTTTAAAAATTACGACATATACATTACTTGCTAAATAAATAAAATTGATTTGTTTCTTGGCCTTGTTGCCAATTTATCCCTACATTGTCGAAAACTGTTTTTTTAACTTTTATTTTCATAGGCCCTAATCTATTTTTAGTGCAATTGTCCTAAGTTGTTATTTTGATGGCTGCAAAAATTGATGAGAGCCTAACGAAAAGTAAGAGTATAAGTAAATTGGATATAGGGTTAAATGTAAAAATTTAAACTAAACAAAACTTGCGTCACGAATCCAGATTCGTTCAAGAAATTTTTTGATATCGGTTTTCCATTCATCAAAATCGTTCCTTCGACTGTATCTATATCCCTTCTTCCTCCTAGCACCGTTAGCAAGCTTATACGATCATCAAAACGGTAAAATTTAATGTCCCAAAAAAAATTAATCACATCATAATATTGTGACATGCTCACGTGCAATGCAAATTATGCGTAAAAATTTTTATGACAAATTTTGGGAAACAAAAATTTTACATTATTTTTAGTTTTACCCCATTTTGGATGTAAATATGATAAATACAGGAAATTTATTTTTTAAATATCATTTCTATAGTAAAATATGCGTATAATTATTAAAGATCAAAAGTTCATTGTAATCTTATATTATATCTTTTTTTTAAAATAAGTAAAAGTTTTTACGAAGTTTTGCCACCGCCACTTGGTCCCATTATCGCATTAACCCCGGGAGTAAATATGCCACTGATTTGAATTATTTATTTATTTTTTTATTACAAAAGATATAACATAATAGGTTTGTTTAACTAAAAAATCTATAAAGAAATTAAATCTAGTAATTTTTCTTTCTTTTTTTTACACAGCTTAAAATAATTATTATTAAATAATAATTATCTATACACTATAATCATTATAAAACTTGAAAAAATGATAAAATATCATTTAAAATATAATTTAAAAAATTTTATTTAGAGAAAATACCTAACATGGTCGAGTACGACGAATGGTGGTAATTTAGGTTTCCAAAAGTGCTTCCTGTGAGCCGGAATGATATAAGTCAAATCCTTAAATGTTAATACAGCTTGTTTAAAAGATAGTTTAGGCAGAGTCGTGTCGTAGTTTGATTCCAAAAAAGCTTCTTTTTTCAACTTACGTATATCCTGGTCCCCACTGGTCTTAATCATCTTCGTCAATTTGCGACCAAACCCGATGATAGATTGTTTTTGTCTTGGAGTAAGCAGCTTGTCATTTAAGTCAACTCTTTCAAGGCAATCTTTGAAATCAGGTTCGGGAGAAAGGTCATCATTCTTATTTTCATTTGCTGTTTGGCCAGAATTTAATATCCTTAATTTGGGATGGGAACTCAAATCGGAAAATTCATGAGTAGATGAGGAGTGGGAACTTTGATAATCTGTCAATGGGTTATTATCGTTTTTATAACTACTGTTATCGATTCCTTTCTCCATATCATTGGAATTAATATTCCTTGAACTATAGGAGGTTGAATGTTTAATATGAGATTGGGGAGATGTTTTGGCGTTAAAAGGTGGTATCTCTTGGTTAAATGTGCCATCATAGTTGCGGTAATAAGAATTAGGAGTATTATCACTATCCACTTGGGACATTGTTTTGCTTTATGATAAATATTTTTTATATATATTTTATTCTAAATAAGTATGAAATACACTTATAAACGTTCACAGAACAAAAAAAACACTTTATTCATTTCATTTAAAATTTATATCAATTAAGGAAGGTAACAATAGATACATTAATAATTGGCATTGGATATTATATAATATACCTCAATATTATAAATTAAGGGGAATATTTTGCTTGCCCTTGAAATATTAATAGTCTATTATTTGTATTCATCCCTTTTTTTTAGAAATTTAACAAAATAAATCATTTTCTTTTCTATTAGAAAGATAAAAATTTTAAAATATTTATGGGAATGTCGAATAGTTTAGGCGATTCGGGAACATTACTTTAAGGATTAGAAAATAGAAACTAAGATGAAGCAAAATAGCGCCTGCCTCCCGCTCTAAAATTATTATCCGAATTTTTAAATTATTATGTTTTCCTAGAGCTTTGTTAGATACACTTTTTAAGAAAAATACCAAAAAAAATTTTTTATTTCCTCTAGCCGTTAATAGTTTTTTTTGCTTTTTTGAATGAAAAGTCATAATAAATTTTCCTCAATCAAATATTTTTCTTAAATTTTTTTTTGCTCGTGGATCTTTAAAAATAATTATCTGATTGGAAAATATTTGAAAATAGGTCCAATGCAATACATGGCTCTTTTTAAAAAATTGTTATTCATGATAAATTATAAAAAAATATTTTAGAAAGTTTAAAGCCAATCTATATTTATATATTATTTAAAAAAATTTACATTGTAGAATTTTCTACTAAATCAGTTATCTCTTTTCCTCATTTCCTTTCCTTTCCTTTCTTTTTTTTTTCTTTACTTTTCTTTTCCTTTCCTTTCCTTTCTTTTCTAATTCTATTTAAATTTTAAAAAAAATGTTTATAACTTGTGATTTAGATAAAAATTTAATAAAAAAATCTTGAATTTATTCCTTATGATATTTTTTTTAATAAGTGTGGAACAGTGGCGTAAACAAAGGGGGAGGGGGTTAAAAGGTTAAAAAATCATCTATTGTAGTTTTAAATTTTACCTTAACCAATTTATCTTAACTATGTATCAAATTTTCGAAAGATGACAATTATATTTGCTTCATATTCTATCGTTAATAATTTTTAAAAGAATCAAAACTACAGCCAGACCAGAGATATCGAGTCTGATTTTTTATAATAATGATATATGCCTCTAAAACTTTCGTTCTAAATTTCTTATTTTGTCAATAATGCGTTTCTAAGCTATCTAACAACCGGGTCGAAGAAATAAAATGTGTTTATTTAGCATGCAACACATCCTAATTTTTATTTGACTTATAATTCGGTTCAAAAAAAAAATGAAAAACATAAATTAAAAAAAAATCAAAAAAAGCGATAATAAAATACGAAAAATAACAATGCCACCAAATACTTAAAACATACTCAAATAGGGTGTCCTCGTTGAAAAACTTTTTATCCATTACTTAAAAGCTATTAAGTATCCAAATTAAGTAGGCATAGAACAAACACAGCCTGAACATTGATAAAATTTTAGAATAACTGCTTATACTCACTTTTTAACCTCAAGGTTGACCAAAACTGTTACTAATATTTTTTTCCTTTATTGGCTACTATGCTGGTTAAAGAACTGATAGGCGATAATAAAATAGAAAACATGGGCAATATTTTAGAATTAGTGCGTCCAATTATTCAGCCAAATATAACGGAGCTGATATAAAATATATTTTATTTTAAAAGCAAAAAAAAATAACCACAAAAAAAATTTTGAGCTGCGTGGCCTGATTAAAATTTTTTTGACATTTAATTCGTATATATTTAATTAAAGGACTATTCTACTACCTTCTGATTTCTGAATATTACTGAATAAATCTTTATATTATTTATATTTCCATATTAGAAAGAAGAGATTTAAAGTTGGCAAAAAATCATTCCAATTATCACCAGGGCCAGATACATATATGAAGATATTTCGATGTTGATAGCTTAAATGGGGTAAGATATGCCAGATTTTGGTGGTAGTTAAATGAATCAAAGTTTTTAGACCCCCTTTCCCACTCCTCAAATAATTAGAGAGCAAAACTAAAATTTATAAGCTTATTTATAACTATTAGGAAAATATATACATATACTATTCTTTAACAACACACCATAAATGATGGATCATTATTAACATTTACCTTAAAAATTGTATATAAAAAAAATTATTTTAAAATCAATAAATAAAGATATTTTATTTTGGTAAGAACTTATAAGAATTTTGAGTAGGTTATAAAAATTAGCCCTTCCCATAAAATGAACACTCAATTTTAAAATTACCCGATCAAAAATATTTAAATATAATTTAACTCTCTTTTTTTAACCATGACCTTCCATCAAATTAAATTGATAATGTCAAATTTTTACCTTGTTCCAATTATTTTAATGAATAAAGGTAATACTAATCTATATTTTTGTTAAATGCAATAAAATCGTAATAAATAAATTTTAACGGAATGAAAATTTTAGATTTAGATAGAAAAATAAAAAGGCTGTTTAAAATCATATAAATTTTTAATCATCAAAAAAAATATTGATTGATTTTTGTAGAAATGAGCAATAAATAAACAAAATATAATTAACTCGTTAGTTGGCATTAATTAAAATGCTTAAAGATATAATGATAATTATAAATTAAAAAATTTACCCGCATTATTTTTTGGATTGTGATGCAAAAACTTAATGTTGAGGGGATGAATTAAATCACCAAATAAATTCTGTAATCTAAAAAAAGAATAATACTCTGACCCAGAGACCTGCAGGCCCTGCTCTTATACCCCCGACTCTGATCGAGCAGGTATTTTAAGAAAAATCCGGGGCAGATGGGACTTAACAATTAATTACAAATTCGAACCTGGCTATAAAAAAGATTTTTAATCTAAATTTTATCGATTGAAAATTTATATAGAAACGTCGATATCACATTTTTTTTCGATACCATAACACTATGCCCGATATAAGGCCCCGGTGCTTATAAAAATTTACTTTAAAAAAAATTCACAATATTTAACTATATTTTATTTTAAATTAACAATTTTTTTCGATTCGAAAATATTCAAATCGAATATGAATAATGGGGATATTTATTCGTCGAATAATAATAGCCTTTTTATTACTCGATCCAATTATTCGTTATTCTAAATGATTAATAAATAATTGATTACTCGCTATTAATTTTATTTTTACCCGGTCATTCTCGATAATATAAACCGTTTCTTTTTCTAATTATTATATTAATATTATTTTCAGCTCATCCTAAGTAATCTTCTATTTTTCTAAAGTCGGAAGTGGCATCAATTCTTTTGGAAGGAAATTCAATTCGTTTATATTCCAATTTTTGCGATTAGATAATCATGAGTAAAATGTATCACGAATGTTGAGTATTTAAAACAAGATATATATCACCATTATATTATTTTTATCGTCTAGATCGAGTTGGCTTAGTTTTAGACAGTTTTTTACTCTATACTTGTTTATATATGCCTTTTTCTGAAAATTTTAAGTAATTTTTTCAAAAAATTAATAACCTATTATAGCTTATCATTTTAAAAATTTAATTTATTGTTTCATTATTATATTAATGTTTGAGGGGGTAGGGACGGTTTCCTTAGCCATTTTATTAAGAAACATTTTTCTTTTTATCATAAATTGTTTTTTAAGATGATTTTTCCAATAAGACTATGTAACGCCATTAGAATAAGGAAAAATTTATATTTGTTGGTGAATCGTCTTTTAAAAAAAGAATTGGAAAAATAATATATTTATTTTGTTCATCTGAGTTATGGTAGATCAAAATCACGATATAAATCAGTAATATTTTGAATAAAAATCACCATTTAAGTTTTCTTTTTTGTTCGTACTAATACTAATTAATGATTGTTTTTCCTTTTTAAATGAAAAAAAAACATTTATTTTAATCTAATTTTACTCTATTTTGCATATAATTCTTAATTAATTGTTTAATTAATTAGAAAAAATAATATTATACATACTTGATTCAATTTTTGAAATTATTTTTTCGCTATATTAAAATTTTAAATTATCGTAAATTTTTTTTCTTTAATAATAAAGTCTTTTTTTTGAGAAATATAATTCGATTTGTTATAAATAATTTAAAAATTAAAAGTTTATAAAATGTTTGTAGAAAGTAATTTTAGTAAATCATTATTTTTAAATCAAACTACTGCCCCAATCCAATAAAACACGACAATATTCAATCACATAATTTTTGAAATTAAAAGGCATTTAACTTTTTAAAATGAGCTTATAGGAAATTAGAGTACAAGTCTATAAAACTTTAAAAATATTTATTCTACTCTAGCCTTATCAGAATTATCGTGAAATAAAAAAAGTGGGGCGTGATTCAAATAAAAAAGACCATCATATAAAAAAAACTTTAGTTTAGCTATGTAACCATTTTTTTGAGTGATCACGATCAGAATTATTTAAACTGGAAAAGAGTTAATATCTTTTGAATATTTATCTACAATATTCCTTTGTATAAGAAGGATGCTTTCGTAATTCCTTATATGATCAAAATCATGACTTGGCTAACGCTATTCCAATACCTTTATTTTATTATCTACCAGCCATTTTTTAAAGAGATTGATGACATGGGTTCTATTCTTTTGTAATCGTTGCCCTGCCGAAAACGGCATATTTGTTGATTGGTGTAAACTAATGAATTTCTTAGTGGTTTAAGGAACAACAAAGCCATCAGTAAAGCACAATTACCTACACCCTTTCCATTCATGTAATGCCATATAAATTAAAATTTTGGGAATTTGTCAGCCACGTTTCATTCAAATTTATTTTTCTTGCTCATTACAAAATAATTACCAGTTATTAAATTCTTTCTCAAATCAGATTTAATCGCTAAATATCATTTGATTGGTTGCCTTACTCAAATGTCTAATTGTTCAATCAAGGTTTTCTTTGACTTTTTAAAAAATGTAGAATATCGACGCAACAATAAACTAAAGTTTTTACCTTATAAAATGGACCATTACCGTCTGGAGAATCAAATTACACTTAAGGTATCTAAAAGTCTTCCAAGCCTTTTTTTACTATTATTTTAATCAACCCGATCATATTTTTTAAGCGTTTTTCTCTATTTTCCTCGTAAGTAACTGTATTATTTGATAATCATATATCCTGAAATCTACATCTATAAATATTTAGGTTAGCAGCAATTTTTATTTGCGCTTTCCTTTTATATTTATCAATTGCTAATTAATAGCACCCTGTTTTCATTTTTCCGTGAGACATTGGAGATGGGGGAAAGGTTAAAAAACATATGATTAAAAAAAAAATTAAAAATACCATTATCCAATTAGATGTCACGTGGCCGCTTTTTAACTAATCACGCTCGAGTTTTTAACCTTGCCATAATTCTGAAAAGGCTGAATTAAAATAAATCTTTAAAAGTTTTTTATATAACTAAAAGATCGTGGTGCTAAAATGCTCTAAAAGCGTCTTTAAAATAAATTAACATCTTCCTACATTTTTTTTTAGTTTTAAAAATTATGCTGCACGAAAAAAAATAAGATGGTTGTTTTTTTTATTGAAGCAAAATCATTAATCTGGTGCTTGGCAAATAGTTCAGTGAAGAAAATCTAAAATTCTTTTTTTAAGGTAAAATCTATTAATAGTTTTCTTTAAATATTATAAGCGGTTACATCGCTAAAACTTTTTTTTACGCAGTCGAGTTTTTAAAAAAAAATTATAATTTATTCTTTTATGTTGCAGTCAACCATATACTATGATTGACACACCTTCAGATAATTCAGATATAGATGGAGCTAATAACAAAAAAAATGTGAATTCTTTATTAAATACTATTTTTTTATACAATAAAATAATATATAAATGTTTTACATTTATTATATTATAAAATAAATATAATAATTTATTTGATTGCATAGAGTTAATATTTAATACAGACAAATAAAAAATAGTTTACATTATTTATATTAATTTAGAAAAAAGGCATTGGCACCCACATCCAGTCGGACATTCATTATTCCGCGAAAACCATTTTTGAAAATGAGATAAGTGCCCCCCATGATTACATCTAAGGCAAAAATTAGCCAAACCTATTTAATAAAAAATGTGTTAGTTTAATATGAGATGTCCTTGTTGGCAACGTCATGCGTGTGAATTTGCTCATGTCTACACTTTATAACGCGATACATGATATTTTGATCTTCTATTATATTATTTTAAAAGTTTATAAAAATAAACCTTTTTAATAATATGGTCGGAAGTGTTTAAATAGCCTCCAGGGCGCTCAAAAAAATTGGGCAAACATATTCAAATTCCCTTTTCATGAGCTGTTTTTCCCCATGGGGATTATTATGTATCGCCTCCACCCCTTTCAATCTTTAAATATTAAAGTTAAATAGAATTTATGAATATGATCAAGTGATATGGTCGCAGCAGGTTTATCGAGCAAAAGTTAAATATAAATCCTTATAAAAATGAAAATACGTACCTCTTACCGATAATCTACAAATCGAACAAATAGGGTTCCCACGAAGACATTGCTCGCGACGATTGACATGTTGAATGTTTGAATTACAGGACAAATCGGTAATATTTGTGAGTGAAGATGTCTTAGAAAAAATATTAATTCGTTTATATATGTAAGCTCTTTGAACGTAGAGTCCCTGAGAATATAATATATCGGAATAGAGGTCCATACATCCAAAAAATTGGATTAATAAACTTTTATTTAGCCGTGTTAATGGTTGAAAACTTTGGGTAAATATTAAATAAATATCAATGTATATAATGTGTTTTATATGGTTTATATTAAAAAAATATGAAAGCTCTAAAACTTGTTATAACTATTTATGATGATTAACAAAAAAAATTTTAATTAAAAATGTGCATAATATTTGGCAAACCCTTTCAAATTCTAATGAAAATTTGTATGAAGGTTATTATATAATATATTAATAATAGGGGGCCAAAAAGTGCTATAAATTTTTGTCCCCTTTTTCAATAGAAAAAAAATACATTAGAAATAAATAAAATTGATAAAATATCTATAATTAGTTTACTTTAAACGTGTATAACAGATACAGGAGTTTTTTAAAATACATTAAAAGATGTTTGATGTAATTTTCCTGTTTAAATTATTCATATCATATAATTACTATTATACTTATTATTGGCTGGTAAATCATAGGTTAAGGTGTCGGATAGACTCGTGATCATTAAAGGTTTTGAGCTTGATACAAATGGTATCACGTTATGACTTTGAGGTGCTAACATTCATAGCAATAATTTAACATTATGATACATTATAGATATTTTATACTCAAATTACGATTCAAGAATTTGCTCAAATCAAATAATAATTAGTTAAATGTTTTTACCATGAAATTTGAATTCATTCTCATAATATAAATGAGAGAAAGAATTCAATTTCATTGAAGAAAAAAAACCTTATAAAAACTTATTTATTTTTTAAAATGAATTGTGTATATTAGTACCAGCATTTTTGTCTGAATCTGTTTCAAGCTCAACTGGATAATTTTTTTGAACAATGATATGGTCTTTTGTTAAATTTTCCCAACTGCAAGGCCTAATAAAAGAAATGTTTTGATTTTCGATCAACCCATAACAAGGCGTCTGATTATTTGTAACTTTGTTTTCATCTTGATTATGATAATTCGTATTAAATACATGAGTTATCAAAAATATGACCATACGCGCCATATTTCGAACATCCTTGATTTGGGCAAGGTAGGGCAATAACCATTTTTCAAGCAATATTAATAACGATTGATAATCGTGGGTTTTGTAAAAGGCGTTTAGGTATAGAAGCATCCAAAATTTTCGAATCATTTTGTTGGTCTGGATGTTGGCATTACTATTACTGAGCCTTTTTGTATTTATTATAACACTATCATTGGCGTTGCATGCGTCAACCCCATCTGCATTGAGGAGACGATCTGTAAAGAGGATAGAAAGATATTCTGAAACATTTAGGGAATCGGTTGAATTAGAAACTAGAGAATCTTCCAATCGGTAAATAACAACCATATTATTTACAGCTCTATCGGATTTTTCGTCTTTTGACTCTAAATTTTGGTTATCATATGTATTATCATAGGATTCGCCTGAGTTTTTATTGAAACTATGCCAAACTGATACGGCTCTGGGAATGAGTTTATTATTATCGTTACCGATAATATCTAGTGAAGGATTGCTAACGGAGAGCGTCGATGATGTATTGTGACGAAAAAAACATACTAGAAAATCTATTGTTAAAAAAAACATTACTAAAACAATTTTATTGGAATGACATCTGTTCAAAAGAAAATCAAATTCTAATAAATTAGTTCAACAATACAATAATACATGATGTTGATTTCAAATACACTAGAATAATGCCCTCTAATCTCTTTCGATGATTAAAATGTAAAATAATCCAATTATATAATGGTTACTGGCTATACAGTAATGTCAGTAAAATGAGGCTATTGGGGACTCCAGCCCCCTAAAAATTATCGATATAAATAGCAAAAAATTTAAAACACATTGGTTTTTTAAACATTTATAAATGTGAGCACTTATTGAGCTCCGCCAATCCGAAAACTCTAGTGACGGCCTCTGTGACTATTACCCCACCCCTCCCGAGATTTTAATTAAGTAATTGATTTATACCCGCTCTCCCATGTTAGAGGGCTCTGCACTAGGATGTAATAAATCTGTCCTTTGCATTTCAATCAAATGGTGTCAAATCATTTTTAACTTTTAAAAGATTGAAAAATTTGATCTTAATTTACAAAACTAAATAAATTATTAGCAATATATTTTTTTCAAAAAACTTGATCCAGAAAATGAAGCACCACACGTTCTAGGGAAAGGTATAGAATCAGGATAATTGAACTTTTTGTCATTGCGTTCTTCGTAAGCTGGCGACGTTTGGTAAGAACAATCAAAATTATTTTCATTGTTGTGTTCTTTTTTGTCATTCCTTTCATCAAACTGATGAGAGAAATTCTGCTCTGTGCTATCATTATTAAGATGTAAACCTTCATTTTTAAGAAGACTTGATTCACGCTGAATATGAGATTGATTGGCTGCTTTAATATTATTATTATCTACTACCTTAAAGGGGAAAAAATTAAAATTAGTGTCGGTAAATTGATTAGATAGTATTTTATGGGCTAATCGTAAACAAGGAGCTAAACAAGGCAGACCCCTTCTGATACTATTCTCAGCGTGAGAACTAAGGGCACGCGATATTTTAGGTAAGTCAAATTTCTTGATATCCATATCGTCCTCGAGAGCGATGTAAAATTGTGGTAGTACTCTCAATTTGAAATTGGACTCCGACAATGGCGTAACTTTCTTCAATTTGGGAAATACGACTTTAATTTTAAAAGAACAGTGACTCTTTTGTTGATTCGTACGAGTCTCCGAATCGACGGTATTAGGTGCAAGAATTCTAAAAATAAATAGGGATTGATCGAGGGAATGAGTCTTAGTTAAAAGTTTGATGGACTCAATTTCGTTTGATTTTTTGACATCCAATGTTTGAACCCGTTTATCGGATACTCGATTATCGGGTCTTTGAAATAAGTTAGAATCGATTCGATTTCTCGTGCTATATCTATCCTCTACATCCTTCCCATAATGCAGGGTTTTATCATTAGACGGCACTTCGGTAAATTTACTGATAAAGGGGCCATTAAAATTTGATTCTTGGTCGAAATCATTTGCGTCATATCCATCGGGTTCAAAAGTGTCACCTGATTTGACTTTCAAGTCCGACCCGAACTGACGCCATTTTGTACGGTCTTTAGATAAAAGCTGAGTCGGAGTCAGTAATGGTATATTCTCAGGGTATACATTTTTCGTATTATTTTTCATTTTTTGATGAAATTGATTTTCCATAACCAATACTTCTTCTACTGATGATTGGTGGTCGCTATTAACTGTGACGGCGGATTTATCGACGTTAGAAATTTGGCCTTGACTAAAAAACTTGTTATTTCATTTTTATAAAATATAATGAATTATTAATGATTAATGACAATCCTACCTCTTAGTATTGTAGACTACAAACGAATACTATATAAATTCATTTAACATTTTTTTTTCTTACAAATTTTTAAACCTCTCAATTTTTCTATAAAAATAAATAAGACCTATGCAGTACGGCGACACATAAGTCTAGTAATAAAAAAAACAAAAATACAAAATGGCAAGAAACTTCGGCTAATTGAGGCATCAAAGACCATATTCTTAAGCATCGATCCCGGCCCCAAGCTAATAACTCGTGAGTGACTAGGGAAGAATCGAATATTAAATCACTCTCTTCATTTTTCTCTTCACTAATAGTTCTCAATGCTTGAGAAGTTGCCGATATCTTTCGATCAATAATTCTGAAATTGAAGTCTATGATGCAATCACGGGAACCCACGAAACGATGTATAGGCTGTTGGATGGAAGGGATGGGGTAATTGAAAAGCGAGGTAAGATGATTGTATTTGTCTAAACTAAAAAGTGGGAGTAGGGGGGGGGGGGGGTTAAAATAAATATACATTTTAAGACTCTCAAGAACAATAGTAGTTTCGGTTTAATTATTAATATGATATCAAAGGAGAAATTTTAATGCCTAATTCAATTTTTTTTTTAAATCATCGTTCTCAAAATAACTTGATATCAAAAAACATATTTTCAACAAACAATTCCATCCAAATAAGAGGAAATAATTAACTCAAAACTAATAAAGTGCACGTCATGATATTTTATGCTAATTTTAATAATCTTTACTTTTAAGTGGTTTTATAATGCATGTTGATTTTAATCCATTCATAAATTATTAATCATAATCAAGATAGTCGATTTTCGGTTAAAAATAGGTCTAATATTTTTTTAAGTGATTCTAATTTTTTTTATCAAGCCTACCATATTAAAAAAACCGGTTCCATCTATGTAATATACTATATATATATGTGTTCTATGTAGTATAGTATAGTTTAGTGAAGTAAAAGTAGAGATTATATTATTTTAGAAACTATGTTCTTTTATAGAGTATTTTACCAAAAAATATGTTGTTATATTTTTTGAAGCAATTTATATTTGATAGTTTTTTTTTAACTGTAAATATGTGTAAGGGATCATTCACATCACAACAAACACGATTTTGTTAGCCCCTAACTCAATTTGGACCAACAGTGCAATAATTAAACGATAAAATTTATATAAATTATTAGGATAAAGAATACCTCAGGTAAAAGAAAGAATCGTCATCATCTTCCCAATTAAATTTATTATTGTGGAGAGAATGTTTAAATTTAGTTTTCCTTGAATTTTTAGGGTAACTTTGACGATAACCCTTGCTGCCAATCTCATCGCCGTTATGTGGTTTGTTGTTCTGTCCGAGATCCCAAAGACTCAAGTGATTGTTCGAAAATTTTGCGTTGACATTCAAGCTCGAATGGGAAAAGTTGTTTACAGGAATGGTCATTAGACCTCTGTTCCATCCATTCACAAATCGTGCCTTTCTCGCAGGTACTGTTAGATTATAAGAGCCACTCGTAGTCCAAGAACTAAAATATATTCGTAAAAATTATAATCACAAATAATATTAGAATTAATAATATTTATTAAAGTGATCTTATACAATTTCTATACCTCTAATATCGTATACTTACAAATTTTATAGCATTTATATTTAATTATTTTATATTTAAATCTTTAAAAGAAATTATATTTACTATGTCTGGGGTTCTATTTCTAATTATTTTTTCCGAAATAAAAAAAAGGGATGTATGGAAAAATTATTTTTGTTGATTATAAAAATTAAAATTATCTTATGTTGATAAAATCAAAAATATAAATAAGTAAGGATAAAAAATAAGTTATTTTTTTGTAAAAAAATAAAATTTGAAACATGAACTTTATTAAATTTAATTAAAATTTAATTTATCAAGTTAGTTAGTTAAACACGGATACTTTTTATATAAAGTTTGGAATTAATATGCTGCAAATAAATTCTGCTATATTGAATAGTCCTTTAGCCGATAAATGGCATGACTTTGGATCCAGAAATAAAATTCAAGTGTTGCAATTTAACACACATCATAGATGGCAGTCCAATAGACCCCTAAAAAGGATAATGCAGATTTCACGTCCATTATTCTAGGAGAAAATTTGAGGTCCATCATTCTGGAAAACGTTAAGTATTCATCAACCAACCAGGCAAAGTACATGTCAAGCGGCCCAGGGAACTAAATCAATCCTCCGATCTTAACGAGAAATGGGGAGATCTTCGCTAGAAGAATAACGGGTTCCGTCCTGGCGGAATTGACAGCAACTTTAAAGGATAATAATACCGATGATAATTCTCAAGTTGTTGAAGTTATATCGGGTGACTTGGAAGATATATTACTAAATGATTCAGAACAATAAATAATGCTGCATTTGTAATTTAGTATAGCGTTTATATTATTAATTATTAGTAATAGGCATATAGTTTTATTAAATATATATGTAGCCATTATAATTCATAATTGTTAAATTTTACCTCTGGGAAAAAGGGGAGATGTCGTATAATTATATCGTAATTTAAATATAATTTATTTTATTGATTTATATAAAAAATAATCGATTTATAAAAAAATTATATATTTATTTTATTTTGATGTTTTGTTTTTTAGTTTTAAATAAAAATAAAATTTGTAAAAGAAAAAAGAATTGTCACATAAAAATACTAACTAGAAAAAATAATTAGAAAACACCAAACATATAAAATATACTTTTTCTAAAAAATTAGAATATAAAATAACTTGATATAAATGCTATAAAATTTATATGCGATATTTGAAATTTTAAACCCAACCCAGATTGGAAAAAATGACGTTTCCAGTCCGACCCGGATTTTTATTTTTGATAATTATATGACCCAAGCTAAAAAATTTTAAATTTCGTTCATTTGAATAATTATGGCTGCATTTTGTAAATTGTTTAAAAGGAAATTGAAAAAAGAGTAGTAAATGAATATTAAGATAAATTTTAGATTTATCTCTTAAAACATTAACGCTCCATTATATGATTTTCGGACTAATTGTTTTAATTTTTTTTAATAAAATCGGCCCAGCTGTTTTATTTTTACGGTCAGGTCAGTATACCCGACCCGCGACTTGGTCCGGGCCTGCAAATCTCTGTGAAATATTAAAGCTATATAATATTTTAAATCGTAAACCAAGAACTTGCCACTGGTCGCCATGTTTTCAATTTGGCGTCTTGACCGGCTGAAACTAATAAGTGCTGATCATCACCATTTTGATTTTGAGAATGACTATTTGGGCAGTACCAATCCAGAGAATTAATGGCGGAAGAGTGTGCCGGTATAAAATGGAGAGGACATTTCGGTTTCTATAAAAGAAAAGAAGATTAAGTTAAAGATTTATGTGAAAACAAGAGCATGTGACTACCATTATTTTCATTAATAAGATAGCGGTACTCTGAGTGTATATATAAACCAGGTGTATTTAAATCATTAATTTTTTTGATTTAAATCAGATTATTTTACGGGTGAAATTTTACATGACCCAATATTATAGTTAAATATTGTTACAATTCATTCAAAATTTATGCATTTTTTATGATAATAAATATTAGATTTATTACTTTTATTAATTTATAAAATTTTCTAAAAGTTTACCAAAATTTTAATATAAATTTATTCTTAGGAGTAAAACGTTTCTTATTCATTTATGAAGGACATAAAGAGACGTTATTTGGAATCCTTTTAATAAGAGGCATTCCATGCCGGACATAAATAAAAAGAACATAGTTGGGTAATTACTATATTCTTAGCCGCTTAAGCCAGCTAAAATACGGTTAAACCGAGTTTTTAGCCGAAAACTTATCATTTTAACCTCGGGGTTTCTTAAAAATATAACAGCTCAAATTTGGGTTAATATGAATTAAAATGCATTAATATTAATGAATTTTCTCCGGCACGCGCCTGAGCTTGAGCCAAATTAGCCAACATTTAGCCACTATTAAACAAGAGACATTATCTAGAATTCTTTTCCATGTCCAAATCGATCAAAAAATTTGATTTTAGGACGACCACTTTCGATTTTATTTAGATTAGGCATATCAAAATCATCAAAAGAATATTTTAATATTATTTCAATTATGAAATTTTATAAACACTTAAAATAATAATCTTCAAAATAAACAAATATTATGTGAATTGTACAAATCTTTTTTGGCTTTATAGGGTATCAGCAGACGATTTAAATGAAAGTTACGTTATTTTATGTTTTAAATTTTGTCAATGTTTTTTTAAATAAGAAAAAAGGATAATACCGTATTATTTGACCAGAACATTCGCTCCTGAGGAAGAGCGTAATACCCATCATAAATATTTTGAGCATTGGAATAATAAACTAAGCAACTCCATAAGATTTGCATCATGTGATATTGATTAACTAAAAGAAAATTGAAATCATCATCGAAAAAATAAAGAAAATAATTGTGAAGGAATTTTCCGGTTAAATGTTAAGCGATCGAATTTGTATCTCTTCTTTTCTAATTGGAGAAGAAAAAGATGCCTCTTTTTAATTCGACGAAATTTCTCATAACTAATAGCCTTATTATAGTCATCACAATGTATTTCAATTTATCCTACTATATCAGGAAGATTCAAATTTTTGTCACTGAATACTGATTTGCCGTGGAAGTAGGATAAAAAATCGCGATTATTTTATAAAAAATTTTTGATCAAATTTTGATTTTAAAGATCATATAAAATAATCCTTTAACTATATCTTAGAAAGAATTAACTCATGAGACAAAGTTATTTATCTAACATACATATAAAACTAAAAAAAATTGTACTTATCAAATTTATTCATAAATCATTGTTAAATTAGCATTTAGAAATATTGAATAGGTTTCCCATCTCAAATAGCTCACAATTCTGACCCCTTGGGATTGGGTATAATTTTGTATGCAAACTAAAATATGCATAGCTAAAGCAGTGTTCACCAGAAAACCTGGGGTGATTAAAAAAATTCTGAACCTGAACTCTCTTTTTAAATGTCTAAAAACCCGAACTAAATTCGGAAAATTTTTTAAACCTGGGTTCAATCGGGTTCAGTGAATTTTCATTTATATCATATATTAAAATATTTGTTCATATTTTCAATTTATTTAAATTTAAACGGTATAAATCCAATGATTAGATTTGACAGGAGAAATTACTTAAAAAAGAACCAACGATTGCAGAGAAAAGTATTGGAACGATAATTATTGGATTTGACGATTTTAAATGATAAGAAGGAAAATATTTTGCATTTTTGGAATTCTTTAATTAAAACTTATATGCAAAATATAGTTACAAAAATATTGGAATAAGAAGCAAATAATTATTCAAAACAATTCGGATAACCTAATGCATTCATTTTGCAGGATAAAACAAAAATAACAACTTTTTAAAATCTTTTTCGAAATCTATTTTCAAAATTTTATCTAAAAATATTAAGGTCCACCGCGTTATTACTTTCCACTTTATCACTCAAAGGTTAATAATGAGAGTCATGTATCCATTACCTTACCGACCATTGTCACTTAAAATTTATATATAACATTAAATTTAAACATATACCCTTATATCCCATATATGTATATCGGTTTCATGAGCACTAGCAATAACGTTAAAATCATGTTTGCTCCATTTACATTGAGAAGCGGGAGTTATAGAATTAAGAGTGTTGACGGGTTTATTGAAATTTCCGGATAAGCATCTTATATCCCATATATGGCAATAGTTGTCCATGGAACTTGTTATGAATAAATTAGGATCTAAGTCGCATTTATCCACGTCGCTTCATACATATTGATATTATATAATTGTTAAACGAATGTGATATAATATGTTTACAAGTATAATTAATTCGGCTTAATCTACAGGGGCATGCCGAAGATAATCTGATAAGCATTGAGGCAATTCTGCTTTTTTCGAAGTTCAACTATATCATCGAAAAAAATTAAATATTCCCGCTATGAACGGAGCTTAGCCTTTTTTTTAGCAGGCTAAAAATAGGGAAACCACCCAACTATACAACTTGTAATAAAACCTGATAATCCTGGAATGTCTTTGTATTTGAGCGATTTCTTTCAATTGCAAATCTTCCGTTATTCTATATAAGATGGCAATGTGATCGCACTAGATATGAAAAAAGGAAGTTATATATGTGATTAATATTTGTGTAAATAATAATGGAAATAATTATTAATTTTTATAATTTATTTTTTTTAATATTATACATTATAATCGATAACTAACTAACTAATTAATATTTATTTTATTTAATAAACGACTTTTAAAAAAATCTGACTTAAAAAGATACTCTAGTTTCCGCTTTTAACGTTTCCCGTATTTTACGTTAATATAGATTTCCTTGAAAAACATTAAATATGGGCTTGATGTAGACCCGATTTAGGGGGCAGGATAAAATTTCTCAAGAATAAACAATAAGTTTTCTGTTTTTTATTTGGTGATCTTAAATCTGGGATTAAGGTGCATGCATACTTATATATTCATTATTATTTTCTTTAATAATTTTTAATCGATTTTCCTGTTGTTGAGATCTTCAATCGATTTCTGTTTTAGTAAGATTAACCCAAAAAGACGAATTTCTTTTTGAATAAGTAGAAATAGGAATTGCTAGTAAAATGTCACTTCTATTAAAGGCAAGGTAGGCAAAGCTCATTCCACTAACTTCAGGTTGAAATCTAATTTTTACTTACTGCTTTTCACATAATTTACTATTAATGCCACTTCTATTTATGAAATTTATGATATCACTTGAAATATTTTATCAGCACTTTGTAAAAAGTCGAATTTTTGTATTATATCATACTTCAATAAATTCACTAACAGTAAGATGCTCCCCTTCATATTGGGGATTCAATAAAAGTAGTATTGTGATCACACGTGTTTATATTATTTTTCCTTTTTTCAAGCATATTTTAATTTTTTTATTCAGATTTTGACCAGATCAAATACTCCTCCAGTCTATTGGCTGGCCAATTGACTGACTTGCCAATGCTGGTCACATCTTCCATGGCAGGGGAAAAGGGGAGTAAAGCACAAGATCTTCCTTGAAATTGAGATAGTTTGTGAAAACACTACTAACATTGGAACATAGGGTAGAGGGGAAGGTAGTAAAGAGGGCAAATCTATATTTCCTTTTTGACGAATTTTTCCTTTTTTTGTTAATTTTTTGATTTGATGATTTGGTAGAGGGGGGGGGGGGAGAATTATTAGGTATATTTTCCCTTGAACTTTAGATACACTTATACAGACCTAACCTGGTCATGTTTTTAAAAAATAATTTTGTGTTTTTTAAATGGTTTCTCTGGAAAATTTTAAATATAGTCATTCTATAAAAAGAATATTAACTTTTACTGATTTTTTAAAAAATTATTGTTTATTATGACATATTGTACACATTATTTGAGAGGAGACAGGGAGAAAATTTTTTATTAGCTTAAAATGATACCTTTATAAAAACAAAAATTTCTGTAGTAGGAATGTCCCTATGCCTAAATTTTAGCTATGCATATGCATCAATGGCTTAGGGTAATTTAAAATACCTATAGTTCCTAGCAATAAAACACAATATATTTTTACTTTATTTTAATTGTTAAAATAAAGTATTAAAATATAGTTATCATGTAATATAGGCAGATTTAAAATGTTAAGGCAGAAACTCATGGTAAAAAGCATTATAAAAAATTTTTACTATTCGTCTTCAACTCAAATATGTTTGTTATGCTAGTGATTGTGAGGAGCACTTTGATATAATTATTTATATTTTATATACCCTCCACTTTAATAAAGTGTTTGCTTTGCCCTTTCTTTACCCTTCAATGTTAGATTCCCTAATTGCTCATACATTAGCTAATAATTTCTTTAAATAATGATTAGAATCAAAATTTTCTGAAAAATCATTTTATAAGAGAAGTATAATGCTAGAATTATTTTTTATAACACACAAAAAAATTGTGGGGAGTTGGAATTCAACCATGTCCCTGTTAAAGATAAGCGTATAGCAAAGGATTATTTATCTAAAGAATATATTATAATATTTTTAACTGTTTTGACAAAAGTTGTCAGTGTTGCATCTCCCATACATAAAATAGTGTTTATATCCCACTTTTCTTGGCAATGATACTGTTTTATTAACGCGGTAGATGCTGTAAGTTGGTTAACATCAATTAATGATATAGATTGAGGCCTATTTTATTCTGATATTATATAAATATTACTCATAATAATTACCCAGATAAAATTGCAATACTAGATTTAAGATTCAAGCAAAAAGCTGTGGCCTAATAAGGTTCTTAGCAAAACATAATAATACTATAAAAAACCTTAATATCAGGAAATTCAAACACAACTTTGTTGAAGGTATGTGAAGATATCATTATATTAAATCATATGGCATGGTGAATATACTGGATCTACCATAATGAGGCCATCTCAAACAATGTCAATTAACAAATTAGTCAGGATCGATAACAGCTGTTAATTACCGAAAACCCCTAACCTTAAACTATAGTTGGAATGAGATATAATAATACATTCTAATAAAATTATTGATAATTTATTATTTAAATGACTTGCAGAAAAATGAATGAAAAATCTTTTTAATGTAACGGAGATATTTTATAACTGTTACATGTGCTGAATAATGATAACAACCGTTAACTTTTTTGAGGTAAAACTTAAATAGTTTATTTTTTCCTTGAGTATTAAGTTACATTTTTAAAAACCCTTCTCGTAAATATTATTTTAGGTTATTAAAAAATTTGTCTTTCCAAACCCCCCCCCCTTACCCCAAAATATACTATAAACTATTATTTAAAAGAAATATAAATAAAGTTAATAATATTTAAAATTAACGAGAATGCTATAATTCAAAATTTTTAGAAAAAAAAAATTAACCCAAAATTATTTTTATAAAAATATAATAGCCAAAGTTCGACAATAAATGAATAAAGATCTCAAATAAAAACTGCGGAAACTCCACCTAATAGCTCCACTAAAGAAAAATCCTTAAAAATTGGGGAGAGGGGGCTATAATTTTTAAAATTTCCTATAAATCTAACCTTTTTTTTTATTCCTTTGGGTTGTATTTTTTTAAAAATAGTTATTTAGCTCCTACGACGATTCCTTTTCCGTGTTTTGATATAAGGATCTGGAATCCACTCCAATATTGAAGGTTCGTTAATATTTATGTATAAATTAAAAATTATTTACACTTAAATTTTTCGATTATATTCCAATAAAACTCTTAATATAAAAACCCATTTGACTCGATATTACTGTAGAATAAAGTATCCACACAGATAAGGATTTTTTAAATTTTTCTTTTAGATAATCTTAATAATTTAATATTCTTAAATATCGGTCAATTAATAAAAAAAAGTTTATTAGTAAAAGGACAAGAAGGACCTTATAAAAACATATCCCAATTTATCATTTCTTTCAAAATTTATTTATTACCCTAGCAAACTCCTATTAAAAGTTCACCTTTGCCTCTAATGTTATTAAATAGACTCTCCTAACAGTAGTAAAAATTCAATGGGCCTGAAAATTAATTTTTTTACAAGATTGCTCGTTTTGCTTGAAAATTTTGTCTTTCCTTTTTAGAGTTGGCTAAAAACTTTCTAAAGGTGACCATTTATCACCACAACTGCTGTAGGTGAACCTCACGTTATAAAGCAAGGCGGAAAATTTCTATGTAAGTTGTATTTTTTTAAACAAAAATCTATATATGAATGGATCAATAATATCTATCTATTTTATATACTATTTAAAAATATCAAGAGCCATATCTCCCATTTAGAGATGACGAAAGTGAAATAGAGAAAAAGTTTAAAAAAACTTGTCGTCCATGTTGAGTGTTATTTAATTTAATTCTCAACCCAGGACCCTTCTTATTAACCTTTATTTTGGTTTTAAAATTTAGTATTTTCAAATAAAACTTTAATTTTCAATATTTATAAAAATGAAAAAAATCAAATTTGTTTGATTTTAGTTAATATAAAATATTTTAAAAAAATAAATAAAACTTCTTGATTATTATTTTTTATGTTACAAAGACGCCATCTGACTATAAAAAAAATACTATTATTGATTTTTATATCAAAGTATAAGGGATGAGATTTCTAAGAAGGGGGGCGCAGAAGCTCGAGCCCCAAAAATTTTTTTTAAATGGCTCCTTAATATCCCCTTGTACACGATTTCTTTTATAATTCTATTACGTAATATATAGATTTAATTTTATTATTTAAAAATTAATAAGACTATTTAAATTTTTATCAAATCAATACTATTTTAATTATTAGATTAGATTAATACATATAAATTATATTTTCACTATGTCAGCTTGCAATCAAATTCTATGTTAAAATATAAATATCACTCACTAAATATTAATTTAGCATTAACAGTTGAAGCTTAAATGACTTTTATTTTTTATTTTATTTTATAACCCTAATTAAATAAATATAATCATTTATTAATTGAAAATTAACAAATTTAATATTGTAATTAGCCGAGTTCAAAATCACTAATCAACTATATTATTCATTTTTAAATTTAATTACCATGCCTCTTCCTAAAAATATTTTCAAGGTCCAAATAAGTAGAGATTTCTTTATAAAAAGTAAGTAGACATATAGTTTATATTCCCCTATTATATAAAATTGGTTATAAAATATTATGTAAAATGGCACTTTTACAGAAATATCTGCCAGTTATGTAATATATTAGTTAATATTTTAATAAATGTTACTAATCAATTATTTTGATAAAAAATATAAGTAACAATTTCATTCAATTCTTTAACGCCATCTATTTATTTAAAAATATTATTAAAAATTAAACATCTTATTATAGGTTAATGATGCTTACTACTACCTTAAAGTATTACCCTATCAAATTTGTATTTTGTTTATTTTTCATTTGGATAGGAACTACCAAATATATGTATAATATATATTTGAAAAATCATGTGGAAAGCGTCTGTGGCCTAGTTGACAAGAATGTTGCTTACTAATCCGATGGTTATGAGTTCGAATTCCAGCAATGATCATATTTTTTTTCTTAATCTAACTTGGTGGTTCCGTTCTTGGGGGATGATATGTAGGAAGCAAGACCCGACTACGTGATTCCGTTATAATATATTTTAAATAATACAGGTCTTATTACATTTTAATAAATTTTAATATTTGGAAGTATGTATGAAATAAATATTCGCTCGGTACTGCCTTTGATAGTAAGAATCATTAACCCTGATTATATATCCCACAATGGATGTAATAAATTAAATATCTTTTCTTTTTTTAAGTGATTTTAGGAAAGCTATTTGTTTTTATTTAAATTTTTAACACGTGTATATTTTTGATGTTATCAGAAATTACTTTATTTTAAGATATAATATACCAACTAGAGGTGGTACGATAATAATACCTAAATCTTAATGCTTTTATTATATCACTGTCTTATTTTATAGTTACAAAATATTTCATTTTTAATATGGCATTTTTGCTGTGTAAATAACTTAAGGCTTCAATATATTTCCATAATTTCTTCTATTAGTGTTTTTGTTTTATCAATTTATCTAACATAATAAATTCTGCTATGAGTTAACATCGTGAGTGTTTATGACTGTAAATTAACCAGCATCTATTATTTGTGTGGCTATGTGAGTTAAGATTATTACTACAGCTGCTGAGAGCATATGATTGCATATTTTAGATAAGCGATAGTGTAGTCGTTTATTTAATTAAAAATGGAAGATAATCTTTTAGAAATTTAATATCTCACAAGAATTTTCTCGATTACTTATCTAGCTTCCATCATGTCATCTAAGAGGAAGCTCTAACCACCATATAGTTTTGATTTGAATTGGTCGTTTATATTCTTTTCTTCATGAATTGTTGATTTGGTTAGGCCTATAAATTTTTCCTCCATTCTATAAAACATTGTCTAAAATAGTAAAAAAGAGTTATATTAGTTTCATGACCTTTTGCCAATGTAAATTGCTAAGAATTATATTATATTATGTGGTTTTTAAAAACCATTATCAATTGAGGCATATGTATGAATTAATTCACCTTTTTTATCACTTGTAATTCTTTAGACGCAAAAAATTTTTTATATCAGTAATCGAAAATATTTTATACTGTAATAAAGATTTTGTATTAAAAAATATTATTTTTAGAAATGTCTTATATTGTTTTAATTATTTATATGCTAGTTTATTTTGTATGCATAATATAATAAATGACAAAATATGAAATTAAGAATAATTGTTCAGAGTTAGCAAATTTAAAAAAGGTTAAATATATTTATATAAACCAGGCTGAAGGTCTGGCAAAAATGGACAGGAGACCCGCAAATTGGGAGGTATGGGAACGAAGCCCCCCATAAAAATTTCTTTAGTTGGGTCCCTTAAGATTGTAAAGGCTAGCGAAGTACCTGAGTCAAATATAACTTTTGAAAAATATTAAATGACGAGGGAACTCAGCCTGTAAATTAACTAAATTTGCTAAATTATAATTTTTGTTATATTAACTTTCATTATTTTTTTATTTGTAGTAAATTATTATTAGAAACATTTTATATTAACCTAAATTTTTCTTTTTTTAACCTTAAATATTATATTATAAGTTTTTATTTTCTTGCATATACTTTCAAAACAACTTTAATATTAAATTTTTCTACCTTTAACCTGTGGAGTAAACAGGTTGGATTGTTTTTTAAAAAACAGTTAATTTTAACTTTAATAATATCATTTATATTAAACAAATTTGAATTTATATTGTTAAACTTATTTTATTTTTTTTAAATAAATTTTTTATAATTTTTAATCCATTTTTAAAAAAAGAAAAATCGTTTAATATGTTTAATATCAACCGGCATCATATTGTTCATTTTTATAATTCTCTTACTAAATTGATGTGAATCCTGACATTTTTTATTTATTTTGCCAATAATGATTTTTTTTAAACTATTTACTAAACACTTTGAAATACTAAAAAAATATAAAATACACACTAATTATTGACATAAATATCAGATGTAAAATATAATTGCTTTCATATCTTTGGTTGACTTTACGCTTAAGCGTGATACCAGTATTTGGTTCGTAATTCCTTGACTAGCGAAATTAATTAAAGAATTAATATGTAAGGCACAAAATATTAACTTAAACCAGAAAGTTATAATTCCATATAACTCCGTTCTGGCATGATGTCTGGCAAATTTTTTTACCAATAATTCTATTCCTCTTTAAATCATCTATCAAACAAATTAAAACAAAACAATAAAATGTAATATTAAAGTCCTACTTAATGGTTTGGTATAAGTTTCAGAATTATTATTTTCAAAAGCTTGGCTCACTTCATGCTTCAAGCGGGACGTCATAATCTTTTTGTGATTCTCATATTTGATTGAGGAATTAAAAGTATAGTCAGGCACTAAATATTAGCTCACGCCAGATATATAGTGTTTTTATATATTTTCCATTCTATCGTGATCCCAATTTTTTTTTCTCTACTAACCAGGCGTAAAAAAATAAATTATCAATTAAGCATTAAACATTGATAAAATTTTCAGGATAATTCTTTCAGTCATTTTCTTATAGTTAGTGCCAAAATTTTATCACAAATCTTTTTCCCCTTTATATTAATATACTGATTAAAGTCATACATTAATAAGGCACAAAACATTGGCTTATCTTCCAATTGTTCAGCCAACTTTAACTGAGAACAAAAGTCACAAATTCAATAGGACATTTTGGACCCATTATAACGCTACAGCAAAAAACGAAATAATCTGTAAGAATTGTGTAAAATCCTCGTTCATATTTTATTTTAATCATAATTACATTTTATTTTATTATAAATTATATTTTATTTTTCAATGATAAATTACATTTTTCATTCTCCTTTCAACAAAAACAATTTCCCTTTATATATCTTTTTTTAAACAATTAAAATAATTGTGTGAAATACAAATTGATATTTAAAAAAATGTAACGTTAAAATGATAAAAAAAAATTTTAATATAAAATTTTCACCGATTAAATTTAAATACAAAGTGAATAAAAAAAAATGTCACATTAAAATGATATATAAAAAAATGTTAATATAAAATTTTGACCGAAAGGCATAATCTCAATTATTCAACATAATCTAAATCGATAAATACTCATATTAAGTGATTTGCTTATATGTAAATGTTAGTTTTGTAATTATTGTGTTAGGTAATCATTAATCCCAAGAAGTATATGTAAAAAAACTTACCGTTTTTTAATTAGAATAAGGAAAAAACAGATCGTTAAAAATATTCCACTTTAGTATAGATCTACTTTTTTTTACTATGCGACAGAAATTTCTCTGAGCTAGTGTTTTAAGTTATATATTCTAATTTAATTCTTTTGTTCTTAAATTTGATAATCTATTTTTGCAGATAGAATTTGCCAATATTTATAGAGCTCGCATTTTAATTTCTAGTAATATTATTTAGGTATGCGTCCATAACTGTGAATTGGAATTTTATTTTCTTTATAAATACAATGTAAAATAAAATTTAAACAAAATATATTTTTATCTAAGGAGTATATAAATAAATAATTTATAAAAAGAATGGTTGGGCTTCAAACGCAAATACAATAAAAAATCTAGTTTTATTTGTGCTATTTTTTAAAATATGTTATAAACGTAGCAGTTGAAAATCAATGTTCATTTCATGACAGGCTGAATAGTAAAAAATTAAAATCGTTAATTATTCTTTGGCATTTTCCTTGTTTTGCTTTTGACATTGTATACCACTTTTGACATTAGGAAATAAAAAATGTCCATATTTCTACAGGTAGATAGTAAAAATCGCTAGCTTTTTTATTAATATTTGATTTCATACTTTAATTTTTTTTCCTTCATTGCATAATTTTAACAGTATTAGTAGATCATATAATTTTTAATAAAAATAATTATCGCATTATAATATTTGCTTGGTAACCTTAATATTTAGTGTTACAATTTATGATTAGGGAAGAAATTTCATCTGGATAGTTTAACTTAATGCGAATATGTTTAAAAAGCCCGATTTGTGTTCTTTTTAAAAACGGCCTGATTGAGATTTTAGTCAAAATAATATTATGCAAGTATCAAATAGATGTCCAAACCTTTCTGCCATCTATGAGCAAAATCTCCAGGTTTACATAATTATTATAATCTTATTTGTATAATAACTAACAATCTTCTTCCGCCGAAATGCTTACTTAATTTTTTCTTGCTAAATAAAGAGCCATATTTTACGAATTTTTCTTTCAAATTTGTTTATAGATCCACAAAGTTTTTTTAAAAAAAAATGAAGTAAAATAATTCTATAATTGTATTTGAAAAAAGATCTTTAAATATGATTGTTTTGCATTTATGATTAGGGAAACTTTCCAAAAATGGCAGATCCTGCCATAGTCCAACATAGCGGGAACCCCTTTAGCCCTTTTTTAAAAAATATAATTTAGTTTTTTGTCATATTTCTAAAAAAAATAACAATCAAATTCTAAAAAAATAAAATAAGGATATTAAGTTCGATATATTCTTTAATACAATACAAAATTTTATTTTAAAAAAGCCAGTGACGCATTTTAGAATTATAAAGATTTCAACATGCTAGTTTTTTTTTGTTTCAATCTTTAAAGCTTGAATTGAAGGATAAAAAATTAATATTTTTATTATATTTAATTAGATTATTTTTTTATCGTTAAATATTTTATTCTTTGTAAAAATTTAATTATATTTAAATAAAAATTGCGAAGAAATATGCGTGATTTTGAATCGGATGTAATGGTTTGATTAATTCTTTTGGGGGATTTAAAATATAGGTTCAATTTCAAGGAATTATAACTGTTTTCCGGTTTGGGTTCTTTGCCTTTATTTTACAATAATAATTTTTATATTTTATTATGAAAATAGTAGAACGAAAAATTATTTTTATCATCGAAGCAAACGATTTCAACAAAACAGACGTAAAATCAGACGATTTTAACAAAAAACACAATTTCATTAGAACAAACGGAGTTATCATGGGGCTCAAGCTCCTGAATAGTTTATACATCCTTCCGAGAACAATTTAGATTTGTTAATTTTAGTTAGATTTCCCAGTTTTGTTTATAAAAAACTTCAATTGGAAATAGCATTTAATCAATATTATTTACTTTTCGGATCCTATAAAAAATTCATACAATAAAATTCTAATATTATTTTGCATACTGGAAAAATTAAAATATTACCTGAAAATTAAAATGTATTTTTTTTTAGAAATTCGATTATTGTTTTTCGATTTTTTCATAAAATAAACATTCTAAAAATTTAGATGCTTATTTATTTTATAAAATATAAAATTTTAATAATTATGTCTGATTAATTCTTTCTATTTATAATGACAAGGTTATTCAAGTTATGAACTTAAGGTACTACTAACTAAACTATATTATAGAATATTCATTTTTCAAAATTTTATAAATTTATAGCTAGGAAATGACTTGAGAATTTATGTTATATATTCAAAGTACATGCGGGAAATTACAGTATTCATTAAGCATCGATTGGATATAATTTTTATACTAACCATTTACACATTCCATTTCATACCCAAATCGTATCATAGCAAAATTATTCCTGATTTTAAACAAGGTTATAATATTTACCCACTTTTATAATTTAGCAATGAAACCTTAAATTTTAAAGTCAGGGACTTCTACACCCATGCCAATGACAATATAAAACCCTTTAAAAGTTTTACCCCTCCCCCACATCCCCTTTAAAATTTTACCCCTTAAACAATCCTACCAAATCAAAATTCACAAAAAAGGGAAATACAGATCAAATCTACCCCCTCTCTATCATAAAATTATCTAAAATATCTGATATATTCAATGGCGCCCATTGGCTTAACCAAAATTTATCCAATGGAGGGGGGGGGGGGACTAATTTTTGGGGGCTTTACCCCTAAACCCACTTTTCGGCCCTGCCAGGCCTCTGAAAAATTCTAATTCGATATTTTTTTGGTTATTTTTTATTTTGCTTTTTAAAATATATGATATCTTAATATCACCTCCATTAACCCTTTATTACATAGCCGGTTGAAATTTGTCCCGCCTAAAAAAGGACCTTTAATACATGATGAGACATATTTAGCCTGGCTTGATTTTTTTATTTTATTTAATACACAGATGGTATAAATTTATCTCATATAATATTTATATTTTCGCGCGCATAAAGTTTCGTATTTTATCAATCCCGCCTTTTTATTTTATTTTATGCAAAATATTTTTTATAAAATTTTTAAATCTACTTTAGCAAAATTCTGGTATATTTGATAAATAAAAAATGATAAGAAACATTTACATATTCTACATATTTATCATAAATAGCAATATTTTAAAAAATGATCATTTATTTTTTTGGCAGTTACAAAAAATGTATCAGGTCATTTTATGTACCACTGTGCAATAATGCTTATTTTACATTTATATTTTAAAAATATTATATTTTTATAAAAATTTTCAAAAAAATTATCTTGTCTGATTGTTCAACTGATTAGGATTCTTCTTTTGAAATATACTTAAAGGAAGTCGAGGACAACCTAATTGAATTTAATTGGAGGGCAATTACAATACCCCCATCAAGTTTTATATTTCGATTAAAAATTATCTAAAATCTTCTATCTCAAAAGATTCTTGACTTGGGTGTATCATCATCCTTGCAAAGCAATCCAATATCGACTCCTTCAAAATTTCATAAAAAATTTGTCGCTGATGATACAAGGAAAAAGGGATCGGATCATATTTCTACAAAAATTCTTGCTAGTGATTCGGAATCCCTTGGGAAAATATATTAGGACATCCTGGGAATGTTCTAGGACATCCTGGGAATGTTTTATTTGTAAAGTTTCGCTATATATTAACGCTAAAAGAAATTGATTTTTCTTTTCATAACAAAAAATAATGTATATAATACACAGTGGGAAAAATATGTCCCTCCCCCAGTTATAAATTATTTTGTCATTTTTGTATTTTATATTATAAAATTTCAATAAATATCAAAAAATAACATTTTAAACAATCTCAGTGATTATTTTATTTAAGTTTTTATAGGTGAGCAATAGAGGATTTTTTTTAATGTTGAAATGTAGCAATAAAGGGTTAAAATTGGTTTGACAATTAGAAGAACCAATTCTAAAATCTATGCCCATGTTTCATGCTTTATTACCGCCTATGAGTGCTCATAGTAGCTAGTATAAAGTGAAAAATTATAAGCAGAAAAATTCTGTCCACCCATAAGTTTAAAAAGTGACTGATTTATTTTAAAAAATTTATCAATTTTTATTGATGTATAATTTATTAAATCCGTTTTGCCTGATTAGTTTACTTATTAATTCTTCCTTCAATTTTGAGAGCCATAAAAAAAGAAAGAGTTAATAACAAAATGAAAACTTACATCACTCTCTAAGCGTGAGGTAAGCCATGCTTTTGGAAACAATAATTCTGAAGATTACTAAACCATTAAGTAGTAATTAATATATTTCAATGCTTTAATCTGTTAGGTAAATGATTTAAAGTAGAAATATTATCAAAAAATAAGAAAAATTGGCATCATGCCAGAACGGAAAATATAAAGTTCTAATTATCTTGTTCACAATAATATTTAATACCTTACTTATTAATTCTTCAATTATTTCCGCTAACTACAAGAAAGATAAACGAATTATAAGCCAAATAAAACTTATTATATCATGCCTTTAGTTTAAAGTCAGCCAAACTTCTGGAAGCATATATATTTTTTAATATTAGTACTTCATCCTTAGAAAACCACATTATTGGAAAAATAAATAATTACCATGATTACCATCATGCTATAACGAATAATAAGCACTGAAAATCTGGATGCGCCAATCTGAAATGCTTGATTAGTATTTACTAAATCATCAGTCAGTTTTTCCAGTCAATAAACAAAAACTAGTATAATGGAAATATAAACTATAACGGCAACCTGTTGCTGAACCTTAAATATCAAATTTTAAATTGTGATTTAAAAAATTAATTACATCTAAATACATTAAGGTTTCTTTTCCCCGACTTAAAATTTTTTGAATCTTAAGATTCTACGATTTTTATAGATATTTTTTGTTCTTTTTGGTGTATTAGGTATGGCAGTGGAATAATTAAAATAATTATAATCAAGTATAAAAATTTGATAAATTTGAATCTCACAAGACGAGCTAAAACTTTGCCAAACTTTTGTTAGCACTAATTTGAAAGCTTAGTTAAATTGTAATACTTAACTAGCATACATATTAGTTTAATGCTTCAATCCTTCGGTAAACAGTATAAATAAAAAGGTTAATCTCAAAAAAAGAAAATTTCTAAAATTGGTATCAAGATTAAAGATGGAAGGAAAAATGTAGAAGGACTAAAGCAATTATAATGAAAAAATTAAATAAAACGAAATATATACATAAACAAAAATTACTATAATTATTATAAAAAATTCTTTCTTTCTTATTTTAAGATATCATACTCGATTATGTCTATACCTTTGATACTTTTATAATTTAGTAGCGATAGCCTAAAAAGGTAGCCATGCTTGTGACATCTTTGGAAAATGTGATACAAAAATAAGATGGATTAGTTGCAATAAAATTGAAAACTATTATAATAAATAAATTTTTTACCAATCAAGCGATATAATTCAGGAAGTGTTTAATAAAGTAATATTAATACTAAGTGCGCTTTCACATTTAGGGATAGAAAAGGTCAAATGTCGATCCCATACGAGATATGCGTCTTTGGGAAGCGTGCCGTTTTTCAATTTTTTTAAATATATTTTTGAAACAAAAATATCTTATGTGAAAATTTGATTAAAAAATTAAATATCGTATTGTTTGTTCGCATAATTTCACAATTTTTTTAACACACATTTTTAAATAGAAAAAGAAATTCTGAGATGGAGGGGGTTTTATCAATTTTAAAAAAATGAAAGCAAATTTTTATTAATAAAAACAATGAAATCACAAAATTTTCTGTGAGGAAGCGGGGGGGGGGGGGTGTTTAACCCCAAACCCCTCATATCTACACCCCCGATGGCGTTTCTGGCTCTAGCTCTTTAGGGTTGCTTAATTTAATGTTAATCAAAAAATATTTATTTTAAAAAAAAAAAGTTAAGGTGCTCATTCAAAAAATACCATGCAATTTTCTTTAATTATGAATCGCTCAAATACAATATAGATTTTATGAGTGACCCCCTTCCCTTCTATAATAGATGTATTTATTATTGATAGTATCTTCTTATATTATGACAACTCATAGAGACATGGTCAAGATTTTGCAAAGGGGGGAGGGAGCACTAAAGTAGGGTTTTCCCAAAAAAAAATCTGAAGGACTTTAAGTCAATTTATTGCAGATATTTGGCAGGGTTACATGTTTTAAGATGCAATTTTAGTTTTGCACTTCTTGCTTTATCTATAAATTAATTGTATACGTCTATAAAATGTGAGTTTTTTTTATGTTTAGATGTGAGGAAAATAAGGGCACCTCTCAAGCCCATCTTTGATTTGGCAGCCGCTAATATAAGTAAACAGATTATCTACGTTGAAGAAGGTAGGATAATATTCTTTTTTTTAAACACTGTTTTACAAAAACATTTATAGGGGAAAAGGTCGAAATTAGTTGCGCTCCTGAGTTGTATTCTTTCAATGATACAATCAAATTAGAATGGTTTAAAAATTCTAACCCCTTAGACAAATCGGAGCCTACGTAAGATCTATATAATATATAAATATAGTTTTGGATTTATTTGGTATAACATTCCTTGTTTTTTCCCCTTGATCTATTAAAGTATTATGATTGAGAAAGTGACTAGAAGCATGATGGGTACAACTTTCAGATGCGCAATGTATAACCAATCAAAATTTCCATATATGTATAAAGATATGAAAATTCTCGTTGAGTGGGGCCCGAAAGTCCAAATTAATCCGCTTGTCATTGAAACCGATCGCCAGGGGCAAGTAAATATTATTTGAAACATTCTAAATGATTTATTAAAAATTATGTTAGATTGATATCTCGTGCTATGCTGACGCTTTTCCTGCGCCTCTCATAAAATGGTATTTTGACCTTTCCCAAACATCTGCAACAGATGAATTAGTTTATGAATCGACTGGTTTATATAAAATATTCTATATTATAAACACAAAAGGCGATATTGTCAAGTTATTTTGGACACAATTTTCTGTTTAAAAAAAGACTTTTGAAACCATTTTTAAAATAAATAAATTTAAATTGCGTTATTTTATTAATGATAAAACAATCATTTTATATTAGGATTATATTTGAACATAACCACTAACGATTTGGAGAATTGCAGATTCCACAATCGGAATCTAACATGTTCAGCCAGTAATACACTAAAAAACTTAGCAAAGCCTGGCAGCCTCCCTGAAAGAACGGATAAAAGAATACTATCCATTAATATACAGGTTCCTTAAATTGTTATTATATCAATTTATAGGCAAAATTCTCCTTCCTCTCCCTCCCTCACATATTTAAACGTTGATATCGGAACTAAGAATTATTTTTAAAAAAATATATTTTAAAAAAAATTTATAGTAAAAATTCTCCTAACTCCCCCCCCCCTTCCATATATAAACGCTGTATATAAATTTTAGAAAAAACTATGCAGCAACCTGTTTACAAACATTACCATTTCCTATTTTCTCATTTTTTTTACAAATTCAAATTTCGTGCCTCATGACGAATTAAAAGAAAACATATTTTTGATAAGATAGCAAAAGATTTGAAAAGATTTTTGTACTAAATATTTAGAGATTTTATTTGTTCTTTGTGGTCCAGACACGTTGGATATAATGGAATTATATTTATATGCCTGATGGATCAGCCATTGAAGGAATGACAATCTAAACTATGTCTTCCCTTCATGTCTAAGGATATTTACAATCTGAGCACATGTGGGGTAGGTGATAGAGCAGTTAAGACAAATACCGATGGTCTGGGTAAATTCTTTGGAAAATTAAAGTTGTAGATTAACAGAAGGAATGGCTTTGAGAAACTCATACCCAATAAGGATAATAGGGTGGTCAGTAGATTGCAGGCTAGATATGGGCAAGGAAGCGAGATACTACAGATGCATCCCAATCCTTCTTCCTGTTGGGTGTGGGAGGATGAGAATCAGCTATCATACGTGTTCCCGCGAATTATGGTCTCTATTAATGAAGATTCATTTTAGATGCATATGGGCATTGGTTATTTGCTTTGAAAAGCTGCTAGGTATATAAAATCTTAATGCTATGTCGAAAAAATCTTATGCCAAATAAATCAAAATTGGGAAGGTTCATTAAATCGGAAATTAACTATTTTCAGTTAAGTCCTTTATTCCATCTTTATATATCTTGAGTGGAAAAGGATGTTTGAAAATCCGAGGGCATGGAAATACTAGGAATAAAAAAATATTTTTTTAAAGATTTATGCGATGAAAAAAGAGAGAAGTTGTCTTCCAATTTAAGGATGATGTCATGGGTGAAATGAAGGAAGTTGCATTTAACTTATATCTTCCTAAAGGGGATATAGGGGTGTTCGTTTATTTTGAGCCGTGAATTTGATATAGGGTGGTAGGAGCATTTGAATTTAATTAGATAAATATGGATTTGATAGGGTTAAGCGAGAATTTAATGGAAGGGTTCATTTCGCGAATTACGTTAACTACTTTGTAGGTTTCAAAGCTAGAACCCCTCAAGATTCCGTCATCATAGATTTTATTATGTCGTTAATCCCAAGACTAAAGAGTAAAGATCCGAGGTGGTCACCCTGTTGTATGCTTTCAATTAAAAGTATTTTTTTAGAGTTGAATTGTAGGATTGAAGGAAATTAATAGTCAGCAAAAGGGAATTTAGTATGTGCTGGGAAAATGTTACGCGGAATGTAAGAAAGTATTGTGAGAAAGAGTGTTGTATTTGTATGTATAAGAGAATTCAATTTTCATTAGAGTTTTATTTGGTGATTTTTTTCAAGATGAATTTTTGAAAGGTGTACTGATGCTTCACAACCACCAGGCACTCATACAACTAATTGATAAGGGCTGATGTTGTGTATTCATATTTGATTCTTGATAAATTAATTTTTCTACCAATTGGATATGTAGAACCAATGGTGATTGGCCGAATGTCCTTATTAAGTTTTTGTAGTGGGATGAGCCTAGCACCAAAGAGTAGGGAGATAACAAAACTGGGCACTTCTCTATTTAAGATTTTATTGCATAAATTGGTAATTTTAATGAGGATAAAAGTATGTATATTTATCAAAAAAGAGGTTATATCTTATTGGTCAGGTCCCATCAAGTCCGTGAGCTGAGTCGCGATCTTTCCTTACTTCTTCCTGTTTGAAATCTGAATCACAATGCGTTTAAGATTGAGGAGTTATAGGAGTTAGGGTAGAAGTAGGTAGTGTGGTTAAACGGCTCGCTTTGAGCCGGTTTTTAAAAAGGATAACTCGATATTTTCGCCAGAAAAATATTGCCTAAGCCTCGAAATTTTGCTAATAGATGTCCGAACCTTTGTTCTTCTACAAACAAAATATTAGGCTTGGGTTATATTATTCTGAAGTAATGAGTTAGTCGTTTTTAGAAATCGGCTCAAAACAAGCCGTTTAACAACATTAGAAGTAGGGTATTTGAGTTCATATATTGTGACCATTATTATAATGTCATGACATGAATAAAGCATAAAGCAAAGGCTAAATATGAAGGATATGAAATAGAGAATAAGGCAATAAATATAAATTGTGAAAAGGTGCGATAATGAGTGAATCGAAGACTGATGCAAAAAAATATCCATACCCCGTGAATGATTAACAAATAATCAATTTTTCGTGAATGAATTAAGCAAAATTTATGAATCACTAATCCAATAGGCAAAATAGAATAAAAAATAAATAAAATCACGCTATAATTAACTATGAAGGAATAATGAAATCGATTTAATAGTATGCGAATGAGCCAAGCAGAAATCATGATTAAGGTAAATGAACTACAAATGCAATTCGGCGCGATAGAATTGGTTCCGTATCTGGGTTCAGTCTTTGCAACTTCGATTTGATTCAAGCCAATATTAACATTTACATTTTCTTTTTATAATTATCGAATTAAATATATAACAATTTAATCATTTACAATTTCTACCTAGATAGTTGTGAACAATTATTTTCCAAAGCAGAGGCAACTTAATTTTGTAACAAGAAAAATAAATATTATCAAAAATAATTCATTACAAACTATCATGTGTACGTATATTAGTTTATTTTTTGGCTAAGTCTCGAAAATATCTTATAGAAATTTTCACTCTAATCGTAATCTAGATTATTTTGTTATTCTATTAATATATATATAATAAATACATATACTATATTTATTGTTTCTTGTATTAATTATCTTATATTATCTCGACATTATCTAATAAAAAAAAATTTTTCATTTTTAAAATAATAATGATAATTTGTTTTATATAGGTAAACAAAAGCGAAATAAAAAACTGTCCTGACTTCTGTCCGGTCCAATTTTTATAGTAAGGTTCGATTTGATAAAAATCGGCTACAAACTGAACCGGTGTCATTCATTATTCGCAACATATTTATATGCAAATGTAAAAAATAATTTAAAGGTCATTCATTTTACACTGGTGTTCTAATATAATGTACATTAAGAGTCTAAAATTAAAATTTTCGGGCTAGAGTTGACCCTAAAAAAATTTCTACTTGTTACTATACCCGGCCTGTATAGATAAAGAATGTACATTAATATAAAACGATTTTGAAAAAATTTAAATATTCTAGTTAGTGTACTAATTAAAGCATGGTTTTGTTTCTTGAACCATATAGATGGCAAGCAGATAGATATTATGAATATTTTTCAATGATATTCTTTCTCTATATTGAGCAAAATTACCGTGTAATACACCCCCTCCCCCTTCTATGTAATATATAAAAGGAAATGGAACAATTTAAAAGGAAATGTTTAGAGAGTAGAAAGAAGGGAAGAAAAGGAAAAAATTAAATATAAAAAATCATTTTAAAAAAATAGGCAAAAAAATAAGAATAGTTTAATGAAAAAAGATATTTATAAAACACAATGATTAAAGAATGCATTTATTTCAGTCTTTTTAATAATGTTAGCCAAATTATTCATTTCTATTTTAAAATAAAAAAAATAATATAGGTAAGATAGAATATAATTCGGAATTTAAACTGAAATTTTTACTTTTCTATAGGAATTCTTTTTTATAAGGGAACCTTAAATACATACAAAATGTATGTATACCCGACCCGATTTCAAACAATTTTTTTTTCATTTGTCCCCAAAAGCCCGACCAATGAGATAAAAATTATGTTTCCGCCCGGGCAGGCCCTAATTTATTTAAATATAATTGAACATAATGTTCATTTGGGCTGACCCTAATTTCGCATATCTCTAATGTATCTTAGAGATTATCATGCACCATCCATAGGCCCAGGTCGGATATGGGCCTAATATCATATTTTCTAACTGGCCTGGGTTTAAAAAGATTCTTTAATAGGTTTGAGCTGGGTTTGGGCCCAAAATTATTAAATTTATATTTAGCCTATTTAAAACAGTTGATAAATTTAAATATTGCCATTTTTTTCTTCTGATGACAAGTGGGCCGGGCTTGGGAAATTTTTTTGAAACTTATTATGGGTTTGGGAATTTTTTTAATATAAGATATGGGCTGGGCCTGGATAATTATTCAAAAATAAAAATAATTATTTGTAATTTTTAAATTAAAAATTTTTTTTACTGCGGGCCAGGGCCGAGATTAGTTAAAAAATTATGGCCCATGAATCTCTGATGTATATACAATCCACTAAATTTTATTGACAAGTTTTATTTAAACTTATTAATACAAATATAACCTTATTTTACAGGGTTGCGAGAACATTCTATATGTTGTAACAAAACAAGAAAATGATAAACCGATTCCCTGGTTCATATTATTATTAATATTGATAGTGCTCTTAATCATATTGATTTTATTGCTTTCCTGTTTACTATATGCGAAGAGGAATAAGAGGAATCGATATCTACCACAAGAAAGCACATCAACTGTAATTAATTTAAAATGTTTTTTTTTAATTTATTCATTTATTTTAAAGGACCCAAATGTTAAAGACAAACCGAAAAAGGGTAAATTTAAAAATATATATAATTCTTTAGCTTATGTCATCGCCTACATTTAAATTGCTCAAATAAAAGAAATTTTAATATCTGTGAAAACATAGCCTTATACCATAATATATTCTTAAGTTAAGTAAAATAATTTTTAAAACAATCATTAACACATTACATTTTTTTATTTTTTGCTTAGACCTTTTAATATTATTTTATTATCTAAAAATGATATAGGAGGGGCAACATTTCTTGGCTCAAAAGATCTATCATCTGCTACAGCTAAAATTATTCCCCCAAAAAATGTGAGTAGCATGACTCTTGATAGTGTTTCTATGGGAGAAACTGCCCGTAGAAAGGATTCAAAAGATTTAAAGGGTCAAATGAAAGATAATTTAAAAGATGACAAAAATAAATCTAAAAAAGAGACCAAAGACGGCAAATATTCTCCTCCCAACTCTTCCTCTGATGACACCGCCAGTGGAAGCGAAAGATCCAATAAACATCCGGTTCCTAAACAGGCGGCTCGATCCTCTCTCTTGGGTGTGCTATTATTTAAATAATTCTACCCGGTTTTACCATTAATTTTTTGGCGGGGAATAGAGGAAATTTATTTGGGGAAAGGAATTTAGTTTTATTGGTTAAAATTATCTCCATATAGAAACTCTTAAGACTAATAGTATTCGTCTGATGGATCAATTTTTAAATGTATTAGATAAATTAAAATTTTAGTTTGCATTTAAAGCAACTTAGAAAAATTTTATTTATGGGAGTTTTCTATCTTTTTTTCTTCCTTGAAAGATTTCTTTCTAATTTTATTAATTATAATTACGTATCTTCTCAACCTCTAGATTCTGAATTAATAATAACATGAAGCATACTTAAACACAGGAGGTGTACAGACACCCTTAATAACCCCCTCCCCCGCTCAGGTTCCTTGCAGATACCATTGCAGTAAGAGGCCTCTAAGAGGAGGAACACATTTAGTTTTTTTGAGGACCAAGATTTTTGTGGTACCTCTAACTATCTAAAATTTATCTTTATTTATGTTGCCACTCATCACAAATCTAGGTATGTTAGGTCTTGCTGGACACAAAGTGCCTCTCCGACCTAAGATAGACCAAACTGAACCAACTTTTATGCCAGTTCAAATGGATGCGCCACGAGTACATAATATATCTTCCGACACGCGACGTGGCCCCAAAACATCTCTTCGTAGATCGAGTTCACCATTCGGTAGAGTTATAACAGGTGTGTTTAGGGAAAATATCTTTTATTATTTGTGTGGATTTTTTTAATTAATGGTTAGGTAATTGATTTATAATATGTTAGAAAATTTTTATTTATGCTAATTCAAAAATTATACGTATATTGATTCGATTCGAATACATGTACAAATAATCATTTATGGGCATTATTTTTATTGTCAAAAAATTATTTTAGGCAATATTTATAAAATTTTGGGTTTTAAATTAATCAAAATATGCAATATTTTTATTACCAAAAATTAATGTTTAGGGCAGTATTTACAAAATAGTGAGCAAGTAAAAATATGGTTAGTTAATTAAAATTTTCCAACCAGTTTTTATTAAAAATTATATACGAAAAAAAAATCAATCTCAAATAATCAAAAACTAAAAAGTTCTTCATTTGAAATTTTTTATAGATATTTAATTTCTTTTTTATAAATAGATAAAAATAAAATCGAAGGTTAATAAGTTACTTAGAAACGCGAATCCATAAAAAATTTGAACGGCAAATTTTTAAACTTATGTTCTGATGTAGACGTTTTTAAGGATCGCCAGTGAGTTGGTTAATTTTTCTTCCTATCCTATTCAGAAAATAAACTGTCTGTTGTCGAAGTTTTCAAGAGTTGATATAACGACAGGAATGAATTTCATGTTATTAACTGTGAATATTTGTTTATGTTGATTTCAGGAGCCAAAAGATAGTTTTCGTGGGTGTTGGATTTTGCAAATATGTCTAAGTGTAATCCCAAGCAATATAAATCAAGGTTAAATTATCATTTCTCTTACTACCTGAAGTGGGACCTGGGGGCTCTAGAGACTTGGATGTTGGCTCTTCTTAAGGCTTTGAGTAATATATTGTTAACTGCGCAATGTCTAGGATGACTGCCGTAAAAAATCGGCAGTGTAATGGATGATGTCTATTTTCGTCCACTCTGATGTTTCAATGAGAACAGGTGAACGGGGAAACTATATTGCAAACAGTGCAAAGTCCAATCAATAATTTTTCGGAATATAGATTAAGACTGAGGTTTTGGCTAGGAATAGTTTCAATCCATTTATTATCACTGTCAAGTTGTCAAATCTAAATAATTAAACTATCTTTGTGAAATTGCAAATAAAACTTCAAATGCTGTAGGTATTATTTACATACGCTATTAATTAAGTTCAGATATCCCTTTTTATAATATAGCAAGTCTTTATAAATAAATTACTGGTTATATTTAATAATAAAACAATATAATCAATAATTATATTTCATTATACTAATAAGAGATTATTTACAACATTTAATATTATTATATTCAACAAATTAAAATAGGTAATTATAACATTTTATAACTTAATCTACAAGATGGCAGTGCTGATTACTTCTTCTTTCTATAGTCTATCAATATTAAATATACCTAAAACGATTTATTCGTTAATCGATATATAATCCGTATTTTAGTAATAATCGAATCGAATATAAATAGGAAAAAATATTTCAAATAATTTTTTATATCTAATTATTCGTACATTAAATTTTTCGTATTATTCGAAATATTTGAAACTACGTAAATATTGTAATTTATTCATGAATATTTTAAATTATTTGTAAGTATTTAACATGTTTCTTAGGGAATATTTTATTTTTTTTATCTTTATTTCCACATTTATGAATCACACATTTATAAATCCATTTAAAATTTTAATAATCTAATTTTTCGAGAGTTTGAAAAAATCTTTGAATTATTTTTGAAAAAGAAAGATTTTTGATTAAATTTTACTTAAAATTCCATATCTGTTTAGTAAAAAAAAATTTCATAAGCAAATCTTTTGTAATATTTTATTTATGCATAATAAATTATTCAAGATGAAATCACAATTTCATTTTACAAAAATGTTTAAAGATTTATTCGAAAAAGTTTTGAGGATTTTTTCACACTCTGATATTTTCATTTTTGAAAAATATTTTAATGAATTTAAATCTCAAATCGAATATTCGATTAATCAAATAATGTTTTCTATTATTCGTACGATTTGTAAGAATACGAATAATATAATTATTCAATTCGAAAATACGAATCGAATACAAATAGTGCAAATATTGTTCTATTTATATTTTAACACATTTTTTATTGCTAAAATAAGGTTTCAAGCATTTTTATATAAATTTCTAATAAGCAGATTATCAGTTTAAATTTTTTGATCAAGCAAAATATGGCCACTTTAAATAGTTGAATGAAAATTTTAATTATATATCCTAACTAAATTTACAATGGTATGAAAGTTGAGGATTTTATTTTACAATACAAGTAATATGAAATATTTAATCAAAAATTTATTGAGATCTTTACCACTCTTGTGACAAATTTTCTTTCAAAACTTTACTCCATTTAGATTTATTTAATTTTTTCCTATTTTTTATTTTATAAAATTTGTGGTGAGCAAGTAGACTAATAGGAATATATCTCTTTAACTATAAACCAACATTACAGACATTGTTTTATTATATATATATAGATGATCCAACTTCGATGATTCAGATTAAAAAAGCAAAAATCACGCCACCTAATGATATGAAACTTGGTTAAATAATGTGATTAGTATGTAAATAATTTCATAAAATGTAAATATCTTATGTACCTATCATTTTTATTAGTCATTCATTATGCTTACTTATATATAATAAAATTGAAAATTAATAAATTCATTTAAAATCAAATGCTTTATTTTATAAATATAATTTCTTATTTTACCATGTTTATAATATAATAAATACTTATTATTATTGTCTACTCTTGCTTTTATAATATTTAGTATAAATGATGAATATAAATTTTGGTCTTATATAGCGTAACAACTTTGTTAATATAGCTCGCTACCTTTTCTGAGTAAAAGAAAGGTAACTTTCGCTTTTTGGGAATGTATATAAATAGTTGCGTCTAATTTTTATTTTATTTTATTATAGCTTAAAAAAAATGTATTACAATTTAATTTATGTAATTTTTAAAAAAATACTTTTATTTTAGAATTAAATTTATCGGTCAAACGTCTTCTATTGTTTGTAGATTAAATTACCGGACAATTTAAAAATAATATTAGAGAATAGATTATTGCAAAATAAAATATCCGTGTCAAAATTATATTTATAATAAAATATATCCTTTCATATTATGATTTCTATATAGGGAGTATAACAAATTTAGTTTTTAGTAACTTTAAAATTTATAGTATGTCTTTTTATAATTTGATATTCAAGAGTAGTTACTCTATATATGTTGGAAACTATTCTGGAAAAATCATGCCTTTAAATTAAAGAAATGCGCGATACAGTAGATTTAAGTTTAATGTGCTCAAACTCATGTCTATGAAGAAGAGCTCTTTTGCTAATCTTAACGACATATACAATAAATAATATTGTTTTTCTTCTTAAAGTTGCTTTTGCTTAATGTATTAACACTGGCGTAGATGTAACCTTCATACAAAAACATGAATAAGTAAAATTTTGTGTTTTCTTTATTGAAATCTACACGAAAATTTACTTTTATTTCTTTTAAATTGATACAATAGCATCCTTAATTTTTTTATTCCTATATCATCTTAGAAATTTTTTTTTCTATACGAATGTATTAATCAATTGTAATAATATTTATGTTTGTATTTAATTATCTTAGTATTTTAATTCTATTACTCTTTTATGTTCTGATTTAATTTTATATATCATAAAATTTTAATAAACATAAATATTTCACAACAGATGAGTATAAATATCATTTTTACAACTTGGTTGCTCACATTGAGATAAACCATAGTCATACCATCTGGTATTTTCAATTTTGTCAGGTATACAAAATAATAATTATGTTTATCATTTTTTTAAAAAATAACTTAAATTAATAAGGATTTATAAGAAAAACAAATTTCCTAAAAAATATTTAAATAAATTACAAAATTAAGTTTCATTAATATTGAATGGCATTTATATATAAAGAAATAATATTTTTTGTTTCTTAATGGATGGATATGCCCTCATATTAAATTATTTGATAAATAATTTTAAGGCCAAGTAAGATATATGTAGTAATGTGGAAATTATATGTATGATTACATGTATGATTACATTATAATACATGTATAGTTATTATAGATATAATGGAAATATATGTATGAATATATGGTATTATATCATTATATATTATGAATTAGTATATTCGTTAATTAGATATGTTTTATAATGATTATACATGTATGTATAATGTCGGGTGGTATTTAACTGCCTAAGATTATTATTAGAATGTAGAAACTTCTATTATAACCTTATATACGATTGATAGCTGAACTTAGGTCGCTTGATAGACGCGATGGTGCCCTTTGGACGACAATCCATAGACTCCTTAGGAGGGACAGAAGGATATACATAGCAAAGAAAGCTTTCGAGATTGACAGAGACATGAGAGAAAATAGAACTTTTGATGCCTATAAGAAGCTCAAGCTTTTCTGTAGTGCAAGAGTTTTCAAGCCTCTCCCATCAATCAGACTGGACAATAATAAATTGATTACCGACCCGGACAAACAGATGGCTCTATGGTTGGACTATTACATGGAAACCTTTGATTCAAGGAGACCAGTCGTATGTCCATCCTCTAGCCGTAGCGCAGTATCATCTGATGCTAACTTTTCTGTGGTGGAAATATCTAAGGCCATTAAAAAACTTAGGAAGAATAAATCTCCAGGTCCAGATAACATCTTAGGAGAACATCTGAAAGCTGCCCCCGGTTTCTCAGCTCTTGCTGGGGTTGTTCAATAGGATTTGGGTTATGGGAAGATGCCAGCTGACTGGAATATGACAATTTTTTATAACTTCCCCAAAACCCCAAATCCTGTTAAATTTAAGGATTACAGATCTATTGCTCTCACATCCATCGTGTCTAAGGTTTTCATGATTCTTTTAAAAAACCGCATTCTTTCGACCACGCCTAATCTTCTGTCCAAATACATCTGTGCCTACCGCCCAAACAGGAATATTAATGAACCTATATTGGCATTAAAGATACTAATACAGAAGTGTGACAAATATAAATTACCATTCTAGTTTCGTCGATTTTAAGCGAGCGTTTGACAGTGTTATTCATGATTCTTTGTGGGCAATCCTAGAAGGATGTGGCATTGACGGAAACATCATTAGGATTCTAAAGACACATTACAGTAATCTCTTCGCCTCGCTTAAAATTATTAATAAAGTTTCTCCCCCCTTTAGAACTAAAAAAGAAGTAAAACAAGGGTGTGTCGTCTCCCCGCTGTTGTTTAATATAGTTATGAATAAAATAATTATTGATACGCTGGGAGCTGCAAATCTTCTGGAACTTGGACTTAAGGAGCCATGGTTTTTGGAAAATAGGGTGATTTGCTATGCAGATGACTTAGTTATGATCGCCAAGAGCTTGGAGGAGGCCCACAATTTAGTCTTGATACTTAATTCTTTCAGCTTAGAGGTTGGATTGGATATAAACTTCGATAAGACGGTGATTATGCCTTCATCTCATGCGCCCCCATTGATTGATTGGATGGTTGGGGGAAAGTTGGTCAAGGTGGTGTCCTCCTATAAATATCTTGGGGTGAACATGGATAATAGAGGTAGCTGTCACGAAGAACTAAAAATAAGAATTCATAACGCAAGGGTTGCTTTTTACAAATATTTCAAACTGTGGAAATCCAGGGAGATATCGGTTCACACTAGGTTACGTATTTTCAATTCCACCATCATCCCAATTCTCCTTTACGGCGGTGATATATGGGAGATTACGAAAACAGAGATAAGGAGGTTACAGGTGTTCGTCAACAAATGTCTTAGGATAATAAACGGCATTTTTTACCCTAACATTATCTCTAATGTTAACCTTTGGCGGAGGTCACGTCACACTCTAGTGCAAGTGGCTTTGAAAAAGAAACGTCTGACCTTTTTTGCTCACATTCTGTGGAATCACACAAATAGTAGCCTGGTCCTGGAGGCGATCCATTGGTTATACTCATTCAACGGCAAAGTCTATGGGAATTATAAAACTTTATGGTTTTATAGGGCAGTGAAGGATATTTTGGATTTACCTCAACGCGAATCAGTTTTTAAGGTTGAATAAGGATAAGAAATCAATAAATAAACTGTTGAAGATCAAATCAAATTATATGAACCTCTCATAAACTGCTCCCTGACACAGGTTATTTTTATTTTTGTTTTATCTTCTTTATTTTACTTTTGCTCCCTTTTCTCTCTCCTTATTCTGTATTAAACTTTTCCTTTCATCTATTATTTGCTATCATTTTTCTCATCTTAAAGTCAGGTCCCCCTTTGCCTTTAAAATCTATTATGTATATAAGCATCTTATGGGTGTGGGCTGTGCTTATTTTGTCATTTCCACATCAGCCCATAGACGTTTAAGTAATAGTCCTTGGACTATTACGCGTACAAGTACGTGCGGCTTGCCCACAAACGTGTGAAGGGCTCCTCATTTTTATCCCCTTTTAATTTGCCCAGTCAGATGGATTATGAGGAAAACCTAACGTAGCTCTGTTGTATCCACAACTAGAGGGCGTAAACGTTCTATATCACGTATCACGTATTAATGATTGTTGCATATTTGTAAATAAATGACTTGAATGAAAATACTAAATTGATGAAAAACAACAATAAACCAATGGAATAAATAATAATTTTTTTTCTATATATAATTCTAATTGATCATAGCCAGCGTCTACATGGCAGTATATTCATTGGATGCAAACCCCCCTCAAAAAAATATATCTACCCCCCTAAAAATACTAAAATGTTATCCATAGATAATTTAAAGATGTAATGGAAAATTTTCTAGATTATTATAGCCTACCCCCCCCCCCAAATGCCTACCCCCTACCCCTTTATAGATATTGGGATGCAAATTGTTCCTACCCCCCCCCCCGCTCATGTAGACACTGATCATAGCAAAAAAGTATAAGAATCATCTCATCTTTTTAGATATAAAAACTTGAATAAAATAAATATATTACATATTAAATAGGGCTAGAAGTCAGTATCAATTATTTTTACAAGATAAAATATTACTATAATGATTATTTCATGGATAACAAAGAATGGGGGGGGGGGAGCATTAATTCAGCATTATAAGCATTGTTGCAGTAAACGATCAATTCATCTTTTCCTCCATACCATAATATTTTGGGTCATCTTCTATAAAACAAGATTAAGATTTGTAAAAAATATTAGGGCAGACCTGATTTTGTCAGGATTCTCCTTGTGATTTGTTGAGTCATAGTTACTGCACCTTTCATTAATTTTAAAATTGATGATTAAATTATTTAATATAGTGAATATAAAATATATGTTTTATTATGATGGAAGAAAAATGCCAAAGTAACTAATAAAATTATAGACTATTATTACCTAAAGAAACAATTACTAACTTCTAGAAATCTATATTATCTTGTTGGGATCACAAAGTTTTGACATTATTTGTAAAATATTTTTATCACACTCAATATTCTCATGAATGATGTTTGTTGGAAACATCAACTCA